CAAATGAGAAGGAAAGGCAATCAGGATAGAAAGGGCAGGCGTTCAACGCCCGGGATGTGCAGGATGACAGAGGTAATGATGTCGATTCTCATTTGAGCAAGAAAGGTTCAAGGCCTTTACTTTGCTTCTTACCCCCAGCTTCCGCCTAATTTTTAATTCCAGGCCATTCATTGATTACCTGGAAGTCCACAAAGAGCGTCCCCATCTCCTCCTTTCCGTCGAAGATTTTCAAGTCGCCATTATTCACAACAGTAGTAGTGAAGTCACCACCATTCTCACGCTGGCTTTTGCTGTAATCCAATTCCTGTGTACACCCTTTGCCTTTGGTTCCAAATTGTATAAAGGCTGGCCTACACAGCTCATCGAAAGCAGCCTCGGGGTTTTCAGCATCCTTAATCAGGTCCCTGCCACGGTCCGTCAGGGTCAACCTGGTTTTGATGCCCAGAGAGTCTTTAACATTGCGCTGTATAGTGGGTCTCGCATAACCTTCATCGCCGTATTTGAAGAATGTATCGCCCGGCACCTCGTAGAATTCGCCTTCACCCTTATCGATCACTGCCGCCCTCATTTTGTCACAGTAAGGGTCCGTCTTTCCACGGAACGGCCCTGCCTCTTGAAAGACACCGGGAATGTTCTTCGCATGCTTGTAGTTGACACAAGAAGATTTGTAGTCGTACTCTTTGCCACGGGCTACAATTGGAGAGGCGTAAACCGACGGGGCGAGGAGAGCAAAGAGAAAGGCGGCAGTGGCAGGAGCCATGATTGCAGTGGTAAATTGAACCATATCGTCGGTTAAAGTATTTAGAAGTATTTGGCTTTGGGGCTTGTGAAGAGAGGGGTGTTTGAACTGGTTGATCTAGAGAAGAGCCTGTGTGTCTGAGTGTCCGGATAGGAAGGAGGACTTCGGGTTGATTGGGCGGTTTATGTAGATGATCCCCTCAGCCCTCCTTCCACCAGTGAACATGTGGTCAGCTAAGACACGTCACTGTTGAGACACGGCTGTTTGTAGCGTAATGCACTGCATTGAGTGAATCGGTTGTGAGTCTGCTCGTTATCAGACCTGTCTCTTGAGTAAGCCATTGGCATACTGATATGTAAGCTCAGTCAAAGAGAACATAGCACTTTACTGCTATGCTAGAGTAAAGATATATTCAGGGTATCACCGTAGCTTCATGTATCCCATGGGGGCGCAGTGACTGAGAAGCTGTGGCCTAAGTTTGAGGACATCGACAACTTGCTGATGCTGTTGGATGAAGCAGCACGCTTGAAATCTCCGCGGCTGCGCTAGCGACAAAACTGGTTAGTAGTTATATTATATAATCGAAATATTATGTTTTATTGGCCAAATGCCATTATGCCAAGGCTAACTAAGCGACATGCCCGGATTGGCGTCTACGGCGCATGACCCAACGTTCTTCCGACACTGTCATCGATGCAGGGGCATCTGGTTACAGGTGAGCTGCATGTAAGTAATTTCTACCGTGGCTCATACTACTCTAAAGTGAGTGCAGCCATAAACAGCCTAAGGTTGGCTTCTATGGGATGGTATCGTATGGGCTTAACTGGCCAAACCTTCCGGTGTACCAATTGTGTCATGGCTCCTCGCTGGAAATGATGGAATAACTAGTTAACTAGAAAAATGGTAAAGGAGTTGGCTCTAACTTCTTCCTCCGTTGGGGTTTAAGGTAGCCCATCCCCGGTTAGCTGGTTATAATAGCGTAAAAAGTAGTTTGAAGGTAGTTATATATCCTCTGCAGCTTGTTCAATTACGGCGGCCTCAGGCTATGAATGGCCGTCAGTCGAGCCCTCCTGTGACTAGATATGAAACCAGGGGCCCTGTAGACGGCTATGCAACACCCAGACAACATTTCAAACAGTAAAACTTCGCTTAAGCTTTGTTTGAGGAGTCAGAGAAAGGAAATGCGCCTATTCCTGATATACAAGGTCTAACTGATTGTTGGCCTCTCGGTCCCCAGGGGTGGCCAACGGATAGCTGTGTTACTACGCTGGATACAGTGCACTTGCGATAACGGTAACATGGTGTTAGATTCATAAGCTAAAAATTAAAAAGAATGAGGTAAGCCTATCCTCCAATATGATAACAAGGGACTCCCTGCAGTTTGTTAGAGGAGTAGCTGTCTTACTCCAATTCTCTCGTAATTGCGGCGTAGTGGTAGATATCAGACCAATTCTCAATAGAGGAGATGCTTCGTCGGTCCTTCAGTGGTTATCTTTTAATAGCTAGTTGCCATGTTTGTAGATATGTTCAGAGTGAGGGCTGATGTCAAAAATTCGACCTGAAGAAACGTATCCTTCATCTACAGGTGTAAGTGAGTAGTGATACACAAGCCAGTTTTGGAACTAGGGATTTAAATCCCTGGATATACAGCCAGCTTGTTATGCATCGAGCGTTCGTTAGAGACCTGGTCTTATGCGTTGTACCGTCCAATAAAAACCTGATACTAAGTACTTTTGTTCACCTAGGAAGTGGCTGGTCTGGTCCAGTTGGCTACATTAGGGTACACGAAAAATGGATAGAGAAGAATTCAGCAGAGCATGGCGTAGCATGGATTGTTGAATGGCGGCAAGAAGAAAAGTATAGGCAAACTGGGAAGCTAGAATACAAGTTTTGAAACGGCGGGTTAAAATGCAAGTTCAACTCCGGGATAGAAGAAAGGAAGGAAGGAATCCATAGTCTGGTACTGTCACACCTCCCAACATGGAGACAGGAAGTCCTCCGAAACCAATAAAAATGAAAAAAGAGTAAACAAAAGGCACTGGCCTGGCCTCGAGGTATGTATAAGACACGCAGTGAATTGAAAGTTAACAGATGTAGGATGAGAAAATGAAGTAAATCAACTCCAAGAAAAAGAAAAAAGAATCAACCATGTCAAGCCAAGTCAAGCTGACGTGAATATGCGCCTGTTGGATGCTGGATAGAGAAAAAAAGGAAGAAAGAAAAAAGGGCAAATATAAGTGAACAGGATATCAGGAGTAATCTAGACTCGTACCATCCCTCGCACGGTCTATATTAAGCCTCTAACAGAATGAGATGGTGGGATGAATTGGTTTATTTGATATTCGACATCTATCGTTTCGTAGTTGACTTCGTGGCTCGTTTATGGGCGGTGGTGATGGTTATTGTATTGTGGCGGTAGTATGTGTTGAGTGTTATTAAGTGTTATTAGCATTGCTGTATTTGAGCTTGTAGCTTCCTTGTCTGGCGAAGTGCTTCATCCCTGTAGATCGACATTGTTAGCCTGTAAAATCACCAGTTCAAAGTAGAGAGGCGGAATGACGTACCTGTCCGATTGCAGCTCGGCGACCTGCATTTGTGCCGTGTTCATACGACTTACGACCTCGCCCATCTCAGCATCTGCGTCTCTCAAGGCTTGCTCCAAAGCTCTAACTTTGCTTTCAAGATTCGTGATCTGAGCCACCTGGTTTAAGCCCTGGGCATCGCCACTAGTCGTCCTGTTGAGACGAGGTGATCTAGATGCTGGAAAGGGTGAGTTGGGCAAGACGGGGGAAAGCACCATGGGGCTTCGAATGCCGTCCTTGGCTCTAAGCAAGAGGGCATTGTGGTTTTCCGTGAGAGCAGAGATGTCCTGCTCATGCTTCCCAACTTCTTCCTCTGAGCGTTGCTGTGCGAGCATGAGAATTTCCTCCAAGGACTTGAGTTTAGATTGCATCTCATTAATCTTCGTTGCCGAAAGCTTTTGTTCACGTTCACCCTGGCTTATGGCATCGGCAAGGCGGGCTCGCAGAGCGGCATTTGAAGCAACTTGTTTTCTGATATCGTCCTCAAGAGCTTCATTTGGTATCGGAGACCCTGGTTCAGCATTCTCCTTTGCGATTTTGAGCTGCGAATACATTTCTTCCAAGGAGCTAGCAATGGCGTGGAAATCGGTCATCATGCCTGCATCATTACCTTCTACCTGAGGAGCTGAAATATCATAATCCTCCAATAGGGCACGGAGAGAGCTGGTTTCTTGTTCGGCACGGTCAAGATCCATCTTAAGCCCAGCAAGGCCCTTCTCACACTGCCACTTTTGGTCGAGGGCGTCATCCGCGCGACGACGTAAGATGTTTATCTCTTCACGCAAGTTTTTAACGTCACGTTCATAACTCTTCTTTCGAGGCGAGTTGGACTGTCGAACACGGTATAGCTCGAGTTCCATCAGCTTAAGACGTTTCTCATGCTGACGAGCCTGGTAAGACTGGCGTTCGAGTAAACTCTTAACCGTCTGGTGAAGGGCGTCGCGCTGAGTCTCGACATCCTTCATTTGGTTTACCAACGACTCATGGAATTCGGGTCCCTTTACGATCATTGACGTTGGACGAGAGAGCGAACCGGATCGGGAAACGCCATTTCGTACCGGGGGTATTCTTGCCAGGGAATTAGATCTAGATAGACCGCCGGATGCCCGATTATTGCTTAGCCCGATGCCAATACCGATAGCCTCTTCGGCGATCGAGTCGATACGAGGTGACTGGGGCATGTCGAGCGGTAACTTCCGAGGCTGCGAGAGGACATTATTTTCATTGCGGAGGTTCTGCATATCTTGCTGCATTTGGGCATGTAGCTGGTCTCGTTCTAATTTCTGTTGCTCGAGCTCCACTCTCATGCCAGTAAGAAGGTCTTCCATGTTGTCCTTTAGCTGTCGTTCCTCGGTAAGCCGTCGACGGGTATCTTCTAACGCAGCTTCAAGTTCTTTCGATTTCCCAGCGGCATTTGATGCCTCAACTTTTTCCCGTCGAAACTAGATAAACCTGGTTAGTTGAAAGTCATCTAACGAAAATCCCCCAAAGAATTAGGGGTTAACATACCTGACTTATTTGAGATTCGAGAAGCTGAACGTGCGACTCCGCAACCTGTCTCCGCGAACGTTCTTCCTGCCATTTTTGCGAGAGATCAATCTTCAGTTGCGCGCGTTCCTGTTCATAGCTCCTCTTTAACTTTTCGATGTCTTCCGCCTTGGTACTGCCGTTTATACTTAGATCCTTGACGGAGGAACCCTGGCCCGAATCCGAAAAGTAATATTCACTGCCTCTTCTATCGCTTTCACTGCTCTCCAGTTGCATTCTCTCGACAATATCCTCGAGCTCCATTTCTCGGCGGATGGAGCCAGCCAGCTCTGAGCTGATCTCACGTAGTTCGTGTTCCATATCCGCTAGCCGGGAAGTCACGCTGGCGTCCATTGGCATGGTTTGAGACCTGCCGGTCATCTTGGGCAGGGAAGAGAAGGAGTCCTGCGGTCGATGGGTGTTTGCATATACGGTAGACGCAGCCGTGGAAGGATTCACGGAGGTCATAGGAGAAGGTATGGGGGAGAAAGCAGAATCTGAGATCTCAGTGGCGCAGGACTCGTTACCTGGAGAAGCAGAGCCCGCGTTAGTCTTCCAGCCGAAGAAGGAGGTGATCTTGCTTCCTGGGGTCTTTGGTGTTGGTCTGTAGTCGACGGAGCCGTTAGACATTGACCGAACACTAGAAGAGTCGACTCGTAGAGGCGGAGGTCTTGCAGATGGTGCGTGCTGGGGAGGGTGTAAGGCCATGGTGAAAGACCGTTTGTGATCTTTGAGGCTCTGAATTACCGCATTCAGACTGCGTCCAGAGAGTAGCGGTTCGCTTGTAAGGCGGGCGCGCGTAGGCTGCCGGAGCTGCTGCGTCTCAAGCACAGAAACGGTAGAGTGATTCACTCGGTGGTGACGATGACTGTATCCTGGAGATGGTGGTTTTGGAGAATGCCCATGTGGAAATCTACAAATGTACACTGTTAGCAAGACCCTGTACATCTGGCGAGAAAAGGGTGACTGCCGAGTACGAACCTATCGAGGTCTCTCACAGAGAAATTGATCGACGTAGCGGATTGGGGAAGCGAATCATGACCCGAGGAGGACGCAGACGGCCTCCTAGGCTGAGTTGGCGCGGCGTTCAAGTGTAGAGGAGCAACGTTAGGCGGTAGCGGCTTTCTGCGAATTGGCGGCGGCACCGGCGGCGGCGAAGGGGTAGATGCGTAGTTGGACTCGTCGTCGTTGTAGTAGTAGTAGGGAGAAGAGAAAGTCGAGGTCGAAGAAGTGCGCGTACTCTCCCAGTAGCAACTCTGAGGAGAGACAAGAGTGGCGCCTGGTGGCGCCGTAGTGGTTCCCTCTGATAGAAAAGCCGCCATATTGACCAGGCTTGACTTGGGTTGGCCTCCGTCCCCGTCACGCTGTCTCTCCCTTTTCGCTCTTTCTGGCGTCTCCTGCTCGTTGGCGGTTCCCTCCTTTTACCGGGTGGACGAGAGGTGGAGTTGGTTCAGGGGCTTCTGCAACAAGGGCAAGGGCCCTGGTTGGCTGCAGGCCGGCGTTAACTCTTGCCTAGGCGCTCCCTTAGCCCTTTGACTCTGGCCCATAGGACCCCTAGCAGCTTGCGCTGGTGCCCCTAAAGGTAGACAGGGGCTTGTCCTCGCCCACACGCCGGCTCTTCCTCAGGCTCGCCCTTTTTCAAACAAGCACAACCCCTGATAGACTGGAAGGGGCCTGAAGAACGTCGGCGCTAAGGCAGAATCACGTGGACGGCAGGCGCCGAGGCCTTTCTCGTTCGTCTTCCTTCGTCCTTCGTCTTTCGTGCTTCGTTCAGGATTCGATCTTCACTCCAAGCTGTCCTCGTTCTCGTGTAGTTGGTTTTATGCCATGCGCCTGGACACGGGATGGAAGGTTCGTCTTTGTTGATGGCCTGTCAGTCGCGCTTTGTTCCTGCATAAAGCGCCATGCATCGACTGCAGCCAACAATCAGCAACCCAGACGCAGTTGGGGTCAGAAAAGGAAGGCCGAAGATGCTCTCCTTATATATGGAGAATGCCTGGGTGTATTCTCCGTATGTGCCCGGGCAGGAGTAAGCGTAAGGATAAGAATCGCTGTGTGTGTATGTTGTGTCAAGGAATCCACGGGAGGAGGGAAGAGTGCATATTTAAATGTTTCTATACGGGGAACTGGCGGCCATGAGCTGCGGTGTTCCCTTGTCCCAGGCGAGGGCGAAGGCAAGAGAGGAAAGTGGACGTCTCTTTGCTTCTTCGGTTCAGGCCGTTTCTCTATCAATGATGGTTCTTTCGTTCGACAGGGAACATACCGAATACCGGCCTCGACTGCTCCCTGTCCAATGGCTGGCGTCCTGGCCCTGCTTTCGCCAATACGCGCTGCAGCGTTAGGCTAACCTTGAAGTTTTGCAACTTGGTGACTGGCCAATAGATGTATTTTGCGACTTCTGATCTTGGTGGCAAACAGGATCTCTGTTCCGTACTTATGGGGTTGGGTTGGCCTCTGTTGTGCAGTTCTGAAGATCGATGCAGTTGGTAGATGGGTGCAGTGGTCGATGCAGGTAGGCTCTAGCAAAAGATGGAGTACAAACGAAGAGATACAAAAAAGAAGAAGAGAACGGCCAAAAGCGAGACAAAAAGGAGAGACCAAAAGAGATCAAAAATAGGCAGATATATAGACAGATCCCGAGAATACAAGACACCCTTCAGCCCTCAAACGTATATCGCAGCCACTCGCCCACAGCTCTAAGACTCTCCCACCTCACGGACTCTTCCCGGTCAGTCATTAGGGCCATCACTCGCGCCTTCAGGCCTAGCTTGTCCAGCTGGTGTCGTCGCTCGGGCACTTCCCTCACCAGACACCCAACGTCGTTACACGCAATGGCCAAAACCTGCTTGTCCGTCTCCCAGTCTTTTGAAAGAATCTCGACCAGCTTCTTGGGTAGGCTGCCTCCGTCTTCATCCAGGATTCGGCGTGCGTTCTCACGCCAGAAGGTCGGGTTGCGGTGCGGGGGAGACCAGCGCAGGTGGCCAGCCTGTACCTCCGCAGCGTACTCATCGAACGTGGTCTGCTTTTTCGTATACTCGTCCATCATCTCTGTCAGGGCAGAGAGATCCTCCAGCAAGTCTGGATCATTTAGATGGCGACTGTTCAGGTTACCCAGCATGGCTGGTAGACGCACCACCACGGCATTGGGCAAAAGATTCGCTTTGTTGCTGGATAGCAGGTTACGGAGCGTTGATAGCAGCAAACGAGTAGTTTTCTCCTTGGGCGAAAGCCTTAGTAGGTTGGTGTATAGTGCAATTATCTCGTGTTCCCTATGATATCACGTTAGCCGGTGTATAGCCCGTAGCCTTTTTTTTGTTTAGTGGGTTCCTTACGATTCAAGCTGGGCACCGATAAGGTCCGCCTCGAAGCTCAGCTGCCACAACACAAGAAGGACATGATACAAAAGTTGGATTCCAACTCCGCCGCTGATACCGGTTTCTCCAGCTCTACTTCCGCCCAGGGAGGACCCGTTATCCTTGGTTGGTCCAGATGCGGCGCGCAAAATCCCAATCAGTGGTTCGACGGTGTCCCTTCTCTCCTTCCAGAAGATCTCTCTCGACCTCTTCGTTCGCAGCAAAGCAGAGTATCCCTGCACTCCGATATCCTGTAGCCCCGTATCCGCGCTCTTGGTCAAAGTAGAGAGGTAAGCATAGAGCTTGGGCAGGGCAACCTCGTCCTTTGGAGATGCCTTGGGAGAAGCTCTAAGCGAGGCCGAGACAAGATTGGCCAGCAGCGACGAAGTGAGCAGAGGAATCGGGTCTTCCGAGTTTGTCGAGTTGGTGAGAAGAGGTAGGAAGTGTCGATAGCTCTCGCTGCTCTCCACCAGAGCGGACGTTAGAGCAGGTACATCTAGACGCCCCAAGTTAGAAACTAGCTACCAAGTCATCAGATCAGACAGGCATACCGCTAATTAGATCTCCGGCGAGAACAAGAATGTACTGTATTATATCTGTCCGTCGAGTGGCAGACTCCAGGATGCTCTTTTCCGACCCATTGCCGGCCAGCAGCGAAGTGTACGCCGCCACATCCTTCTCGATCGTCTTCTGTCTCGAGTCCTTGCGCACCTTATCAACGGCCTTGACCCGCTTGAGCTGCTCTTCCGTGATGTTCCCTGCTCGCACTGCGCCCTCCCATGGTATCGGTCGAGCTCTGATGTTGTTCTGCAGCGAGGTGAGGTAGGTTGGTGGCTCGAGGGACATGGTTGGAGCTACCGAACGACCGCTGGGACCGTCGTCTCTGTCTATATATGCGGGAATCTCGGTGCGTAGCTGGTCCGCGTCGGCAACAGCTTGAGGCTCCGGTCAGTGTCTGCTGCTGTCTCTTCTGCTGATGCTGTCGTTGATGCTGAAGCTGGTATTGATGTCGTTGTTGACGTTGTCGATGGTCGACATCTTGAACTCGAAGAGCTCCACGCCAAGCCTTCTGCCTCTGCACCTAAAATCATGACATCCACAACTTCAACAAGTCGCTGTCGCTATCAACATCGCCAACTAACAAATTAAGCAGCAGCTCAGGGCTACAACTGATCTATACAGTGCTGGAAGCTGATTACGGTTATCTATATAGAAATGTGCTAAGCCCTAGCTTTGCCCAAGTCGCTAGAGTACTGCAACAGGCCCGTCCTGCTAGTAGACAGCCGGCTCCATGGGCCACCACTGGAAGAGAACTGTTTCCCTATTATGCTCTAGATTTAGTAGTTACTGGAAGCCCGAAACAGAGATCATGTACTGAAGACAATGGCGGCAATGAATAATTGCATGCGGATATATACTGTGGCCATATCAGTTTACGTTACTGAGCGTGTTTTGGGTCTATCTAAAGCGTTATTATATCACTTACCTTGAGTATGTTCACTGCGTTTTCCCTCCACTAGGCCGTTAATGAACAGGCTCAGGTCATTCCCATGTTCCATCTTTTGCTGAATGTCTCTGATCTCTGCTGCCGTCTCCTGCGTTGGAATAACAGCCACGCCAGCACTTCCGAATCACACTCCCAAGCAGAAGCTGGCTTTGATCTGGGTACTCAACCCTCGCATACCGAGCTTGTAATTCATTCTCCTCCATTCCTACATATGCTTTGAATGCCGTAGACATCTCATAAATGGCGGATCCAAGGAAAAACAGCTCTGTCTGTACCGTAGGAGGCCCTATGGGGTGTTGAGCAGCCGGGCTGACAACGACGGTAGGCCTGCTGCCGTCAATCGAGCTCCCAGAAAAATCGCAGTACTTGACATTATCGCCCCAATCAACCAGCAAGTTGTGAAGACCGACATCAACCTGAAAGATGCCCTTTGCATGGAAATACTGCATTCCTTCGGCTGCCTGAGCCGACCATTTCAAAACGTCTTCATAGCTAGCTGTCCGTCTATCTTCTCTGAGCTCTCATGTTCGAAATCGTAGAGGGTATCTCAGCCGTTCAAGGACAATCAAATCCTTATGGGTGTATTCGCTCGAGAATCTCCCTCTCCACTTGAAGCTCTTCCGCGTTTTCGTCTCCTCCAGTTGACGTTTTAATCACCGATAGCTCGTCGACCGCAAAAACTATGCCTGAGACTCCTCTGTTGACGAAGGGCAGATCCCAGAGACACTTGGGGAAGCTTGCTTTCGACTGGTTTGGTAGAGTAGACATGATATTGAGTCAAATATGCCCGAGAAACCAAGTCAATCATCAGAGCACTGTCAAGTAATTAAAACTAATTGGAGCATTGGAGCATTGGAGCAAGCCCTGCTAAGCCACTAGAGCTGGTTATTATTTAGTCCATCTGTCATTAATGTTTCCGACGTTGGGATTGCAGGGCCAGATTTTTTGAACATGGTTAGGAAAAGACATGGCTAGTTATCCCATCTCCCTAGTTGTTTATTTATGTTTATAACAGCGCACGCTAGTCAGTGATAGCTACTCCCCAGCCCCTTGGTGTCTTCAAGCTTTACACTTCCCACTGAAGCAGAATCCGCAATCTTCTCTTCCCATACCGTGTCCTACATCCAATCCACCCGTGCCATCTTTATTTTTGGCGCAGCATCTTCCGTCTCGGTTTTTGCTGGGAAGATATTAATTAGTATAACGCGGCTTATACGAGAAAGAGGACGGTCATCATGTTATCTTATGGCGGTTCACTTACCAATTTCGAAACGAATTCTGGGGACCCAGCCTCCTTCCAGAGCAGTGGTCGCCGTTGGTGCGCGATCCACTGCATCCTTTCAATGCTCCCATGGCGGCCGCGGTATCGCGCTTGGATATATCAGCGTTGGCGTTGGCCAGCGGGTTAGCCAATGCAAAAGATGCAAGGCATGCAAATGCTGCAGAGTAGAGTAGAGTTGGTTTCATGATATGTGTTGTGGCTGTGACCGTGATTTCCTTATGGGAGTAGGTTGGGTGCTTGGGCTTTGTCTCTGGGTTAGGATTGACGGGAAGACTAGCTATCTTTTATACCCGTGTTCCCCTGGTATCTCATTTTTCGGTCAATTTGATCCAAGCATGTTTTGCGATAGTGTTCTGAGCTAGGGTGATATGGGCAGATATGACTGGCGTATGCCAGAGTGGGTGTAGCGAATGGTCCGTGAAATAGTTTACTCTGACCGCTGTTATCTGGCGATCTTTTGAAGATCACCCGCTGGCAACGCATAGAGTCAGCTCAAGCAGTGCTTTGATCGTGGGTATATTTGTAGGTTGTTGATACTCCGTATTCAAATGATAATTGGCTTTCCATGACTGAGCTCTCGGGCCTTCTATGGAGTTCGGTGGCTTCAAATGATGCCTTGCTATGTGCCGCAGCGGAATAGCCAACAGACACCTGGCTTGGTAGGGAGTAATGGCTGCCATTTCTCTTCTAGTGCCACCTTTTGTTGAGACAAGGTGTAGCCCACTTGCTTATATAGCATCATCAAAAGCCGGTGGCCTCTCGTAGGTAAAGCTGGTTGACAGGTTTAAACCCCACCAGGAGAGCAGAAAGATGCCCCTGGTGCAGGTTGGCGTGGAATACGAGCTCAGAATTCGGTTTCTTCTTTCCTATCACGACAGTGACAGTGATGGGAAGCAAGCAGTTGGCCAGGCCTTTCTTCCTCGACTGCCACTCTTATGTCCTTATGTCCATATGTCCAGATAGATAGATCTATGAGTATTCTCGCCCCCTCCTTTGATCAAGACGTCGTCAACGGCTGGTGCCTGCATGCAAGCGGAAGACCAGGGAGATTACGAAACTCGTAATCAACGGCTCTTTCATCCACCGAGACCTGGCCGTACACAAAGGCATGATCCTGCTTCCTTGTTAGCGAAGAAGGGAAGACAAGACTAGGAAGAGAAACGATGAGAAGAGAAACGACGAGAAGAAAACATTCCTTTCGACCGTTGGCGATTAGAGATGCACCGTAACCTTGGATGGGAAGCAACTTATTTACACAACTAGTTCAAGTTATTTATAGCTAGCTTTGCGATCAAACCACCGTTACTCCGTCAACTAATAACATCATCCAGCTTGCTCTTCTCAAACTTCCCAGAGACGCAAGGAAGCGCCCTGCCGACGCGAGACCTCGATGACCAACTGATACACGCGAAGAGTTACGCTGGAGGCGAAGCGCTGAGCCATGTCGAAATGGAAAGTCGGCTCGTTTTTACAGCAAGCCGTGGCCGGTGTTGAGTCCAGGCTGGACACCATCTTGGCCGACAGCGACAGCGAGGCTGCGCAGAATGCAGAGAAGACTGAGAAGCCGGCAGAGAAGCAGCCTGGTCTCCGGGCGGGCGTGCTGCCTCCCAGTATGTGTGGTCTTTTATTACCCGTTTTTTTGCCGGCCGCAGTCAGCTAACTCGCTGCCCTAGGCCTCTCTCGAAGCTCCTCCTCAGCCAGAGTCAATGATAGGCTCCAGGAACGGCTTGCTCGTGCAATGGTGAAGCAGCCCGGCGCTGGAGGTGTCACCAGTCCACCATCATCGACCGGAGTGCCCTCGCGAACTTCGAGCCCGCTCCCCGCAGATGGCAGCAGAACGAGTATTGATAGTACCACTGGGAACATAGAAAAGGCTGCAGATGACACGGCATTGGATAAGAAATCTACCACTGGTCCAGCCCCGCGTATGAGTATGGATGCTATAGTCCAAGGGAGACAGTCAAATGAGGTGCAGCCTGGGGAACAGGATGTAGCAGCATCCAAGGACGCTGATGCCGAGGCAGACCCCTCAAAGACCTCCAACAATAATGCGGATGTGAATTCAGACCAGATGGCCCAATTCGATGGTGCCGATTCCCGGTCGAGCCGTCTCGAAGACTACGAGGAGGCTATGGCTAAGTTGCAGGCTGACCATGAAGCATCGGAATTGCGATGGCAAGAGGAATTACACAGCTACATAGAAAAGATTGATGCCCTTCAAGCAAAGTTGAAGTATCTAGCAAGTGAAGCAGCAGAATCAGCCCGTAATTCCACGGCTACTGCTGCTCCTGGCACCGTGGAGAAGAAGCTCTCCGAAAAGGAGGAGAAGATTGCAGCTCTTATGGAAGAAGGCCATAAGTTGTCGAGGACCGAGCTCGAGCATCGATCGACTATCAAGAAACTTCGACAATATATAGCGGAAAGTACCAAGTCTCAGGCAGACCTCAAGAGGAGGATTGACAAGATGGAAAGGGATTTAAACCAAGCAAACGACCGTGCCAAGCGAGCAGAAGCAGCTGAGAAACGAGCCACGGCCAGCTTAAACAAACAGTCAAGCGCAGAGGAAGACCTAGAATCTACAATTGCTGAGCGGAACATCTTGAAAGCTACCGTCTCTGATCTGAGCTATCAGCTATCCAGAGCATCCGCCAGAGCCGAAGCTGCCGAGAGAAAGGCTGAAGAAGAAACTGCACAAGTAGAGAGCCGTCAGGTTACCGAGCTCAAGGAGGAAATCTCCAGTGCAAAAGTTGAGCATGACCTCAGTGAGGAGAAGCTCCGTCGTGAGATTGAAGATCTCAAGGAGAGCCTTGGCCGAGAAAAGGAGCGCTCAAGAACCCAGGAAGTTGAACTTCGGGGAGAGCAGTCCGTCTTGGAGAGTAAGATGGAAAGCCTACGAGCTCGTGCTGAGGAAGCTTCGTCAAGTGCTACTGGTGACGCGCAAGCCAAGCTGTTACGGCAGGTAGAGACGCTACAGACACAGTATGCTGTGGCCAGTGATAATTGGCATGGAATAGAGACCTCTTTGCTCTCTCGTCTCGCCAGCGTGGAGAAGGAAAGAGACGATTTTGCTAAACGAGAAGGGGATATGCGCCGGAAAGTCCGAGAATCGGTAAGAAGACGTTCTCTACCCACTAAATTAACTAACAGGTATGCTAACGTTCATATAACAGGCTCTAAAAGTCAAACGAGCTGAAGGGGACTGTGAGAACTCCCGTGAAGTTTCTCGCGAGCTTGAGCGGAATCTCGAGGAGAGTCAACACGAGGTGAAGAAGCTGCAGGCAAAAGTCGAAAAGTTAGAAGAGGAACTGCTTGCAGCACAGCAGGACTTGTTGAAGCAGAAGGAAACACTGGACGCTACTTGGGAACAGCGGCTCGAGGATGAAAAGTCCAAATGGCAGGAGAGCATTGTAGCCTCTCCATCAGTACTTCAAGCCCGAGGAGAATCAATAACACCAAGTCGACGATCAGATGTGCTGTCATCCCTGTCTGAAATCCCCAATAGCCGCAGGTCATCCATACTCCCTAAGCTGGACACTCCTCCTAGGCAAAACTCATACTCTTCCTTGAACTCCAACCCGCTTCTCCGCGCAGCTACCCATGATACCTCGTCCCCTCTAGTTGACAATGTCTCTGTGCAGACACTAGAGCCCGACGAATATTTCAGCGGTTCTATTACCCCAGCAACGCCCTCAGTACCGGGAACCCACACTCAAAACTCTCGCGGAGCCCATGATGTTGTTTCTGCGTCTACAGTGGCAGCCGGCCCATCCGTACAGTTGGTAGAGAGGATGAGTGCCACAGTCCGTCGGCTCGAGAGCGAACGTGCAGGTTTCAAAGACGAATTAGAACGTATCACCTCCCAGCGAGATGAAGCAAGACGCGAGGTCGTTGAGCTTATGAAAGAAGTCGAGGAGAAGAGAGTTGGAGATGACGAAGTACGAAAGCTTGAAGAACAGGTTCAAAAGCTGAATGAGAGATATCAGACCACCCTTGAGATGCTTGGTGAAAAGAGCGAGCAAGTGGAAGAGTTGAAGGCGGACATTGCCGATTTGAAAGATATATACCGCGACACACTCCAAAAACATCTGCAATCATAGATCAGGTTCGGCGTTGGCACAGTGTTTTTCTTTTGTTTTTACAATGTCTTCCCATGTTACTACCGCTACTACTATTAGATATGAGGGAATCTACTGCGAGGGTTTTATCACATGTATTGAAATATGATTACGTTTAGGTGTGTCGTCAATTTCGTTATTTCTTGATGTACACAACGAGAACAAAGTCATCATCATGGCAGTTCGATGCCCTCTCGTTCTGCACTTTCCAGTATGTACTTCCGAACCTGTAGAAGGTGGTCAGATATCGGCACTTACACCTGCTGATATGACAAGAGCGTAACTGAATGTTTCTCACCTTAGAATCGGGAGAAAGTTCGATAGCAAGCTGGCCGTTTGAGTCTCGTTTATCAGCTTCTGCCCCGGCTCTAAGAAGAGTCAAAGCTGCTTCTCCATGGCCTTCCGAAATCGCATGATGAAGGGCAGTGAGGCCGTCGACATCCGTAGCGTTCAACGGGCTCTTCCCTTCTTCAATAAGAAGTTTGACCAGCGGGACAGATCCGATAGCTGCAGCACGGTGAAGCGGCAGTTGGCCTCTTTTATCTTTCACTCTTGCACTGCATTTGTTCTCGAGTAGCCGGCGGACAGCGGATATATTATTTTTCGAAGTAGCAAAATGAATGGCATTCTATCAAAGTGCTTAGTGCACCTGATACCTTGTTCGTGAGAATAACTGTCAAGAAAAGGGTAAACAATACCTGGCCACTTGAAGTTTTCATATTGACGTCCGCGTCTTTACGAAGCATTTGTTCAATTATGGCGTCACCTTCTCCGTCTTTTAGACTTGCTGCAATCATAAGCGGCGTCCATCCCGAGGAGTCCTGATTCCGGTCTTAGTAGGTTGGCTCTATAAACGTAAAAGGGTATGTGATCATATCAAAACTGACTGTAACATCAGGATCAAAGTCTTTCATTGATATGAGAAGCTCGATTATAGGGGGCCTATTATATGCAACGGCCCAGTGGATGGGCAGTCTCTCATCTCCATCCTTTAGATATGCAAGTTTGGGGTTTGCCTATAGCTCAGCCATCTATGTTAATAGAGTCATGAAGCATAACAGATAGTGGCCATTTAAACCAGCTAATAGACAGCTCTTGACTCACGTTGAGTAGAGATTCAACCACCAGGTCTATATAAATGTTAGTCAACCGAGTGTGTCTAGACATGGAGTAAACAGGATTTAAGTACTCTTTCCCTCCCGAGCAGCCTCGTGAATAGCAAACTTCGCGCTATAGTCAGGATCCATCCTTACAATATTATCTGTTCGTTTTTTATCACTTCGTTGGCGTCTCTATACAGGTGAACTGTATACTTTGTTTGGTGCTGGAGCCTTGCTGTCGCTACATTTGAGAAGCGCGGCTGTTGGATGGTGGTTCAAGTCTTGGCACAGGGACAAACAGCTTTTCATTCCTTAGCCGCAAAAGCGAGCTGGATGCTTCGTCCATCAACAACCACAAGCTACGGATCTCGCATATCAATACCACTTACCTCGAGTTTAACAGGCATATTGCAACGAATACATCGCCGCTGATAAGATTGAGCCGTTGGCGTTTAAATCGCAACGAGCGTTGCCTTGCGTACCGAGTTAGAAGCGTGTTACCAGGACACGCTCTCTTCGGCGTGCTCCTCGATTCCAGCGCAAACCCGCATTCAGCGCTTTTAATAATTACGGATAAGATTGAAGCGATGGAGGTCGTTCAGGATAACATCTCAGCGAACGAGGCTGTTCGGAAATCTGCCAAACGAACGCACGAACTATTTGGCTCCGATTATCTCTTCCCCGTCACGTCCATATCCTCGGAATCTATTGGAGTCTCATACCGGCGGAAAAAAGAATACGGAGATGTGCAGACGTTACCTCCATCTCTAGCAGAGAAGCAGGCAAAAGCAGCTACAGCACGAGGGAAACGCACTAAAATAAAACCAGAACCAGGCACCTCAACCGCGCTGGTGAAAAGTTCTGCTCCAGCTAGTGCGCAGTCAAGCGGAGATGGTGCCCCTACGAGTCTCATAAAACGACTGGATATCTCCCAGCAACCGAAGCCGGACTGGCACGCGCCATGGAAATTGATGCGAGTAATTTCGGGCCATCTGGGATGGGTTCGAAGCCTGGCAGTAGAACCCAACAACCAGTGGTTTGCCAGTGGTGCAGGAGACCGGACCATTAAAATCTGGGATTTGGCTACAGGTACCTTGAGACTCACTTTGACCGGTCATATATCTACAGTCAGAGGCCTGGCAGTTTCTCCAAGGCACCCATATCTATTTTCCTGCGGAGAAGACAAGATGGTCAAGTGCTGGGACCTCGAAACGAATAAGGTTATTCGACACTACCATGGGCATCTCAGTGGCGTTTACACTCTTTCCTTACATCCTACATTAGATGTACTGGTAACGGGAGGTAGAGACGGTGTTGCGCGTGTTTGGGATATGCGTACTCGAAGCAACATTCACGTCCTCAGCGGCCACAAAGGCACAGTCTCAGATGTGAAGTGTCAAGAAGCAGACCCGCAAGTTATTTCCTCCTCCCTTGATGCAACAGTACGATTATGGGATCTGGCCGCTGGTAAGACCATGGGTGTCTTAACACATCACAAGAAAGGTGTTAGAGCACTCACTACACATCCAAAGGAGTTTACGTTTGCCAGTGCTAGTGCTGGGAGCATAAAGCAATGGAAATGCCCTGAGGGCGCATTTATGCAGAACTTTGAAGGCCAGAATGCTATCATTAACACACTTGCTGTAAATGAGGACAACGTTCTTTTCTCCGGCGGCGATAACGGTTCCATGTCTTTCTGGGACTGGAAGTCAGGTTATCGATTCCAATCTCTAGACACAATCGCCCAGCCTGGTTCTCTAGATGCTGAAGCCGGCGTTATGGCTTCTACGTTCGACAAGACAGGCCTGAGATTGATTTGCGGAGAGGCAGATAAGACCATCAAGATCTGGAAACCTGATGATGAAGCTACCCCTGAGACACACCCCCTGGATTGGAAACCAACCCTCGGCAGAAAAAGATATTAGAGTGGACGGACATATCAGATTTCTCATAATGGCGCATGATGGCGTTTTCAACGGTTTTGGAGTTTTGTTGGCCGAGCATACAAATCTTTTCAGTGTGAAATCTATACGTGTACTTTTATTTATATGACCTTTGTCTTTATGGTACAAAATCTTGCTATATTAATTTATCAAGACACTAATGCCTTGATCAAGTCTATTCCGTTAATCTTACACTATCCTTCAACACCTAAACCTAACATATTCCCTTCCGGATCATCCCTAAATGCTGCCCTCGCATCCTCTGCCGCAATCCGTAGCCGAACCTTACTACTCCTGTTCCCTTTTCCCAAGGCATGGCTCATGCCATCTCCTGACTTCGTACCATGGTCCCCTTCTAGGACAACAAGTCCAGCATCGATTAAATCAACCGTCGCAAATCCCATGCCTTGTATCCGTGAACTGTAAATCAGCCTTTCCTTGAGTTTAGCACCGGAAGAAGCAGATACACTAGTTGCTGCATCAGATATACGCTTGGCTTCATCGAGTATATCACCAACAGTAGATTCGTTTAGTCCCGTTCGTCGAATCCTTGCCAACAACCCTGCAAGAAGGACCTTTGATGCAAGAGGCAGACACCGAAGAGCTTGTTGGAGAGGAGTAGATGTGGCTTCTTGAATCGCTTGCTTAATAGTAGCGATTGTAACTCGTGGAAGGGTGTCCTCATCTGTGTCGTCTGCGCCTTTATTGTTTTCCTTCTGGGGAGAGGCTAAGATGGCCGCGGCTTTGCGTCGAGATGCGCTCTTGCTGGGTGTTGGGGGTAAAAACTCGAGATCTGTATCACCATTCAAGTTTGCTGATGAAGCAATAAATGACTTGTGCTTCTCTCTTGCTTTCGCCTCACTAATTTGTTCTGCTATCTCAACGGCTCGACGACAGATATCGAGAGCGCGACGGGCATCACCGCTGACAGCAGCAACTTTTCGGCTTGCAAATTGCACTGCATCTGCATGGACAATATTGCCGGGGACACTCTCAAGCCTTGAGCTAATGATTTCCATGAGCTCTTGGTATTTGTACCCTGAAAATGTAATTCTAGTAAGGCCCAGCCGGCTAGATATTTTATTGCTCAGAGTTCGCTCTGGAAGATCCATAGTATTGGCAACTGCAAGGACCACAAGTCTAGAATGCCGCAGGGCAGGCCAATTGAAGAAGTTATACATGACGGACTGGTTCTTAGTAACTAGTTGGTCTAGTTCATCCATCAAAACAACACAGGGAACCCGACGAGGCGAAGGACGAGAGAATTCTCGCGAAAGTAAATCCAGTGCATGTGAAGGCGAGATGCGGTCACCCTTCAGCGCTTCCCACAGCATAGAATATGACTGGTGTGGATCTGTGACTTTCATACCGTTGATTTCCACAAAGATGAAGTCATCCATTTCTTCGTCCAACACTCTTGTGTTTAAATGGGCAATAACATCTCGGACTGTGGCAGTTTTTCCGGTCCCAGGTGGCCCCGATATGTATATACAGGTCCCCGTACCGTCACTAATAGCTGTATGAAGGCTGTCGTAAACAGCGTTGAACTCTGCATCACGGCAAGGAAGTGAAGTTGGAACACTAGAAACATGAAGCAGGTTACGAGCTTGTCGATAAGGAGAAGCCGTGAAATGTGAGGGAGAAAGAGTGCGAGTTGATAAGGGTGTAAATTCAAGCGGTCGTTTCACTTTAATTCTACAGTTATTGTTAGCCCCTAAAATTCCTTTCTCTGTCATGAAGGATTTTCTGGTGCAATTCATACCTTTTATGTGTTGGGGTTGTTAGATATTTCTGGCGTTGCCTGGATTGCGGAGTGCCAGCTATGGATTCTGTCTTCTGGCGCTTTCTGGGAGTTGAGGGAGCATATTCATCTTGCTTTTCTTTTGCTGACTATAGTAAAAGAACATTAGTAACCATGAGGTAGCTGGTGACTTCATCAGGTACATACACTAGTTCCCTTTGCAGCTCGTTTCCTGACTTTGGAGATGGCGTCCCTGATGAACTCTACAAGTTCAAAGACGCCGTCTTCGGATTCTGTATAAATATCTTCCCATATAAACTCGTCTGTGTACCTTCCTTGGAGCTGTTTGACCCCCCTTCGACATATAATACACTTGTTAAACTCGGCTGCTGCGGTCTTGCCCTTGGGTGCCTTTCCATCAGGGTATTTCTTGTAAAATGCATCTTTAGACATCACAATGGCTCGCCCATTTATTGACGCTAGGGGGTTGATGTTGAAGTCTGTAGTTATATATTGTTCATTGGGCAAGGCATCGGGTCTTTTCTTGTTCTTTGTTGACAAAAATTCGTCAGGAGACGTAAACCACATTAGATTCATAGACTTGACAATCTCGCCGCTGTCAGGATCCGGGTCGTCCAAAAACTCGTATATAATCCCCGCCCAGTCCTTGCCGGCCTCAGGGGATTTCAAAAGAACAATGTGGCCAAGTCTGCATTCGAAGGAGCCCATTCGCGCTCCTATAATCTTGGGTCCTGATTTCTTTCGTTTCGAGGGCTTAGCCGGGGAAGGCTGCGGTTCTTCATAGATCCATTCCCAAGGAAGGTCTTCAGATCCCAGCTCATCATCGGAATCCTCATGGAATATCCCTCCCTTGGTTAGCCACTGTCGAGCTAGCTCTTGATCTCTCTTGCTCTTGATCTCTGGGGTATCTTGGGCCACCATATTGCTTGGCTGGAGGACACGACGTGCAGCCTTAAAGTTGAATTAGAAGTTTCTCATCCTGTTAGATCATAGAGCCTCGTGTATTTACTCCAAATCCTCGTTGGAAATAGCATAGATTATGCATCGTCTTCCTGTCCTTCTGCTTCAACTTATCGTTTGGTGTTTCTGATATTGAGGTTATTCCTAATCGAGACTAGCGCCTCACCAGCTTGGACAAGCTCCTATCACGTGATATAAGTTTTGAAGATGTCCCGTTATGGAAATATTTCAGGAACAAAAACTCATCCACAAACCAACCGCAACTTTTTGCGACTTGAAGGAAAGAATTGGGCTCAAGAGGTGGACTTCACGGAGGCTTTGATTTATAAAGGATAGTACTGGCTTTGTCCATTTTCTAAGCGTCCTCTTCCTCTCGTCGCCCGCACGCAATTTTGAGCGCCCGTTATTTTGCATCTACTACTGCGGTTGACACCATTATCCTGACGAAGTGCCATCAACAATTTCAACGCGCCAGCTAATCTTCGAGAAATAATACGCGATGGCACTGTTCGGTACGCAGAATCAACAGACTTCGACTCCGTCCCTGTTCGGCCAGTCAACAAACCAGACTCAGCAGGCTGGAAGCATATTTGGTGCCCAGCAGCAACCACAGCAACAGGGAAGCTCCCTTTTTGGGCAGTCATTCCAGCAGAAGCCTCAAAATAACTTATTTTGTGGCATTGGGCAGCAACAAAAACCAAGCCCGTTTTCTGGATTCGGCACTACAGCGCAACAACAGCCACAACAACAAACCGGGGGGTTTACTCTTGGATCTACCACGCAGCAACCGCAAAACCAACAAAATGCGAGTCCGTTCGCAGGATTCGGCACTACGCAGCAGCAGCAGCAGCCACAAGCGCAGACTGGAAATACGTTCTCAGGCTTTGGTGCGGCCTCACAACAACAACCGCAGCAACAACCCCAGCTAGGACAAACTCAGGGATTCTCACAAGCGGGTAGTTCGACAATATGGACTCCTGGCCAGGGAATGACAGGAGGTAAGCAATGAACTCACTCGTGTGGTAAGACGTCTTCTGATTTTTTTTATGTACAGTCCACCGAACCGTACCAATGCAGATAATGATCGTAAAGGACAAATGGGACGCCACAAGTCGCTCATCTCCGTTCCGGGGATATCTCTATAATAATGTGGGCGAGGAATCTGCGCCTTTTTTTCAGCCGGGTCCTAACGACGATGAGAACAAGTGGGAGGAGGCATTGAGAAAACGCCCAGGACCTGGCTACGTCCCTGTCCTTGTACAGGGCTTTTGGGAGTTGGGGAAGCGCACGCAAAGACAGAAAGATTTCTTGTCAATGATGCAGACGCGGTTACATGAAATAAATAACGCCTTGACAGAGTTATTGTCACGACATGACTTGACCATATCCGTCAAGATCGCGGCCTGTCGGCGAAAACACAAAGTGCTGAGCCAGAGATGCCTTGCCTTAGCATCGAAGACACAGCTGTTGCGAAACCGCGGATATGCTATGGATCAGACAGAGGAGGAATTGGCTAAGAAGCTGTTCCAGCTAGAGCGAGCAGTTTTTGACCCGTCCCTCAATGGCAGATCAGAAGAAATTTGGGCGAGGATGTTAGCTATCCGGGAGAACTCAAAACGCCTTCAGCTCGAAATTGAACGTACAGGAAACGACACATCTAATCAGGCAGATGACTCTCTCGATGATGCAGCTCTAAAAACAGCTAAGAAGGTATGGCACCGAAATCACGTCCCATGTGTCACAGTCGGATGCTAACTAGATAACAGATTCTCGAAGACTATGCCACTCAGATTCAGCATTTGAACAAGGAACTTGCTGCTGTTCAAAAGGATTTTGGAAACCTGGAGCAGTCTATACCCTCCTAATCGTTAATGCTGCTGCGCGTAAAAATGACCCCGGTTGTTTATCTTGCTAAGTTCATAATCGACGCCTTTTATCTACTATCTCTCTGAGGTGTGAATTTTATTATGTTGAAAACGGCGTTCTGGGCAACGTGCTGGTGGGATAGGTATCATCTTTAAGATCACTTGACATTTAAATATCTTGCTTCCAATTCCCTATACTCATACATGTACGATTATGACCTTTACAAGGCCTGATTGCTTGTTCATACAGACAATGTCTATCTGACAACCGTGCAGCCATATGGTTCCATCGTATTAACTTCTAATGCCCAGTAACAGAAACAAACTCCATCCATCTTATTAGAAACTCATGGTATATTCAGTGGGTAGCGGTTTAGAAAAGTCTTCGGACGAAGTCGATGGCAAAGGGGGCTATAATTATCGTAATAATACCAGTTAGTTCGGTCACTTCTTCATGTGTGCACTTCGTGATAGTAAGGGTAGCCAACTTACAGAGATAGAGCAACACGCTCCCGGTGGCAACCATTTTGAGGGTCTCAAAAGCTTCCAATTCTCCAGCCTGTGTTGAAAAATAACCGATATAAGAGAGAGAATACTCATCTATCAAGCGCCGGCTCACGTACCTTGATCTCCTCTGGGGAGAGGGCTTCCTGTCCTGCAGAAGCGTGTGTTAGTAAGATACCTCAAAGACCCTTTGGCGTAAAGTAAACAGTGCAGTACCTACCTGGCATAAACATGTTGATAGGTAGTTATTTCCCTTGTTAAATAGATAGGATCTTGTGTTGGTTGTTCTTATTTAAAGCGATTGATTGTTAATTGTTTCTATTCAACTTCTTGATTTTTCTCCATTGAAAGTTTGTAGGCTACGCACGGGCCAAGTCAACGTCGACTTTGGCCTTTTTCTCTTTTAAAACCGACAACATCTTCGACTTCACTTCAATTTCAACTTTAGCTTCTTGCGCGTTCTCACCTTTTGCTTCCCGCCTCCTGTACTCACTGTCTCTATACCATATTGCTTTGAACTAAGCTCAGAACTCAGTTTACTCCTTAGGATTTTTACGGCTGCGACACGCAACGCAGGTACTATGTCCGAATCACCAGAACCGCGCCTGGACTCGCCAGCCCTCGACAAGGACGAGAATGAAGAAGATGTGACTCTTGACAAGGAGAGAGATATTGCCGCAGATATTTCGGACGATGAATCCGTCCTTTCCGATGTTGACGAGGAACAGTTCAAGGAGTTTGACCCTGCCGAAATTCCGCTTGATGACCGTCCAGCGCTCGCCATCGATGAAGAGAACTTGAAGCTAGTGGGTCGCCATAAACGCCGGAGAACCGAGGAGGATGGCGACGGTCAGACGAAGAAGAAAAAAAGGGAGGGCCGTAGAGATAAGAAAAGCCATAGGAAGAAGCAGGGCAGTGAAGAATTCAGTGGCGGAGAGGAGATGGATGGCAAGCGGAGGAGGAAACGCAGAGAGGGAGGAGGCGAGCGAGCTCCTAGACAGAGCAAAAAGCAAGTTGAAGAGGAGATTGATGAGGAGTCCCTAGATCCTGCTACAAGTGAGTATAAACTGCTCAGGGGACGGCTATCAGCCTGCTGGGATGATGCTAACTGGAGACCGTTAAAGGGCGACGCCGCGCTTTGGACCGGATGATGGACGAAGCGCTAAAGAAACCTTCGAAACGGCGTGTCAAGAAGGCGGATGGGATTGTGAGTCTATTCTCTCTACTGCTCTCCATGTAGCCGCTTCTGACACAGTATCAATCATGTACAGGATTTGGCGGATTATGCCGATGCAGAGATTGAAGAAGTACGCAAGCGCATGACCGACGCAGCTCGTCTAGACAGTATTGCCCGCAAAGAGAACCGCCCTGCTATGCACAAGCTTAAGATGCTTCCAGAGGTTGTTTCTCTGCTCAACCGCAACCAATATGTTAACAGTCTTATCGATCCGGAAATAAACCTTCTCGAGGCTGTTAAATTTTTCCTCGAACCTCTCGATGATGGCTCCTTACCAGCCTACAATATCCAGCGAGATCTGATGGCGGCGTTGCTACGCCTACCCATCAACAAAGAGACACTCATCGCGAGCGGTATTGGCAAGGTTATTGTGTTTTATACAAAGAGCAAGCGACCAGAGATTGGAATCAAACGTCAGGCTGAACGACTTCTTGCCGAGTGGACCCGTCCGATTCTCCAGAGAAGCGACGATTACTCCAAACGAGTCTATGAGGAGGTTGACTTTGACCCCAGGTATGTTCCTTAAACGTCGAAACGCCTATTCGTATAGATTTAATGGGTAGAACTAACAAGTATTCTAGCCGACTCGCTGACCGGACCGTATCCGCCGAAGCCTCCGCTGCAGAAGCCCGCGCGAGAGAGCTGCTTCCACCTCGTCTTGCCAACCGTGCTCGTGTTGAGAGTAGCCACACCAGCTACACCGTTGTTCCACGGTCTATGGGTGTGTCTGAGAGCAAGTTTGCTCGTCCTCTAGGCGCTAGCGGAGAAGATCGATTCAGACGTATGAAAGCCAGACAAATTGCCGCTAACAAAGGATCAAAGCGATAGACCGCCATCCCTTCCTTTCTTTTTTTCATCCGCTCATTTATCGCCCTGGATTGTTTCACCTTCTTTCCCTACAAATTTGAGAAATCATTTCTGTCTTTCCAGCGATTTCGATCCTATTCCCTTCCAGTCTCTGCGAGGCTTTTTTTCCTTACAGTTGGTTCCCAGGTCTTTTGCAATGAAATGTAATTCTAGGCGTATTTGGACTTAAAGCACGAAAATAGAACACTAATTGGTCAATATTGAAGCCGTATCATTTTGAGCTTATATACCAAGAAGCCTCATTAAACACTGGCCATTCCATACGCACGCACTGAAACACCTCATAAGTATGTTTCGTCATTTTGCCGACAGCATCTCCTCTGGGAAGACTGCTCGCTGACGCAGATCCTTTGCGAGTGGCCATAACAGCTATCTATATGTGCAGCTATTAATCTTTACCGTCTGGAGCTGCGGCAATTATACCCACCGGACAAAAGTCTAGCGGCATTGCTGGAAATCGCTGCCGACTAGTTATATACGCAGTTAACTAGCAGTTTGAATGAAGCAAGGGAGTTGAGCAGCGCTTCTGCAGCAACCAGGCTCGTCGGTTACTTGTTGATAAGGCTCACCAAACACGGAGATGCATTTGGAGTACATCATTGCATCTGTTGTCGATTTCATAGTCCACCGCTGCTGCTTCAATAAACCCTTTGATATACATTATTAATCGTCTCTTCCTTCACTCTCCTTGTCAAAACTTGATCTCGGTATAGGTAAAAAAGGCTACTGGGAAGCATTCATTGGCTAAGGGCGGGCATATGCCACATGTTGATTGTTGACGTCAATGGGAGCTGATATAACAGTGGAGCTCTCTTGTTTACTTAGCTACCTTGCTTAGCGCTCTAAAGCTACAGTGGTATGTCTGTAGTGGCAGGGATGTGACCTACAATGGTACGGAGTATAGTTTACTTTACCAAAGAAGAGTAGTAATACTGTTCTGAGGGAAGGGTCTATTTATAGTTTAAGCTTGTCACTGAGGCTCAACTCAACGGGCGCTAGTGGTGAAGCTTTTAGCGATAGGGCTGAAGGTCTCGAGGCTTCATTAAGCACATACATTTGGCACATGGAAACTCCACATCAATCCCTTGCTAATGTCTTTTCTAATTTCTGATCACCATACAGTTACAGACCACCCGATCTTCCCTCTGCAACTGTGACAGGATTATTTCACGCGATGGCTAGCCGTACGGTTTGCCCTAGACGGCATTTGTATCCTGTTCTCATTACAAGAGAGCTGATGTATGTCAAATTCCCATCCTATAACTCGTTGCCATGTTTTCCGAGCAGCCCCATAAGTTGCTAGTGTGACTATGACGTGGTTGTCGCGAAGAACCCTAGTCTAACTCCAGCAAACTAATCCCTGGCCCTAGAAGCTTCTATAAGTAGAGGAAGGTACATTTACCGAAGTAAACCTTCTCCTTTCTACTATAGTTTCTATTATGGTTAATTCTATTCCACAGGGGAAGATAGTTTCGAGATCTAGTGATTGGAGAATAGTGTTTAGGTAATAAATGTGCGTTGAGCACCGCTATTAGGCGTTCGAGATGCAATAACATAGAACAATATCAGCGTCATTCCCGGCATCTCCAAGTAACAGAGTTAACTAGGGCGATAGTAGTCATCTATTTTAACTGTATGATGAACATAATTACCCTCTTCGAGAATACAGACACCGTTATAGAATTCTAGGCATCTGTTAATATTGCGTATGGAAGAAACGTTTCGCTGGACGGAAAGATCACACGAAACAAGATACCTCGTAGTTATTATTTACACCAGAGCTAGAGACGCTCGGATCTCGAGAAAAACATTAGTCGTTATCCCAAGGTTATGAACGGTGCCCGTGCTGTCTTTCTTGTCATAATCTACCCCGTACCCTAGTACCCCAGAGCAGTTATGTGTTTCGCCATCTCCTATCGCACATGCATGCACTGATACCGTAACCTCAATGACCCCAGAAGCTGTAGAGGCCCTGGCGGTGGTACAAAGCTAAACAATGACAAATCTTAAGCACTAGTCGATAACTATATCGCTACCCTATGCGGAGTGACCAGCTACCGGCTGCCTAACCCACAGATCTCGATGCTTCTGGCTCTATCGTTTCACTCCGGGGCCACCGGCAACGACGGGAAAGGCTGAAACGGAGTCTTACTCCGTGGAACAGGACTTCGTGGCCAGGCCGGGGCGTCGGCACGCCAGCTAGCGCTTTGCTCTATTTGTTATTGGCCAAGTTACTGTGCGACAGAAGAAAGCAGCTGGGAAGAGACGATCAGCAGGCCATGAAGGGAGCACATACATATACATACAATACATGCGCATGTCGCTGCTTCGTCTGTGGCACGAAAACGTGATACATGTACTAGTTTTACTTATGCTTAGTGACTTGCTTTCACCCCTAGCTGGAGCAAGACCAAACCCCGAGGCCCGAGTTTTGGCCGCCCGGAAAGTCCCTTAACGTGCCTTAGCAATACGGGCCTGTCGGGATTTGCCAGCAAGCGAGGACGTCATAAGTTGTTAGTGGCTGGTGAAAGTGGAAGTCGTTTTATAGTTACAGAAGCTGGTCGGGTTCTGTTTTTGCGTCCTGACACAACACGCAGACTTTTCTTGCTCCAGCTATATAACACACGACCGAGACGCCGCATTCACCCTGCCGTGGGACAGATTCACATCCTGATAGATATTCTTCTGAAGACACCGCTCACGGTTTTCTAAGCAACATTATATATTTTTTCCCTTCAAGATGAAGATCATCACCAAAGAGGTCGAGGAGGCCCATCACAAGTCCGTCACTCCCGCCGCACCCTCTTCTGTAACTGCTTCAGTACTGACCAGTTCTCTAGGGCCGTTCTCCAAGGAGTAACAATCGGTGGAATTGCAGGTCTCATCGGCGGCTGGGCCGGTGTATTGGTAGCATCGAAACGATGGGCCGGCGTCCGAAACCTCACACTCCCCATGAAAGCCTTCCTGGTGACATCGACAGCTACGTTTACCGGAATCATCGCAGCCGACCATGGATCCAGATCGTTCGAGAAGAGCCAGAGAACGGACATTGAGTTCCTAAAGGACCGCGAGTCCCGGTTGCGCCAGGAAGAACTGGCAGAGATGAGCGTTAGGGACCGGATTTTCGAGTTTGCTCGTCAGGAGAAATATAAGATCGTTGGTGCCACCTGGCTTGCCAGCATGTTCGGCTCGTTCGCCCTGGTTAGCCGCAGCCCGTACTTGACCGGAGCGCAGAAGATCGTGCAGGCTCGTGTGTACGCCCAGGGCCTTACGCTGGCTGTGCTCTGGCGCCACGGCGGCATTTGAAATCTCGGACCAGCGGAAAGGTCGAGGAATCGCCGATGCCGTGAGGGCGAAGGCAAAGAAGGACAAGAACACCAACGATGACCTGTGAAGGATATGGTTGATGCTGAGGAGAGTCGCATTCACGACAAGGAGGCAAAGGTCAAGAACCACTAAAGATAATAAGGATAATCCAACCCACCGCCATCTACCTCCAAGCCGCAGGGCTCAAGAGCAGCCGTTTTACTCGCACCCTCCCTCCCTCTTTACCCGGCAATAATACCAAAACCAAAGTCGATCTCGAATCGCATGTTGTGTGTGTACAATACTTCACTCTTTTCTCTTCCACTCTGCCACGAAAAGGCACCTCCGAAACTCTCACCTCTCGCGCCCCAGTCCCAACCATATCTCCCCGTTTCAAAATTGGCTCATTTTTCCCTCGAATGATGCCCATGTACCAGCTCACTTATGCGTGAATGCTGGCCTGTTACCATTTACGAATTTTTATTCCTGCATGCCCTTATTCCAAAGGGAAACTGGACGAGGCTGCGTTTTATTTGTACAAGGAGGTCTTGATTGGGAAACGGCGTTCTATGGCTGTAAATAGGGTCTATATTGGATCTCTATCTGTTCTTCAACACATATTAACCAAAATAGACAACCTGCAAGGAAAAAGCTATGCATTTAATGTTTATTGATCTATTAATTACCACTCTATTCGTAGAATTGAAGACTTCCAAGCTGTGTGTGTTGTGCCTTCAAGCAGGTAGACGCTGAGTGCTAGATCTTTGGTTCAACATGTGTCCCCAAAGTAGGTAATATATACAGCGAAGGTATAAGAAAGAGACAAAATACTATACATGTGGGAAGAACATCACACGGACAGGTCGACCTCTTCGTGAAGTTTTGCATCCATATTAACAAATGACCGAACGACGTCCATGCCGCGAAGTCGCTCTTCTTCGATCCTATGCCAATCCCAGACGCCAGACTTCTCGGTGTTGTCTCGGTTCTTCTTAACATCATTGTCCAGAACCGCCTTATCAAGGTCAGAACTCTCCGTTAAAGTCAGCACTTTACGGAGGAGAGGCTCGTCCAGCGATTCGTCTGACTTAATTGCCTCGCCATTTGCAGGAGTATCGGGAGCTGTCGATGGTGAGGGTGCCTCCTCACCCGGTGGACGTGGGGGAAGCAACCCGCTTGCCCGGAGGACGTTCTCGGGCCGAACAGTTTTCCTGCCTTTCTTCACTACGTACTTGCTCACTCCAACTGCAAGCAGCACTTTGGGCTCTCCCTTGCGCTTGGGGAACCGGAGGAAGAAGGTCAATATATATAACCATTTCTCGTCCCAGCCTGCAATCTTGGTCCTCATCTCGTATTTTTCATACGACTTGATTTCTTTCTTGAACGTGCAGTACACCGATCCCAGCATCACCGCAATTCTGCCAGGGTATAGCTGCTTGCCATTGGCATCAAGCTCTTTATTCATTTCGCGCTTCACAAGCTCAAGACCGGGGCTATACAGGCTTGTCACCAGGGTTGTACGTGCGATATCGAGATCGGAGAAGTATGTGCTGTTCGATTTGTGGATGTTATAGTCCGTCTCCCATAGCGTTGTCCTGCTCGTGACGCTGGACGGTACGAATATTGGATGCACATGGCCTGGTTTGTTCTCGTCTTTTGATTTCGGGTTCGGATAGATATGTTTCTTGAAATGGATACGGCTGAGGAGATGAGTGAATAATCGAATCTATACAATTGGTTGGCGAGTCAGCTGGAAGAAGAGAGAGGTGAACATGGAAAATCGCATTGGAGTAGCCTTACATGCCACGAAAAAGGCGCTGATTTGAGATTAAATAAAATATATAACAAGAGTAGGTTCTTCCAAGTCAACTGTGCACGAGCTTTTTGTATGGCCAGGCTTGCGGCAGCCAAAACAACAGGGAGTGACAACACCGCCATCGTGGAACTCTCGATTCGGCGTCGTACGGTTCCTCGGGCTCCCCGTTATGCAGAAATGCCCCTGGAATGAATAGCAGGGGTATCGAGCCTGTGAAAATGGGCGAGGCTGTACGGAGTATCCCTCTCAGCTTTGAGGATTTGGAGCGCCCTGGAGAGTGTATATAATGAAAAGGACAAAGGATCGCCGACGGAGTAGCCAGGAACCCAAGATAAACGAGTGAGGTCTGAATTGCGTAGTCGCAGAAGAAAGCAGAAATGATTAACTAAAAGAAAGAAAGAAAGAGAGAAAGGAAAACGTATTGATGAAATAATTGCTTGATGGCGTTTTCCTAGTTCGACGACTAAAAAAAGAAGCGACTTTCAGCGCGTCGCTGGCCAGGCACGAGCATGTCATGTGACTCTGTACCGAGGTTGAAACAGCGACCTGATTAGTCAGGTAAAGTATATATTTTCACTACTCCGTACTACATTACATAATCTTCTACCTTCTATCTTGTATGTATCACGTTGATATAACAGTTCAAGGAAGTACCTAGGTAACTATACATGAGCGTAAGTAGAGAAGAGCAAGTGTCTACAGAGTACTCCGTAATGTACAGGCGGCAGAGCACCTGCTCGTCAATATCAGCGTCATAGGGCTGTCCAGACTTTAAGATACAGGCTATTCTATTCCCTCTGTTAGGTACTCCGTGCTATTTTGCTATGTTTTATGCCAGGAAAGGCTGCTGGCCGAGCATTGCAACAACTTCGTTCAGCGAATCAGCGATAAAGTCTGGCTGAAGCTTCTCGCATGCGTCCTTGTCCCCGTATCCATACCGACACCAGCACGCCCGCCCTCCAATGTTCTTTGCAAACTGAATATCTGCCACTGTGTCCCCTACAACTAGCACTCTGCGGGGCTCGAGGCCGGCCAGCCCGTATTGGGTCTGCAGCGTTGGTGCGAGTACGTCGACAAAGCTGGCAGGGCTGGGCTTCCGCTGGGCGCCTGGCGTTTTGTCCCCGATGATCAGGTTCTCGGGGACGTAGCCTGCCATGCCATTGCGTTCAAGAGCGGTTTTGACGGCGGCAACGCCCTTGTTACTGATAATGGCAACGGGGATTTTGCGAGTGTTCAGCTCATCGAGAGTTTCTTTGGCACCCGGGAAGGCTTTGATCAATAACTGGCCGTCGGTTGCATATATCTCTCGGTACTTATTGACCCATCTCTCCTCCTCGGCGACAGTGAAAGTTGCTGCGTTAGGATGGAGTGCTTGAAAGGTGTCGGAAAGGCCTGCGCCGCTGGAGATGAGCCGGTGGACTTCTGACGGTGCAAGGGCATGCGAGGGAAGCAATGCATCAAAGGTGAGTTTTATCGACTGTTCGATAGACTCGTGGGTGTCGAAGAGTGTGCCGTCGAAGTCGAAGATGACGAGGGCAGCCATGTTTGTTGGCATTTGAGGAGCTGAGATGCGAGTTTGCCTCTCTCACTCAACCCTTGCTGGGTTTATATACGAAATCTGAAGTGGCTTCGATGCCGCGTATTAGATTCAAGGTTGTCTTTGTCTGCTCTTTTTTTTATTATAAGTATAATTATAATAAAACGAGGCAGGGGGGCCTAGCTCAATTCAACATGACATCCTCGCATGTGTGACTGGCCCTGCATGATGCCAGCGTATAAATGCTGTCCACTTTACAGTATACATAGCAGAGACAAGCCAGCTTGTTTCTCCTCCCAAAGACTGTTTGTTGTCAATTGCTTATTGCCAGAATGGCTTCTATACTGCGGATCATCGAGGTCGCAACCCCGTCGGTTGATTCCCTTATGGTCCCGTTTTGCAGCGCCTCCTCCAGCCCAAAGATCATGCAGGATACCGTTCATGCCCTCACCCACGAAGTCATCGCAGCAGCCAAGGCATTTGACAGCACCCTTACGCATGCTACAATGGTGCCTGTTCTTCGCGGAGCACTCCCTATGTTTGTCGCTGCGCAGCCTCTCCTTTCATCCACATCATGCATCCTTGTGCGGTGTAGCAAGGTCAAAGGATCTCAGAAAGTGGCTATCGAATGGCTTGGTCGCAAGCCGTTTCCCCAGGAAGATGGAGATGGAAAGGTGGTCATTCTAGATACCATCATAGCCACGGGAGATACGGTTCTTCAGCTTTGTGAAGAGATTTGGAACATGTCGGGCAGAACGAAGGAGTCCTCTGTGGTTGTTATGTGCTGCTATGCTGCACCCAAGGCTTTAGAGCTAATTTCGATGCATCCCGTCGTTGACTACATAGTTGTGGCGAAAAAGTCCCAAGGATGTGATACGGCCGGATATCTTATCCCTTATACCCATGGAGACATTGGCGACAAGATGTACGGTAAAGCAAGCAGAAAGCGGGCCGAGGCAGTCATTGCGGATGGGCAAGATGTGCAGCGAGTGTCTACCGGTGTAAAAGAGTTGCTTCGTGAGAACGGCGGGCTATGGGATCTTACTCCTGATGCAACGGGCATTGAGCGCAATATCAAATTTCCAACTTTTAAAAAAGCCTGGGTAAGACGTGATTCTGGTCTGAATTAGTCTAAACGTCACTAACTATATCAAGGCATTCATGGAAAGGGTTGCGAGTGCAGCTGCCGCCCATCGACATCATCCGGAATGGACAAATGTAAGTTGTTACTCTTACAGAATTTGCGACCATTTCTAACGCTTGAAGGTCTACAATACGGTTCATATTCGCTGGACGACGCACCAACCGAACGGCCTAACAGACTTGGACGTGAAAATGGCGAATCTATGTGATGGATATACTGATATATAAAATAACCTCTCAACAGCTCCTACTATTTCCTCCATTTATATCCATTGCTTGTTTGGTTCCAATTCAGATGTTTTTATTGACACGAAATCCAACAAGCACAACTCTTGCAGCTATGAAGAAACAAACACATCCTACCATCATTATACCCGCAAATATCTGTAAGCCCCAATACTCCCCTTTTTGTTGGTTTAAGATCACTCCCGCAATAGGGGATCCAGTGAGCGTTGCAATGCTGATACAGGCGAATAGAACACCCTGGCGAACTCCGGTCTTGGTCACATCGGCTGAGATCTGGCTTAGAAGAGCCGGCACCATGCCTACGAACGCACCAGAGGCAAATCCGTATAGCAGACAAAAAACGACGTAGACTACCGCGGACCCAGGGTTGACAAGGGTTCCCGGAATCCATAGAGCAAGTAAGACAACGGCAGATAGCACACACATTGCAATCATTACGTTAAACCTGCCCCATTTATCACCAAGATACCCAGGCAGAATTCGACCAGGAAGACTAAAGATGCTGGTCAGTTCAGCTAGAAAAATAGGGGTGTCGGAAGGGATAGGGATGTTAGGAGGAGATCATTACTCGCCTTGCAGCATTCAATATTGTGAGCAGATATTTAGCCAGGTTGGCGTCCACGCCACCCGTCTGTGCCTCTAGAATCACATAGTTGATGGGCACAAACATGGCAAAGAATCCACAACACGAGGCAAGCATGAGCAAAATGAATGGTATCTCCGAGAAAGGATCAAGATAGTCATACAACCTAACCGGCCGTGGAATAGGAGCTATCCTAGACCGCACAGTTAAGTTTGCAATAACTAGCAAAATAAAAACCAAAAGGCCAGAGATTCGAAGTGCCCAACCAAATCCAACGCTAGGTAATAACCAAGCTAATATGGTTGGAAATATGACTCCTCCTAAGGATGAGCCACTAGAGACAATACCAAAGGCCAGAGCCCGTCGCTTATCAAACCACGTTGCAGTGCATGATAACGCAGGGTAGAAAACGAAACTCGCACCTAGTGGGCTGCAGATACCCTGGGCAAGGAGAAATTGATAATACTGGGTTGAAATAGAGGCCATCATCAGGCCGAGAACATGCAGGAATAGTCCGATGATAAGCAGCCATTTTGGCCCGTAGTTGTCAAAGAGCTAGGGTCATGATATATATCAGAACGCTAATAAACGAGCAAAAGCTGCTATATGCTGATGAAGATGGAACTTACCCTTCCAATGACAATGCCCGCTGCGAAGAGGACGAAAGGCTCGAGAGATAGGATCCAAGATATACTGGAAGTGGAGTAGGACTGCAGCTGATGCGTCTGGTAATACTCTTGGAAAACTCCGATAGCTATGCTATCCTGATTAGCATGCGCACACCGATAAAAAAAATGAACAAACTGTGCTCTCACCGTTGACCCAGCCAAAACCACAGAAAATGCAGCACCAGGCCCCTGCAACAACTGTCCAGGCACGGACTCCTCGATCAGTACAATCCGCGGGTTGTGTGTGTTCTTCTCTGACTTCTGTGGCCGGCTCAGGTTTTGCGTCGGTCTCCATACTTAGAAAGTCAATAATTACTTGACCAGAAAGGTATTTTGCGTGCTCTTTGTGAGCTGGGTATAGCTGAACGGAATTTGATACAGAAGTCAACTCTCGAAGGCGCCACAGTCTTTACTAATAATACAAGTCTGCGACCCTCTTCCCCAGGGTTCCAATGACAGGATGAAGGGAAACTCATGGGAGGAAGAACCTAGCAAGAAAAAAATAGCGAGTTAGTTAGTTACATGACTGACTCACCAATGGCAACCAGTGTCCTTTGTCCATTGACTACGGAGTACTCCGTAGGTAGTTTCCATGACCCCAGTTTTATTTCAGCGCCGGAAGCACGCGACAGCATCCCCGGAAGGGCGGAGGATAATATTTCAACAAGTATTACTCCGGCCAGTTGCGCCTTGTCGTACGGAATATTAACGTAACTTTAAGGGTAAACCCTCCCTTATGTTTGTTGATTGCGCTTGGAGGATCCAAACAGGGATGTCCGAGTGGACACTCCAGCTATTAATGGGTATAATTGATGCACACCCCTGTGCCGCATTTTTCGGTAGTTAATGCTTGTTGTAACGCCAACCGGAACCCCCAATACAGCCACCAGCAGTTTATGAGCGGGGCGTAGCATGCATAGTATAGTTTTTAACTAGGGTCTGTCGACGAGCCCTGACGGGCGTATAGTCCTTTGATAACTATTGTCCCAATCCCCGTCGATTAACCCTTGCACTCAGGCCACGACAAGCGAAGGTACAGTAGTTAACGCGACAATTAAAACAGACAGGAACAATTGAGCCAATGGCAACCAAATCGACTCGATCAAACGACTTCTCAACCACTAGGGTGAGACATTGTTGATGTTCTTGGTTCATTACGGAGCTCACCGTATTAGTTAAATATGAAGCCACCTAGAAGCCCCCTTGTCATGCATTGCCAGGGCAAAAGGACAATACAGGATGAGGATCGAAGTTGTAGGAACTGTATATAAAGAATGGCCTCTCTGTATAGCTACCCGTTGAAGAGGTATTCTGAATCATCATCTGTTCATCCAGCTGCGAAAAACGATCCTGCAACTTTGGAATTATGAACGTTATTCACTCTGGCAGCTCATGGCCACTTGCTTTTGGCCGCCCTCCTCAAGACCCAGACCTAGACCCAGACCCAGTGATCGCCGCGTATGAAACTTGGCTCCCGAGATATCGTTTAACGGCGGCGCCATTAAGGCCGGCAGAGACGCAGTTAAGCATTTTCAAACCCGTGTCCATCGCGTATGAGCCATCATCATGGTGGTTGGATGGCCATTGCCCTGCACATCCTCACTTCGAGAACGCTGGAAGGATCCAGTTCTGGGTTAAGACCATAAAGCAGCCGCTCCTCCGATATATCATCGAGGGCTGTGAGCTGCTCCTTGAGAGAGCAGGGAATAAAGCACTCACCCGCTCTATCGCTCAAAATAACGCCCTCTGGAGAGCGGCCGTCTCTATCCATAAGTATGGGGTTATATACCTAGCCACTCGCTCTGACTGCCGGGAAGAATTTTTGAGAATTGTGAAATCGAATCCCAAGCTATTCGACGAGATCGATGTCTTCCTCTCGGCGGACCAGAATGCCACTCGCGCCATAAACTACGGCGTCCATCGCCTCGTTAACAGTGGAACCCTCACGGTCAGCCATGAGACGTATCTAGTGCCTCCGAGGGCTATATCAAGCATTGGAATAAACCATGTTGTCGTCCGTGCCAGCGACTTTGAAGGGGACAGCATCTGTTTACTGGATGAACCCTCCGCCGTGTGGGATCTCCATGACTTCGCCCATCTTACTGCTGCATCGCTGAGCCCAGAGCTATTCGGTTCCAAGTACTTTTCGCATCTCACAAAACTTCCGCGAAAGCTTACAGCATTAATACGGAGCCCCAAAATGAAGACGGCAAACCCTTCACCACGTTGTTCGGATGGGGTTATTTTCAGCGAACTGTTAACTCCCCTGTTCGCGGCCGAAGTTGAGGCGGCCCGACGGGGAAGCAAAGCCCATACCTACCTGTCCCTCACCGAGATATTGGCAAATAAATTGGCCGACTATCTGATGGGCAGATGCAAGCTCCAGCATCTCAGCAGCGGTAAAATGTTGAGCATGGAAGACGAGCCTATCACAGCCGTACAATTGGCCGTCCTGTTGCAGAATAAATCGTATGAGCTGACAGCCAGCGAGATAGAACAGCGAGTGCTTACAAGAGGAGGCCCGGTTGGAGATACGAATGATGACCTGGATAACCTGACTGGGGCCAAAAGGATAGAGGCGCTTGCTCGATGTCGAAGATGGCGTTACTTTGAGGTGCGAAATACTATTAAACACCGCGCCCATAAATTGGCGTACAAAAAAGTGGCAGAGAGAATGATGGCAGACTGTACTCAATCAGTGTCGGATAAGGCTTTGCTGGAATGCATCCTAGATGTCATTGACTATGCTAGCTGGGAGAAAGATGGGGTTTGTAACCTGTGGCAGGTTGTCACTGATGAAGAAGTCTCTGGTCGTTGTCCATAGAGAATAAAGATCCATCGCTTTCTGTATTGAGCACATACGACCACAGGAAGTGGAAAACAGAGCTTCCCGTCCGCTCAGCTGTACTTAAGCCACTTGCCGGTCGGTTAGTAGTTGGGTGGGTGACCACCAGCGAATCCCGACTGTCGTATGTATTTTTTTGATTTTTGATTGGTTGATTTTTTGAAAAGACTCACTAGCAACTTTTTGATTGGTTGATTCTTTATGCTTGCTCGTCACCTCAAACGCGCAAAGGGCTATATCCTCTTAGGTGGGTCACCGGCGAATCCTGACGGTCCGCATGTTTTTGATCACCCATTTTTTTGCTCTTTGGAAGGTTAACGTTGCTCACCAGTGTTAAAAGGCGTTATTAGTGAATTGCCAAAGGTGGGATGGGATGGATGCTGTAGGCAGCCTGCCTGTTGCGCTAGAGAGGATCACTTGGGGGTCCACGCAATAAAATCGACAAATCAACTTTTATATGAGACAAATATAGGATCGTGTGACAGTTTGGTCATGCTTGCCAGATTATTATATGTTATTTCATGTCGAATAGTCTTGTATTTGTCATATGCTTCAGCGTATTATTGGAATAATATTAACATCAAATTGGCTAGACCAGAGTTAAGTAGCCCCTGAGCTGTGTGTTGAACCCAGATTACTACAACGGAGCGGATAGTAATTTGGCTTGATGCCTGGTCCAGTCATTGTTATAGCATGCTCATCCTTTAGGGTATTTGAATTTCTAGTTCCTGATTCGAAACGAAATATTGCTTCTTTTGGATCTCGAATTAATCGTTGATAAAAAAATGAAAAATGAAAAATCAAAGAGCGTGAGTTACAGCAAAACATACCATCGTGGCAGGGCGTATATTGTAACAATCGAGCCTCCTCGAAGCTGGGTTTCCCTCCGACGGCTAAAGAGAAATAGGGTCACCACCTATGCCTTCGTACTCGATCGGTATTCAAACGAGTTTGAAAGAAGGCAGAATATTGAAAGGCGACCGGCGAACCCAGAGCTCTATTTGATATTGTTTGTTTGACTCCATGTATCCGTGACTCCGTGAGAACACCCCGAACACTGACTAGTATCTGTATCGAGTGGAGTAATCTGATAGCAACGCGTTAGTCAACAAAGATCTCCCCAGACATTTTTCAAAAGAATCAGCAAACGGATCCACAACTAACCTTTTGGGCTTACTACCAAACCTCTTCCTTTCTTCGCACCGCGATAGATCGCCTCGAAGATATCAATCAACTCTTGCTTATCCTCTAGCACCCAGTTGAGTTTGTTGTTGTTTCCGGTTCCAAAATCGCACATCATATGCTTATTGCGGAAGAAGAACATTATCGTCATCGGGTCGTAAAGCTCGTACATCTGGATAAAATCCGGCACTTGATCAATATCACAAAGGTAAATAACGGCAAAATTCTTGACGCGATCAGCTATTCGGTACAGCACTTCGTCTTGTCTCATGCCTATAAAATTTTGCGTATTTCAGTTAGATATTTATCCTCACTTATGCCAGTTAGGCTGCCAGAGCGGAACGTACAGTCCTTGTCCCAATCACGACCAAATCTAATGACAACCAAACGCTCCTCCTCAGAAAGAATAGCTTGGTCGACATGCCAGGCCGTAGTAAGATGTGGGAGGACGACAGAGCCCATTTTAAATCCGTGGATTCTCTTTCTCGACTAATGGTAACGGGTTCAGAGTGGTTTGTTTGTTGCCTTCTGCGAGAAGTGGTCAAAGGCTCAAAAAGAGAAGTGACTTCATCAATGTTATGCGCACGGATCACTTTTGCAGATAGTCGGAACGGATTTACATTTGTCCCTTATCGCTTAGTCAGCCGTTAATTACATGCAGCATTTTGATTCAGGAAGGAGTAAAGATGAAAGAAGACGAAGGAATTCTGATAATGTTTTGCAATATTATTCATAAATCACTCTATGATGCTCTACAGACGAGGTCCTCCCCCGGTTTTCCTACACGCAGCCACTCATGCAAATTAGAAGAAAAAATTAAATGGTGGAGGTGATGACTACCCATCAGCGGAGAAGGAAGGAAACGAAATTAATATGACCAGCAGAAAGAAAATAAGACAGGGGCCAATGGTGATATACCCGCTTGACAAAGGAGGCGAAGAGAAAAATATATAGAGTACCTTTACAAGTCATCGTCATCGTCGTCATCTTCCGTAGCAGGACGCCTTCCCTTGCCCTTGAGGTTGGATGACATTTCGTATTCTTCAACATGCGTGCTGTTGCGCCCGGACATGGCCATGGCCTGGCGTCCTGTATCAGATGACTCCAGGAACTCTCGGAGTCGTCGTTTACCTTCTTCGACCGCTTGACGAGAGGCTGCTTCTGTCATGTTTATCATAGGGCCCCAGAGGTTTAGTCTAAAGGTGACATAAGCTCCTACGCCAATGACAAGGAGGAATAAGAAGTATATAGGGTTCCGAAGGACTATGTAATTGTATGCGTTAGCTGAAGGCCGTCGTTGCATAATGAAGAATGGAAGAAGCAGTACTCACCAGCGATTATTTCGTTCCAGCCCAAAGCCAGGAGAAGGCCGTAGAAATACAAGGGAACCTGGGTAATGCCACCAATGGCACTTCGTTTTGCTTCAACGTACACACCATCTGCAGCCTTTTTGAACCGAACAGTCAAGTCTTGTCTCTTGGCTTCACTGAGCATAGTCATCTCTTCCTCCAGACTCTTGCCATCCTCTTCATCCACACCACCAATTGGTGCAAGGTCTTCTTCATCAGCAGCACTGGCGGAGCTGGGCATATGGCCTACCCAATTATCCAAAGGTGGAGGTGCAGAAGTTTCGTTTAGCTTAAAACGCGCCAGGAGAGGGATCAATTTAAGAGTAGATTCCCTGGCAGTGGTGTAAATGTTTTCGATGTCATCTGTAGGCCGCCAGATCCGTGGTACACCAAGGTCGTCATAACGGAATTTGTCCTCGAAGTTCTCGCGTAACTTAAGGAGAATATTGCCTTCCATCATCTCCTCCTCGATCTTGGAACGCAGTACGCCCCAGGATTTTCGTCGCAGTCTCCATAGACCAACGTCAACTTCCTCCAAGCTTGCATCGAAACTCTTTGCTCGCTCGGTGAATCTTCGTTCGGCGTCCAAAACTGTTTTTACGAATAGAGACCAGATTCTATCCCAAATGGTCTTTTCACTGGGCTTATCTCCGTCCTCTGGGGCCCTGGAGCCACCTCGCCCCGACCCAAGTGCATTGAATTCTAGGTCAATGGAATCGCCCAGGCGAGACCTCACCCATCGTTCCACTCTAGTGGCAAGGCGCCTCATCTCGTCCTTTCTGAGCTGCGAACTGATCTTCTCGAGATCCTTTTGGTATAGAGAGAGCTCCTGCTTGTAATCGCTCCAAGGAGCTCCTTCTACCACAATGACGCCGGCCTCTTTTTCGAACTTCTCAATTGCGAGTTTCCTTTCCCTAGTGACAATTTCGGCAAAATCATAACTGGCTCCTTTCTTCTGCCCAGCTTTGACTGCAGAACTGACTGCTTCACTAAATTCGGCAACGCCAGACTTGTGTGCGGCGCTGAGCTGGCCGGTAAATAAAGCCTTAAGTCGTGTGTCGATTTTCTCCTCTAGTTCGGATTTTTTGGTTGCAAACACACGCTTGTGGTACCGACTCGCCTCGGTTTCGAAACTGGTCATTGTCTTTCCGCGAGCTGCACACATGGCAGCACCAAGGCCGGCGAGAATTATTGGAGTTCCGGATCGAGTTGCATCCTCTTGTTGTGCCTCAAACGGCCCAATGGTCTGGTCGAATAAAATAAGAACTTCTCGTGCAATCTCATCGCAGCGGAATTGCGCTAGAAGTTCTTGTTGAGTAGGGAGATCCAGATCCTTATTATTTGCAATTTGTTCCCAGATCCCTTCCGCATAAACTGCAAAACCATCAGCTGGAATTCGCCGATGGTACTCAGGGAGGAAAACTCCGCCTTCCGCTGCTGTACCCTTAACAGCCAGGCTGGAAGGGTCGCGGTGGCCATCCCTGAACCGAGTACTGAGTTTATCAACTTCTTCAGCAAATTTCTCCGGCTGGAAACTCTTATGGGGCAAGCCTGCAAAGGCAAAATCGAAGTAATCCTCAATAGTGGAATTCTCAGTTCCCTCTGGTTTGGACAGTGATGTCCATATTCGTTGGAGATCCTGCATTAAAGTATTCTGTAGATTCGTAAGTGGGGTTGTCCCCACGAAATCACGAATAACAAAAAACAGTAAAGACCTGGGTGTGGATCTATATGAGGAGGTACCAAATGTCAGTGTCTTTGTGTGGGGATAAAGTGGTGTTCGGAGGATAACATACTTTGTATCCTTGAGGAACAATTGAAGGTTCACTTCGAAAACAGTCTTTAAGAGACCCATATTGGCTCCTTGATATAATCCAACCTGGTGCTCCCAGATATTGACAATAAGCACCTCACTTGTAGCAAGCGCAAAAAGGGCACTTTTGCGTTCAAAGTCCTGGTCCTCTCCACGCTCTCTACCGTCAGTTCCTTCAACATCCATGACCAAAATATTATCTGCCATCTTGTCTTTCTCGTTTAAAGCGGTGCGTTTATTTTTAGAGAGCCATATCCCCTTTGTGGTCTGACGCCTTTCGGTCTCGGACATTACACTGAATTCTGTTTTGAAAAGGGTATTCAGGAGGGTTGACTTTCCGGTGGACTGCGAGCCAAAGACAGATATAAGGTGGTAATTAAACCCGGCCGGGGAAACCTTCTCGTGTACCAGGTATTTTGATAGATTTTGACTGTGGGTAGCCATTCAAAAGTCAGCAATCGGAAGGTAGGTAAATGCGCATATATATTTGTTCCTCCCGAGGCGCCCCTCAGAGCGCCCCGAGGGAGGAAATGTGTGGAATGTGATCTTGCTTCACACCAGGGTCACGGCGTACTTGAACTCCTTATCGCCATCCACTACCTGGACTCCATGCTGGTAGTCCCCCCCGTTAACTTCTCCAACAGAAGAAAAATGCCCATTTGAAGTCATGATGTATTCATCCAAGTATGGATCCTCCCTCGATCGCACTTCGGCAAACAGGCCACAGCCGCGGGCTCTCCCGGCGAGATCACTTCGACACAATCAACAGAAATAAAGTAAGTTTTGGGTAGTGCTCGTCACGAACGATAAAAGGCTCTTGTATCTGAGGAGAATATAGGGTCAGCTTCTCTTCTCCTTTTATTGCGCCTGGTGTCGAGTACATTAAATAGGGAGGCGACTGGGTGGATAATTTTCGCAGGAACGCACCAACACACTCGACTTCGGTGGCGGCAAAAGAGATCTCAGCACTGCAAAAGAATTGATTCCATATATGTTTTCTCTCGTCAGCGCCAGCAGATGGCTGTCTGTAGGTCTCAAAGTGCTTGACGTCGTTTTGTTTCATTACGCTGTCCTTTGCCTTTAGTTATATTTCAGCTGCGGTTGGATCAGGAGACAGGCTTGGCGTGTTGACATCATCCCCATCCGTCTCCTTTATACAAGTAACAGCCACCGCGTGAATCCATCAGATGACGAGGACGACACGAAGGAATATTTACAGAGTGACAGTACCTAGATACAGCCTGACTAGTTTAGCTTGATGGGAGACCTCTCTTCTAGTTAGCTAGTCGGATTTATAGAAGCTGTACACAGTCCTCAGCCACCAGTGGCACACCAGAGCAGTAGGGCCCAATTATACACGAGAGATCTGTAAGTAAAAGAAAGAACTGCGAAGATGATATGCTATTTTAAGGCTAGCGAAAGGCGACAGCTTCATATATTCCTTTTTAATCCTTTCTATCAGCGACATACTGCCCGACGCAAGTCGACAACGCCCGAGAGGGTTCATATTGGAGAGAAGGCACTGACAGCTGCATCAGTCGACTAACTAGCGATAGAATAAGCATGGTTACAATGCATTTTCCTAATAATAAGGAGCAGGGTCGTCCTCGGAAGGATAGGATTTGGATCCCCTGGCGGAACTTTGGAGGAAATGGTGCTCTCCATCAGTCCTGGTTAATACCCCTGTCAGGGGCTGGGTCGTCAAGGTTGGGACTTCATTTGTTTATTCTTCCTATGATCGTTGTGGTGCAACTTCTATACTCCGTATTCGTTTATGCGGATGCAGGCTTCATGAATAGTTTCTCTCGGGGCAGGAAGAACGAACATATCACCTGAAGGGCTCCAGCTGCAATCATAGATATGTAGACCTTCTTCATGGCTTCCACAATAGCCTCGATCGCCAGTGACTTGACCTCCTCGGAACCGTTCTGGAGGATGACAGACTGTGTTCCAGCAATGGCAGCGATAAGTTCTGCAGAGGTATAGCCTCGGCCAGCCAGGTATTTGGAAAGGTTCTGGAATGCCAGCTGTTGGAAAATAGTTCCCGCAACGGTAAGGGAGATGGTCTCAGCGCCGATTTGAGCCAGATTGATATAATTGATCGCATGCTGCACTTCGTCTTCCTTGACTTTCGCGGCTGCAACACCATAAGAGGCTTGTACACCAAGTCCAGTTCCAATTCCAACAATAACACTGTATCCATAGATATTGGCAACTGGTGTATCTACACCAACTGTCGACATCAGAGCTGAACCGACCACTATTAAAACACCGCTTATTGTGTAGTATGGAGCGTAGTACCCAACCAGGGGCATAGTGACTCCTTGGATCATCACCGACACAATCGCAAGAACTATCAAGGGAAGAAGACGGACTGCCGCATCCACGGGACTATCGCCTCTGGTAAACTGGAAGAAAAGTGGTATATAATATGCGGGAACTAGAAGTGCTGAATTAGCGCAGGAGGTACTCACGTATAAGAGAACCATCACTGAGCGTCTCAAGAATTGGGCAGGAAAAACACGTCTTTCTAGAGTCGTGAAAAGAGGGACACCCTGTTGAATAGCAAAGGCAATAAAGACGACACCGAAGACGACGAATGAGGCAATTGTGCGATTATCGGACCATCCCCAGAGTGTGGAAGCAAAAGTCATGGGAATTACCCACCCAACGTATATCCCGGCGTTAAGGACCATACCAATGATGTCCAGCTCTTTCAACTTTTGAAGTGCTCCCTTATGACGATTAGGTAGATAATCAGGCACTAGCAGCAGAAGTACCGGAGCCTTCACAGCAGCTAGGACAAGGTTGATATAGAATGCCTTCATAGCCATGTTAGCAGTCTACAAAATACACAAGCAGTGGTACAACCTACCCATCTCCAAGTGGCTTTACTATGTGCAAATAAACCTCCTATGACAGGCCCGATAACAGTACCAAGCCCCCAGACAAACCCAGACATACTCACGTAAAGTGGCTGCCGTCTTTCTGGGACAAATACGGAGAAGTAGGTAAGGACCCTAGTAAGTTGTCAGCACATAAAATCAAATATGGTAGGGTAAGTAAGTATTGATGCTTACCCAAGATACATTCCGGAACCACCAATTCCGGCAATAACTCGCCCTATTATCAGTGCATTCATGTTTGGTGCAGCACCACATAATGCGCTTCCCGCCTCAAACAAGACAATCGACACGATATATACGATTTTGATGCTAAATATGTTATAAAGCGCACCTCTGTAAACTAATTAGCTTTGTATTTAATCTTAAGATTAAATGGGAGTGATATCCTACATTGGAAGGATTGTTGCAACCGATCCAAGAGGGAAGCCGGATCCAAGCCAGCTAAGCTTTTGAACGGCGCCAAATTGCTCTATTACAGGTGCTTGAACATCTGCCACGATAGTAGTATCCAGGCCATAAAGAAAGGCAGAAGCAAGTAGTACGATAACTGCAAGTGTCCACTATGTTCACGTTAGAATTGGTGGCTTAGCCTGGAGCAAACGTATATTCAACACATACCCCCCATCCTTCGGGCCTCTGTGGAAGTTCACTTGACTTAGGAGAAGGGTATTCAGGGTCTTCTACACTGTCCCTGCTCCCTTTATGCTTAAGCCCAGATGCTTGTGTATCATGGTGTTCGGGTTTCGATACTGAATTATCCTTCTCAAAATCCCGTACAGTTGTCAATTCAGGTGCAACCGGATCTGGCCGGTCTATGCTGGATCTGGTACCCATACGGAGTATATGATTGGGTATTGAGGTGATATCAATCTTCAAGGCCTTGAAATATTGACTCGGAATCTTTAAAGGGAAGAGCCTAAGAGCAAAAACGAACAACGAGATATAGCATGAAATGCCCAACGTTGACTCTTCAGCGGCATCAGCTACACCATAACATCGAAAATCCTGGCAGAGATGAAAAGCGAGAATCTTCTTCAAGTAGGACGTTTAATAACTTGGAGGTGGAGAGGATTTATAATCATTGCCCAAATTCGACTCATGGCAAGAAACTGATCAGGATTATAAATGTAGGTGCTCCGCAGCTAAAGAGTTTCATCAACCTCTTCGGAAGTGCCTTGGCAAGTCCACCTTGCGACTCTCGCACGGAGCGGGTTCCTAGAGCGGGTTTCCATTCATGACTGGACCCGGGTATCTTTTGCGGGTATTTTTTATTTAGTGTTGTTTGTTGCAACCATATGTTCAACTTCTGTTGGACATACTTGTTAGGGAATAGATGGAAAATCAAGGGAAGAACAAACATCCCAGTCGTCGAGTTGTTGGGAGAATTCACCATTCTGCGGAACCATTGCTATTCATTGGCGACTCCACTGTTGCTATAACAAGTGATCAGCTATTAAATGAAGTACGAGCCAACATCAGCAGAAGGCCAGAGGAAGTTCCTGGGGCACCAAAGAAGGCAAGTACATCCTGGCATGACTCGTAGCCGCAGGCCGAGAGCCAGGGCCTTTTTTATTTCTATTTTAATTTTTCACTTCTCAAGCTCCGACGGGCTGGCCATGGGTCAAAAGCCGTAACTTAGTGGGTCAGGTAAAAAAAACCACGGCGTGGCAAGTCTTGTCACTGTTAGCAGAGGAACAACGGGAAAGTAACATTGAGCGTCGTCTCTAGATCATGTTAAGGCAGCATAGCCAACCATGGATCCTTGACTGATTCGGTCTCAGCATGATATAAAGATGAGAAAGTTGATGATAGTAACGCTTGAAGCTCGAAGGTGAAGTTGCTGTTCGTAGTTCACCAGGAACCTTTCTCGAATCATTCACGTGACTTATTGAACCCCGGAGGAAATTAATTTATCCGATGTACCTCGGCTTCTAAGATTTCCAGCCAATCAACATCCAAGACAGGCCGTGGGGGCCTGCTACCCGTTTGGGAAATAAGAAGAGGTGATGGACAGGCACTTCGAAGATATTGAGGTTTTGCAGGCTGATAATGCAATTGGTTGCTCTGGATCATGCATGGATGGGTATGTGAGAGATAGTACTTACTATAGATGTATCTCTGCATCGATGTTTGAGGCCGATAATCATCGGAGAATTATCTAGATATGATAGCCTGGGAGATAACAACAAAATGGTCATACCCTTCCCCCAGCGGATACTAATTTTGTACGGACTGAGAAAATACCTGATGATATAAATATCGAGCGGTGCGTCAAATTCACTTTATTGAAACTATTCAAGACCTTTCTCTCAAGAGTCAACATTTCATACCACTACGGTTAATTCCATTCGACTTGCTACAGCCACACATCCAAAATGGCATCGGGAATGTTGTTCGACCCAATGCGTCTTCTTCGCCTTGCTCCTCTTATCAGCAGCACAGGGAGTGTAGTATACTCGACGTGCGAACTTATTATGAACTCTGCCTTCCTCCATCCAACCATCCGCAGAGAAGCCGACATTGTTCTCCCTCGCTGGTTTAAGACAGTCTTCCAAAGCGGCGTCACGATAGTTATTGGACTGATCACCATAACCACGTCCACATCCCTAGCCAATATCTACCTCTCATACAACAACGGCCTTTCGATCACAGAGGGTATCATGGCTCTGCCTTTCAGCGCCAAAATGTATGCTTTGGGAGTGACTTGTGCCTTGGGCCACTTGACCTTCATCCCATGGGTTGCGCAACCAATCGAGCACCTAAAGGCAAACACATCGAAGAGAGGTGGCTCTGCAGAGATGAAAGATTGGCTGAGCGTGCACAGGATCAGATGGACTGTTGCCGATTTCCCAGCTTGGGTGGCTTTCTTTCTAGCCGTTTTGACATTTGAAGAAGCTCTCTAGTCTATGACTGACAGAGGACGCGTGTGCCTTGGGTATCAAGCCGCTGGTGGAAATACTTCACATGCGGAAGAAAGTAGGAAGTCATGGGCTGATCGAGTGGTTTGGGTAAAGCATGTACCATAGAGTCATTTGATCAAGTTAATATACAAAATCCTATCCAACCTCCCTAAAATATTGGAAAATTATGACTAAAATAGATAATCAGGCATATATCTCATGCAACAGAATGAACGTTATCAAACGGATTGGTAGTTTTGCGCATCCATCCAGTCAAAATTCCACCCTTGCCCAAGAAAGAGGTCCAAGTTGAGATTAGGGTTACCAAATCCTCCAGTGTCGTCCATGAGATTGAGATTTAAGTTCACATCTAGATTGGGCTCGGACAACGGGGCACCGTTTTGTAGATATGACGATGACGATGACTGACTAGGAGTTTGGAGTTGGGTATTAAATAGTGACATTGAAGGTGTATCCTGAGGTGTGGTATATCCGCTTGAGTTCGTAGAAGGCTGCTTCTCAGGTATAGAGTTTGGTGGGCTCATTTGCTGCTGTTGTGAGTACTGATATTGCTGCTGCAAACTGTGTTGCTGTTGTTGTTGCTGCTGCTGCTGCTGCTGTTCCTTGAGCATCTTACCAGGAACTATGTTGACAGCTCCAAAATATGGAAGTATAATCCGTCGAGCTTGGTTGCAATTTTTGGTTTTGGGTCCAGTTATCAAACCTCCATCAGCATCTCGACAAGAGCAGAGTTTTTCAATGACACTCGCAGACTGATAGCTAACGGAGTCCTCAGGCAGGTCGGGGTCTGTGGCGAAGCATTCGAGCAATGGACATGGCGGACCTCCAGTCGGCACGAGTCTGCGGGTCGTTGGCAAATGGCGAGCCGAGCAGGTGGACGATAAGGAGGACTGTAGCTGTAAAAACTTGGAAATCGATCACTTTGCAAAATATACGATCGGCATTTTGCATGTCGTTGATGCCCTTATAACACTCGATGGTTTGTCTCGCTGACTCAAGAGCAGCATTATGGCAGTATTGGCATCGCTTGTCGGTGTTGGATTTCAGCATGAATGGTAGGTGAAGCAACATCCGCACGAAGTGATGGGCAAATTGTGACCAAAGTCGACTGCTCTTTTCTGCAGGACTTAGTTGGCTTAACTGGGATGGATCCCACCAATCGTCTCCCATCTGTTTATACAAGTCCTCTAACTCTTGGTCGATTTTTAGAGTAAGAGGAAGAGACATATTGCCGCCGTCTTGGTTTCTATCGATGATAGACCCCAACGGGAGGCAGACACGCAGCATATATGCTTCGGCAGGATCCATCTTCTTCACCTTTAGCAAATGCGTGATATGAGGCTTCAAGAGATGAAGTGGCACAGAATATGGTAGCCCAAGGATTGAGCTTTGGTATAAATCTGCGCACGCGAGGCTACACCATATATGGAGCTTGCGAAGTCCCAGCTCATCTTCTGGTCCAGGGCGGTTGTTTGGAAGATGGAGACCAGACAGTTGTGCAAAATTTATAGCCCGGCGTGTGAGTAGCCATGTTTTCCGTGGCCGACCAATATTGCTTTGGTATTTCCCAGCCATAGTAATACACTCTATACCAGGAAGAGATGAAGCGATGTCGTCGTCTTCGATAATATACTTTTGGACGGCGGCAACACACTGCTCGATGTACTTGTCCTTAGGTACCGGAACTTTGAGAGTCTGAAAATCGAATTCTTCCGCACGCTGTTCAAGGGTCATGAGGATGCAGTATAAAATTTTTCCGATATCAGCAGGGTTTTCGAGAGCTCCAGGTTTTAATATTTCCGGGAATCTTGTGCGCCATATGGTCCATATTATTGTCGGTGAATTTAGGAGCTTTTTTAGCTGTGTGGGAGATGGAAGGAGTTCCCTCAATGCAAGAACTGCACGTCTTTCTTTTAGAGCTATCGGATCGGCAACTCTCGAAACCTCCAAATCCACATGCTTCTCATCTCGAGAAAGAATATGGTTATCGAACAAGGTCAAAAGGGGAGCAGCGCCAGGCCCGGTGCCTCCTTGATCCATCGACTTGGAGCGAACTGGAATGGTTTCTGGAACTGTCTCAGCCTGACAATTGGAAAGGCTTTTGGTATCTAGCCTAGAGGTTAGAGCAGGTAATCAAAGGTAAGTGCATTGAATGTTAGGTAGTACCAACCTCGATCGATACTGTCTGTGGGAGACTCTATGTACGACCAGCTTGCATGCTCTTTCGATCCACTCTTGTCATTTTCATCCATTTGTTTCACCAGATTGCTCACGGTGTGTTCTAACGCTGCTACCCGTTCCCTCAAACTGTAGCTCTGGTCTCCTATTCGAAGTTTTGCAGCTTCCGGTCTCAGAGGCGCATGTTCCTGATCAATACAAGAGGAGCCTCGCGCATGGCACTCGTTGCATATTCCTGGCCGAGAAGCAGCATAAGTGCAGCGAATCTTTCGACGCCGGCCTAGCACGGCATTAATAGGATGGTCCAAATGATATGACTACTGCATCTCATCTGTAGAGTGGTTGTCAAAGTCAGAACAGAACGAACGCACATTCATAGCAGCTCTTTGTTCCTTTGCGCATTTTCTTGCGCTGCGGCTCTTGGTCGTGCAGTGACGTATCCGTGTCACCAGAAAGTGCTCGACGAAACGGCTCCATGATTATCGCCCAGCAGGTAGTTATATCAGAACGAGAGTCAGGTGTCAGGCAGGTCAACTGTCCAAAGCAGCAAGCATGTAGGCAACAGCGTAACTGCAGAGCGCCGCGGTGTGGCGGCTTTTTCTTTCTTTATTCAAGCAAGGAACGGAGCTGGGTTGTGTTAACACCGAGCGCGCATGACTAATCATTAGGATTATTAATGGTGTTAGCCTGCGGAGACCTTAAAACTTTAATTACTTTGTGTTCATTTAAGATTTGAGTTAAAGTTATGTAGTTAAATTGCTCCGTGTCCGTCTTTATATCAACATGCAAGACCATTACAGAATACTTTCTGGAATTAACTGTACAGAAATATATATTCTATTATTATTATTATATATATACCGCAAGTGTATTTCAATGTCTATCAATTACATACGTCATAATCACATTGGACAATGGGAAGAGGAGAGATAAAAGAAGGCTAATACGGAAGGAAAGGAAACTAGGTAGGGGGTTATCAGGCAACTCCAATGACAGCATTCTTGTTCTGCAGCTTATTCAAGTTTAGGGGCTTGATAAAAGCAGCAGCAAGGACAGAAACTCCACCAAGAGCTACGCAAAGAATGAAGGTGACCTTCAGGCCGTCGCCGTATGCGACGAGAACTCCGTCGAGGTCTTTTCCGGAGAACACTTTATGTAGTTCTGAGGCTCCGGTTTTAATAACTAGGCCCGGGTTCACAAGAGGCGCTACGTGAGGGAGTCTCTGAATTATCTTGTTCACAAATGCAGTTTGAGCTGCAGACACCCAGATAGCAGCTCCCATGGTCTGGATGAAGAGAATCATTGCAGTGGCGCTGGAGAGATCCTCAGGTTTCGCCAAAGCTTGACTGACAATGACTGGGATCTGGAGGGCAACACCTCCTCCAATACCGGCAAGAATCTGATACCCAATCCAAGTGCTTGCTGGCGTGTCGAGGCCGAAGGTATAGATTAGGCCTGAACCAATGGTAACCATGACGGATCCAAGAATCATAAGGTAGCTGAAGTGACCGAATGTCGCAATGAGTCCACCGGAAAGAGTGGAGAAGATACTGACTGCCAGCACGAAAGGCAGATTTCGGATTCCAGAATCTGAAGCTGAGGTATGCTTGATTGCCTGGAAGTAGATGGGAAGGTAGTAGATCAAGACGAAGAATGGCCCTGCAAAGAAGAAGATGTAGACGGAACTAATACTGATGTTCCATGTCTTGAACAAGCGTGGCGGAAGGAGTGCTCGGTCGCCCATCCACCATTCGTTCACAATAAAGCAGATGACCAAAAGTCCGAAAACAACCAGGGTAGCGATGACGGATCCGTCTGACCACTTCTTGGTAGTTCCTCCCCATTGCATGGCCAGTAGGAAGCTGACCACACCTGCCATGATTGTGAATGTTCCAACCAAGTCCATCTGCAATAGCTTCTCGCGCAGAGAGGCCTTGACTGGTCTAGAAGCTGGTGGGGCTGTGAAGAAAAAGAAAATGATGGCAGCGCTGATTCCTCCAACTGGGAGGTTGATGTAGAAGCACCATCGCCAAGATACCTTGTCAGTGAAAACACCACCAAGAAGAGGGCCAATAGCACTAGCCACACCATAAGTTGCACCCAGAATACCTGTGAAGGCCGGTCGTTGTTGTGTGAACCGAGAATCCATGATCGTGGTAGACACCACCGGTGAGGGCGGAGGCACCGGCACCAGCCAATGGCTTCGTTCCAACAATCCAGGGTGGTGCTGTTATTGGCGACCGCACAAATCAGGGAACCAATTTCGAAAAACGAAGATAGCGAGCATAAGAGACCGTCTTAGGTGGAAGTACTTAAACGCCTTTCCCCAAGTGGACTGGAACCAAACCACAGTCAGGAAAAACGCCGATCCGTACCAGCCCATTCTGATCTAACGATTTGAACTGGGCAGTTATCGTAGGAATTGCTGTAGCGACAATGGTCATATCCAGAGCAATTAGGAAGATGGAAAGGATGAGAGCCACGACGATGAAGGAAAGGGCAAATTTGCCCGGGTATTCAGTTCCATCGTCGGCTTCGTTGGGCGTACTTTGATCTCCGGTTGGAGCAGTTGACTTTTCGGCTTCTATTTGAAATGAGGTCGAAGAAGGGTTATGAGATCCTTTCGGAAGGCTGTTTCCATCTATTTGCGTGGTATGATCTGATAATGTCGACAGAGGCCGTTGAGGCGTCGACCTTTCGGTCTCTAATGTTGACTGCATGCCGAGCGGTGAAACCTGCAACTATTGTGTATAGACGTCGTTGTATGTATGGAGAAAAGGAACTGCAATTGAATTGGACTGGAAAGGGAAATGGAGAGTGTGTCCGACGAGGCTATATATATAGATGACTGAGGATTGTATCTGTATACAAAAAACAAAGGTATCAGAAGCCATCCTGGAGAAGAATATCAGCGGGTCTTTATATCCAGATACTTCATATCGTCAGCCTTGGATGGGAACAATCCTTTGGCTGAGCGATCGACAGCCAACCAGGCGCGGAAAGCTCATGCCATGATGTTCCGTAATGACGTCGAAAAAAAGAAAAAGATAATGATACCTGAATCATTATCGCGAAGAAAAAGTAAGGCTAGGGAAAGAACCTGCTCCTCCAGGCACAACATCGCTCCGTGTTGTCGCCGCATCCCCGTTTCAAGCGCAATGGACCGCTCTGTTCCAAAAGTGTCAGGGTGAGCAATTCTTTCGGAATTAGGAGGTAAGAGTTTGTCCGTCCATGGGCATTGAGTATGGGTATCTAATTGGACCAATCCATGGAGGATTAACTGGAGCCCAGTTCGAGTCATACGGAGTACTTAGTCACATCCAGGGCCCCAGCCAGCCGCATACGAAGATCGGGGCCGTGATGTGCCTTTGAAACATGGCCGCATGGACATAACGAGAGTTGCCATAACTCCATAACGCTCGATTCATAACACCATAACTCCATAGCGCTCTAGATTCATAGCGCCATAACTCCATAACCGCCAGCAAGGGTTTCGTTCTAAAGCGACGAATAACGTTATGAAGCGGAGCAGGAGAAGCAGATGGAAGAAACAGCGACTGCAAGCTTGTTTTACGCGGACAAAAGGTCGGAAAGATCGCGGTGATGACTAATTAGTCCGTGGCTTTGTCCGTAGGATGACTAAGCCTAACTCCGCCGCAAAACGTCCGTTTGAGGCTCTTTTGCTACATTTACTTAAGTTGCAAAGGGCGCTATTATTAGTGTTATTATATTACTAGTATTGTTTGTCCAAGGTTAACTACTCTATTCTATACGGAGGACTGGCTTAAAGATGGTTAGGGGGCCGCTTGAGTGGTTTGCGTAAGACATGTCTGCCTGGGTAGCTAGGGCCCTGGAACAACAAGGCCCGCAAGATGTGTTCAGGATCTGATGGACGGCGTTCACCTAACATCCAACGAATTCCATCTGTTGGTGACACAGCCGATTGACTACAAGCCTTATCTACGGTGCACAGCAGTGATTTTAATATCCAGCAACTGCCTGCATTACACCAGCCTGGAGAACATGGCCATCACCGAGATCGCCATTCTAAAGCTGCGGCCCGCAGCCCTGACAGCCACCAACAAGCCCAATGAAGCCACCACAGCATTTCTTCGCACCGCCAAACAAGCCATGGAATCATATACCGGGTTCCCATTTTACATCTTCACCCAGTTCGAAGATCCCGCACTTGTCTATATAGTCGGCAACTGGGATACGAGAAGGCAGCACTATGATGATTGGATACCATCTGATGCGAACCAAGGCCTGTTGGAGAGCGGCAAGGATCTATTTGATATTGCGGGACTAGCACACCTTGATATCAACCAGCAGGAATCGGGGCTTCCGTCAGATGCGCCGGTGCTAGCGCTCGATTGGTTCCATATGACTCCTGGCCAGAAAGAGGAATTCATCAGGGCCTGGGAAGGGAGCGTTTCTACCTGTTTGAAAGAGATGACTGCTCCATATATCGTTCGAAGCGGATGGCGCATTGATGGAGAGCGAAAGATCGAAGACAAGGAAGAAGTCGGCGCAGACGGGGAGCCGGAATTAGAGGAGTTTGCAGCATTCTCAGGATGGCGGGATGTCGGCCACAGCGACTCGTATAAGGGGTCAGAAGGATTCAGCCGATTCCAACAGCTTCTTGGCCTTGCAACCAAGGTTGAATCCAAACGACTTATCAGGCTTGATCTCTAGGCTGTTGGCCCCTAGGTTCCAGTTCCCTCAGCAGTGGGCATCGATTTTTTCAAGTGGGAAAGGGTTCATTCATATATGTTATTCGAATTTAGATTGCTCCGAAATGAAACCCGACAGTCTCTAATATATATACGCCATATGTGCCAGCAGATATCATATTACAGACTCCCAACACTTTTAGCCTCACCGGCTTTCGGGTAACTAACAAAGAATGGCATCGCAGCTAAAATGATGCATATACTTTCTCCACGATATTGATAGACGTCTGTTCGTCCAGCACAGCGCCGAACCTGAGAGCACAGTTTAGCGATTGGTAGTTAATACGGCAAGAGTGTAAGAAATACTCACCCAAAACAGTGAATGGTTCTGACAAGCCCCTCGCTTATCTTCTGTAAACCCGGGGGATCCAGCTTGTAGAACTTGGGGTGGTCACTGATAAGCCGCCATGCTTGTACTGGAGTGATTTCTCCGTCCAGGTTCAGCGCGCCTGCAAGCTCAAACAACCTCTCGAGTTCACTGGCAGGCACCTCCCATGTCGACTGGTTCTGCAGCACCGGAGGGGACCCAACAAGCAGAGGCGCTTGAAGGGTGAGTGCATGTCCTGAGAATCCCTGCTTCCCAAGCATACGGTGACGTAAACAACAACGCTCAAGGCTAAGTTGGAACGGGACGAGTTAGCAGATGCGCTCCTCCGGGAGTGTGGCTGAAATATTTAAGCATGGGAAGACAAAAAAAAAGGACGACATTACAATAAAACAAAATCAACAGCAACCTGAGTTGAATCAAAGTGGTATGGATGCGACCGCACAGGAACTTGCGGTTCATATCCCCATGCATCTGAGCTGTTCTTGGGCCGTATCTGAAGTTCACTGTTGAAGTCCTCTGGCCGAGGCTCATCTGGAGCAATCTGATTCTCAATCTGCGGCGACGTAAAGAGATCCGCTGCTTTATGTAGGACTTTCTGGGCAAACGTCACTCCAAAGCCTTCCGGATAGAAATTGGGTATCTTGTTCTCTCCTTCATCGAGAGAAACCTGCAGTCGCTGGCCGAACCCGGGCTCGCCCACCACGGTCACTTTGGCTAGCCGGTCCCGCGGCTTCTTCTGTGGCATCTGGATACCATGAGCTCGCATGATCTCTCTGAGGAGGCTGTTTTCCGATGTGAATCGGTCGATATCACTAGAGACAGACTCTCTCTCGTGTCGAAGGCGCAGTAGCTCCTGTTCGAGGGACTTTATATACTTCTCCTTTCGTTCACGGTGCTTGCTATATCGAAGGGGAACAGACTTTAGATGGGTTCCAAACATCATACCAACAACAACGGGCGAGAGAGAAGAGAGAGAATGCAATATAAGAACAGAAATGAAACCCACCGCTGGGCCCTCCGGACCTGGTCCCGCCGCCTTTCGTGGGCGGCTTTCGCCAGTGCCGCACTCTCGTCCTCGATAATCGAATCTGAAGGTGCAGTCTTAGCAGATATTCGCCGTCAGGCCAAAATAAAGGGGGAAGGAGGAGGGATGGAATCAATAAATAAACAGGAAAAAAAATATGTGAATGCACCATCACGGAGAGGCATCCCGGGAGATGTCAACAGCCGACCGGAGGATATATAGGGTATACTTTGCAGTAGCAAACAGGAAAAGGTACCGCGACCCAGCTCATCATCCCCTCATCAAGCGCAGAGTCTCCTTGGGGGAAGGATATACGATGACTATGGAGTAACTAGTGTATGTGAGATAGCCATGCTAGCTCTGGGGCAGCAGGAGGCATGAGGCATGACGAATAAGAGGGCCCCAGATCGCGCGGTTTGACCAAGGGGAGCAGCGAAAAGGAGAGCAAAAGAGCAAAAGAGAGAGCAAAGTCCACCATGCGGCGTGAAGAGTGGCAGACGGAGGGCTCAAGTCATGCATCTGGATTCCAAATGGTGGTGATGCCTGCGACTTACCGGGTGGTTCTTTGGAATCATTCTTCGTAAGCGCAATTTTCTTTTTCGACCGCTGCCACAGCGTCTCGAGGGTGTCGCCATACGGATCGGCCGGCGGCTGGAGTCTTGCATCCGCCATTCTTGGGGTGAGATGAAATCAAAAAGAAAGAAAAATAGATAGGTAGAAACTGTTGGTGGCTCTGCTGTCGTCGTTGTTGTCCCGTCCTCGATGTGCCGTCCGCTTGATCAAATATATAACACCGGCCAGCCTGACTTTTCTCCTTTCTACCATGGATAAACCACTGCTCGGCGCGCAGCTAGTAGGTATTTAACAAACAAATTGGCTCTCGATATTTGGAGACCAGGAAACTCTAACACAAATTCATGCATTGGCGGCGGCGAGCTAGTTTGCTAGCAAGTTACCTGGTTAGCTGGATGATGAAAAGGATTACGTTGTGCGTAGATGGATATTATATTAGCCGGCGAGTTATCAATCAGCGGCCCAGGGGCTTCTTGAAACAGGCCAGCCAGAAAGCCGTGGCTATCATTTACCGTCCTACGATATCTTATTCAACACCGTGGATAGTAGTAACCACAGGATCGAATTCCCTTTTGGAGTCTACTAGTTACACGCAACCGGTCCGAAGGATCCATGCATGCAGGGAGTCACTCGGTCAATAATCAACTCTTAACTCGCTCTCAATCGGGTGAAGGATTTGAATCTGAGATCTGCCCGAGAAGCCGGCAGCCAGAGAGATAGCCGGGTATTGTTCATTTCGGACCGGTAAGTGTATGTACCTAATGGTTAACTATTTAGCCGAAGCTCGTTGTCGGCTACCAAAAGCCAACTAGGGATCGTATTTATTTGAAGAATGATAAATGAAGCTTGGGTGAATTCACATCTCAAGGTCACTTTGAATTGGTCAAGGACAAGATAAAAATGTCAATTTGAAAGTAGCTGCCGGATATGTCTTCTGCTGCTCTCACAGATGTTGAAATAAAAGGTAATTAGTCGAAAGACAGCCAACCCCTTGATCAGCTCTTTGCAAAGTATGCAGACAGCTTGCCAACTGGCCTGTTAACAGGGAATGCCCACTGATAACGCTCCATAAAGGCCCGTACCTCCCTGTCCATCCCTGCAGAGACAGCTTGTCGCTGGACGAGTGCCTTCTTCTCATCTTCATCTACCTCAACGTCCCTCTGTAGTTCGACCTCTCCAACCCAATGGCCAAAGTCCGTCCTATCCAACACGACCTCAAACTCCTTGTTAAGTCTCCAGGTGTCTCGATAAGTCGTGTATCGAGCCATCACCTCTAGTCCACATAGCCTCACATCACTGCCATCCTTCTCTGTGGGCAGGAACCTCACGCCAGGCACAAATCGCTGGACCTGCTTAAGAATTTCACTGGGCTCAGAAAGCTCCTCGAATCGGGAATTGGTGTACGTTGAATTTGTCCGGTCTGTTCGCACTTTGGCCTGCCATATGCCCTCTCGTCGCCGTACCCAGACACCATTCGTGGATAGTTGTTGGCGGTAGTCAAAGTACTGATCTTCAAAGACACTCTGCCCGATATTCTCTACGTAGTCGAATGATGGCGAACCCCGGTTGAAACAAAATATGTCTTTCGACTTTGGCCCGCAGGAAAATTTTCTCTCAACCTCAATCACTGCGCGGCGGAGTCGCAGGACGGCGGTTGGGCGCATGATAGCTGGCTTTTGGTGACACTCTTTCTTCCCATGAGGTCGGGTTTTATGCCCGTTTCATGCAGGAAAGCCTAGGTAAGGCTCAGTGATAAACTACTGAAGGGGAGGTGTAGAGGTGCTAGGGAGTTAGATAACTGGGCCGTTGAAAACCCATCTGCAAACAAAGAAGCATGGATGTGGCTTCTAGCGGCCTGTCATTGTCTGACAGCCCATGGTAACATCCTAAGGCCGTACATCCTCAAGCAAACCGTTGGGTAGCCGTCTGCACTCTGCGGGCTACCATGTCTTTTGCTCCATCTTTCACGGCAGTCAACAGAACTCTTCCTTCAATTGTTTGGTTTTGGTATCTGTGCTTTGATCTATACCTCTACAATTTGAGCAACAGTGTCTTTACATCTAGTTGTTTCTCCTCTTTTTCAACCACCACTATGGATCCAATATCCAAGCGCTGGCTTTCTTTTTGAAGAATCTTTCAAAGGAGTTGCGGGAGGTTTTCAATTCAACATACCCCTTTGATTTCATGCTGTCATGTGGGATGTCAAAAGAATTTGATACCCACAGGAAGTTATATATATCCTCTAATTTACCCGACAAAAGATGCATATTGAACATACCCATCTGGGAATCAAAGTGATACACGGTCCATATTCTACTTTCACCCCTAGCCAACTCCGAAAATAGAAGACGCTTCCAAAATGCCTCCATTCAAGAGCATCCCTGGTGTTCCGGGCGAATCGCCCCTGCAGGTTACCATATACCTTGCAATTATCATTTCCACCGTAGCATGCACGTTCATTTCACGGTGGCTACGACTGGCACACAGAAACCACCTGTGTCCGTGAATTACCATTTCACCCGCCAGTGCAACAAATCATGTGGATTTTGCTTCCATACCGCGACCACGTCCTTTAAACTGTCCATTTCAAATGCCAAAAAGGGTCTTCACAAGTTGAAACATGCCGGCATGCGGAAAATCAACTTTGCAGGAGGAGAACCGTTTATGTATCCCAAACTCCTTGGGCCTATGGTTCAATTCTGCAAGGAAGAACTAAACCTGGAATCAGTCTCAATAGTCACCAATGGTAGCCTAGTCAAACGTGATTTCCTCGAGAAATACGGCCGGTTCATCGATATCTTGGCCGTGTCATGCGACTCTTTCAACGAGCAAACGAACATCGACATCGGCCGGGGAAAAGGCGATCAAGTGCCGCAGCTTTTTCGCATAGCCCAATGGTGCAAGGAGTACGGCATCAAGTTCAAATTGAATACGGTTGTCTGCAACCTAAACCACCAGGAAGACATGAATTCTGTCGTTGAAAAGCTACAGCCCTTCAGGTGGAAATGTTTTCAGGTCCTGATGGTCCAAGGGGAGAATGACTCTGACAAAACAATGAGGGATGTGCGCAAGTTTCAAATCACCGACCAGCAGTACGAGGAGTTCTGTCGTCGACATGAGCATCAACCTTCATTTGTTGCGGAGCCGAACAATCTTATGGCCAAGTCATATTTGATTCTGGATGAATATATGCGGTTTCTAGATAGGGATGGCCGAGGTCCGTCTGCATTTATTCTGGACGTTGGCGTGTTTACTGCTTTGGGGCAAGTATACTGGGATGAGACGAGTTTCAAGAAACGTGGTGGTATCTATAACTGGAGCAGAGAAAAGAATGAACCGTCCTGCGGGTCTAACGACAAGGCTTTGGAATGGTGAAATATCTGTGAAATCTTCTACCAAACTGGTACTTTTTTTTCGGGCGACGCTATTTAATTACTGATAATTAGACTGGATGATTACTAGAATAGAGTCATAAGAATGAGCACATGAAGAGTGAACTGGCAATTTGCTATGCAGTCCAAAGATAAAAGAGTCGAGAGAGCCTATGTATATATCTTGTTGGTACATGAAAGGGCAGGGAAGCAGAGGAGGCCATCCCCAAGTAAAAACAGAAACCCCCAAAACTTCGTAGACACAGACTCCATTTGTTCGTTCCCAGGATTCCCCCCCGCTTACAGATGTGATGTGGACGATATTAACAAAAGGGATGATTATAGAAATACATGACAAGAATTCTTCCGGGCAGAATGGGCTAACGTGGGAGGACCAGCAATAACTCCGTCTAAAGGCGTTTTTTTAATTTCGTTTAGAGGACACGGGTAATCAAACCAGTGGCAACGGTTCGGCCACCCTCACGGATGTTGAATCGCTGACCAGCCTCGGCAGCAATGGGGTGGAGGGTCTTGCAAATCATCTCGACGTTGTCACCAGGCATAGCCTTCCTGTCTTGGTCCTCTCCAGGCCAGCTGAAAGATGCGGCTTCGTCTGTGGTTGGGTGTATGAGTTAGTAATGATCTAGGTAAATAGTGATATTCCATATTACATACCGGCAGTACGGATGAACATCTGAGGACGGTACTTGTGGGTGAAACCGTTGGAACGACCGCCTTCAGCCTCAGTCAGGACGTAGAGGGAGACCATGAAGTCGGTGTGAGCCTTGGTAGATCCAGGAGCAGCAACGACCATTCCACGTCTCAAGTCCTCACGCTTGATACCTCGGAGAAGGAGACCGGAGTTGTCACCGGCGCGGGATTCATCGCAAGACTTCTTGAAGGTCTCGATATCGGTGACCTTGGTCTTGATGGGGGTCTCGGAACCACCAACAATTTCGACTTCGGAGTCCTTCTTGAGGATACCACGCTCGACACGGCCGGAGACGACGGTACCACGACCGGAGATGGAGAACACTTCCTCGATGGACATGAGGAAAGGCTTATCGGTGGCACGCTCTGGGGTGGGAATCCAGGTGTCGACGGCATTCAATAGCTCGTCGATCTTCTCGGCACCGAGCTCAGGCCGGCGAGACTCAAGGGCACAGAGAGCAGAGCCGAAGATGATGGGGGTTTCCTCACCCTCGAAACCGTAGTGGCTGAGGAGTTCACGCATTTCTAGTTCAACAAGCTCCAACATCTCTGGGTCCTCGACGGCGTCGACCTTGTTAACGAAAACAACGAGCTTCTGGACACCGACCTGGCGGGCAAGGAGCAGATGCTCTCTGGTCTGAGGCCTGAATAGATGTTAGAAACGTCAAATCTTTGCATCTGTCTGGGTGGGCATTCAATTACATTTGACCGTCAGAAGCTGCGACAACGACAACAGCTCCGTCCATACTGGCAGCACCAGTAATCATGTTCTTAATGTAATCAGCGTGACCGGGACAGTCGACGTGTGCATAATGTCTGTTCTCGGTCTGGTATTCGATGTGAGCGGAGGAGATTGTGATACCACGCTTTCGCTCCTCGGGGGCCTTGTCAATGGATCCGTAGTCAAGGAAGTTGGCGAATCCCTTCTCGGCTTGACGCTTGGTAATGGCAGCGGTCAAAGTAGTCTATGACCATGGTCAGTTTTCTTATCCAAATTTCCTGTTTCCCATCCTTTCCACAAGAGGCTTTGAAGTAATTCGAACCTTTCCGTGATCAACGTGTCCAATGGTACCTATGCCAGCAGTCAGATTTCAGTCCAGCAGGGTCAATTAAATCAGGCCAGAGGCGCAACACTTACCAATGTTGACATGGGGCTTGTTACGCTCGAAGGCAGCAGCCATTCCTCGGGCAGACATTCTGTTGTGAGAGAAGACATACTGCATTGGGTTGACGGCGGTTGGCCGCTGGGCGGCGTACTTGCCGGTCCTTAGCAGCACATTGAGGGATCTCTGAAGGGTAGACATTCTGAATGCTCGCCTCGACGGGGAAATGCGATATCAAACGACAGGTTTCTGCTCCTTTTTCCGTCTCTGCTTTCTTCTCTCTTTCAACCTGGGAACTTTCGCAAGCAAAAATCTGAAGCTCGAGAAAAAGTTTTTGTTGGCGTCAGGAACATGCTTAGGTAAGCATCACGTGGTGAACACCTGCGCCCGAGCGCCTGTCTAGAGCTGGTGTCTGGGGGCAGAGGGAAGCAAAGAAAGTGTCTAGAGAGGCAGCAAGGATAGATAACTAGGATATTCGGGCAAGGGAGGCATAAGCAGAGAAGTATGGTGGGCAGTAGACTGAACTTAGGCCTGGTTTGTGGCTTAAGTTGTGAAATACTTGGTACATAAGCTTTGATATAATACATCAAACCTGCGTTGTATGCTGGTAGAAAGGCACATGTGTAGAGCCTTTGAAAACAGTAGGATAATAGTACACGATAACTAGGCGGATGGAAACTCATCATGCCGCAGCCTTCTTCTTGTCCAGAACATATTCCATATGCTCCATGATTTTGCCTCTTCTCGGTTTCACCTCCGTAACCCCGATCTCAAACAGTTTATTCTCAATGGCAGCCAATAGCCGCTGCGCCTCGTCTGGTGTAGCTCTTCTCTTCCTCTTTTTCTTTGTCAAGATCAACGACACCCTCTTACCCTTGGACAGGAAGGTCTCCAGCTGTTCCAGGCGGTGCTGGAGGTCATGAGGATCAATTGCCCAGTTCAGCTCTATCTGCTTTATCTGAACAGCCGTTGACTTAGGCTTGCTCTCCTTTCCCTTTGCCTTTGCCTTTGTACTTGCGATGTATTCCGACTTTTCGACAACCTTGCATATCGGAGCCTGGTCTTCTGTTCCTGCTCGAACTTGTACCAAGAAGTTCCGAGACCGGTCAAACGTTGTTAATGCAGACCTGAGCGGGATTGGTTCTCCTAATTGTCCATTCTCCTGAACCACTTTCACTAGTGTACTCCGTATTTCTTCGTCCTTCGGTGGAGATGATCGAGAGGTGGAAGTCGTGGAAGAAGTAGCTGGGGGAGGAGGGTAATGAGGCCGTTGCGAGAACTGAGGAATAAACGTCGACTGATAGTATCTTAATTGTTGTGTAGGGAGCGCATAGAGCCGTCTCGTAGCTTGGGCAGTAGTCTGTGATTCAATCGAAGCAATGAAAGTGCAGCGCAGGGCCTGCGCAGTGGAAAACAGAGGTCGTAAACAAGTCATTTTGCGCCAACGTGCACCACTAATGCAAGAGAAAATGGGCTTCTATTCTGCTCTATACAGCACTGATTGCCTCGCGCGGCTTTTGCAGATGTTTCAGGTCTTCTTCTCAAAGCTCGACCTGTGCCTTCGTCTTCGTCTTTCTCGTGTGATGTTAGCCTTGAAAAAGAGACAAAAAGTAACACGCTCGGAGCCAAGAGCTGCACTTCTTGGCACTCGGGGATCCTTATTTTAACTTCATGACAAGGGCAGCAAAAAGTATGGAAATTTCTTTGATTTGATATCAATTTAGGGGGTTCAGGAGGCAAACCGTGAAAAAAATCTCCATCTTCTATCCCTACGTCTTCTTTTTGTCGTTAAAAAAGCTGTGCATTCCCCTGCAAGAGAGCAAAGGGCGCAAAAGTCGACTGGGCCTCACCTTCGTTTTGGTCCTTCCTCGGTCCATCCCGACATCCTCTCTCTGTCCTCTCAGCCAGCAGCTTGCATGTCCGGAGCGTCTGGAGGGAGATCCCATCGAGCAACTTCGTCCACGGTAGATTCAAACCTGAGTCTACACCGGAGAACGTCTTCTGTCTCCAAACCAACCGGCCACGGCCTCGATATTGAGAACATCCCGCTGGAACCCATGAAGGGCTCCGCTCCCATCGCCACAATGACACAAAGCCAGAGATCGAGATACCTGAAAACAGGTGGAATACTCGCGTTCATACTGTTCATAATATATGTCCTCACCCCTTCGTCACGGACGCCGCACGCTCCTGCTCCTGGACCAGACTCGTCGATGAAATGCACGAAGCCCCACGATTCTTCTAAACCTCTTATCCAATATGTCTTGATGATCGATGCCGGCAGCACGGGGTCGAGGATCCATGTCTACCGCTTCAATAACTGCGGCCCAACTCCAGCACTGGAAAACGAGGAGTTTAAGATGACTGAGGCGAAAGAGGGCGGCTCTGGACTCAGCTCATACCGTGAAGACGCCGAGGGTGCAGCTAAGAGTCTTGACCCCTTGATGGAGGTTGCCATGAAGACCGTTCCGGAAGAATATAGGTCTTGTTCCCCTGTTGCTGTCAAGGCTACCGCAGGTTTACGAATGTTGGGTAAGGATATGAGCGACAATATCCTCAAAGCCGTCAGAGCTCGGCTGGAGACAGTATACCCATTCCCGGTCGTCTCGGAGGCTCAAGGCGGTGTTGAAATTATGGAAGGCAAGGACGAGGGTGTCTATGCCTGGATTACAACCAACTACTTGCTTGGAAACATTGGTTCTCCGGAAGAGATCCCAACTGCTGCCATCTTCGACCTGGGAGGCGGCTCTACCCAGATCGTTTTCCAGCCAACCTATAACGGCAAAGGACTCGACGGCCTCCCAGACAAGATGCCAGAAGGTGACCACAAGTACGCCCTTAAATTCGGTGGCAGAGACTTTATACTCTACCAGCACTCCCATCTTGGATACGGCCTGATGGCTGCTAGAGCTGCTATCCACCGTCACCTCATCGAGACCAAGCATGAGCTCAGCCCCAACGACAAGGGCTGGCTCAAGCAAAAGGTTGTGAACCCATGTATCGTTCCTGGAATGGCCCGCAATGTCACCATTAACTTGGGTGATAACCATGCCTTAGGGAAGGAAGTTGAGGTACTTATGGTTGGCCCTAAGGAATCGTCAGCTGCCCAATGCCGGAACCTTGCGGAGAAGATCCTCAAGAAAGATGCAACCTGCGACCTTGCCCCGTGTTCTTTCAACGGAATTCACCAGCCTTCCCTTCGCAAGACTTTTGCTAAAGAGGATGTCTTCATCTTCTCTTACTTCTATGACCGCACATCTCCCCTTGGAATGCCTGATTCATTCACTCTCCATGACCTTCATGAATTGACTTCAATCGTCTGTGGTGGCGAGGATAGCTGGGGAGTTTTCCAATCTAACAGCACTGCCATGAAGGAGCTAAGCGATCGTCCTGAGTACTGCTTGGACCTTAACTTCATGCTCGCTCTCCTACACACTGGATACGAGATGCCTCTTCAAAGAGAAGTCAAGACGGCAAAGAAGATTGACGGAAACGAGCTCGGATGGTGTCTCGGTGCAAGGTTAGTAAACTTACCTCGTCATTATTGACTCCAATACGTATTCATACTAACGTCACAAATAGTCTTCCCCTTCTAAGCAAGACTTCCGGATGGGAATGCCGCATTAAGCAGATTTCTTAACGAAAAGGAAAGAATTAGACTTTGAGATCTTGCCTTTCGTTTGCCCAAGATTTTATACATATCCTCTTTTAATGAAAAAAACCTGAAACTGAAAATAATTGGATGACCATAAGTTGCGATGCTATTATGAGCCAGGGAATATCTTCTTGAGGAGTTTTTCTTACCCTCCCCCACTTTATACCTTTTTTTCTCTTTTTTGGGGGTTACGCGGGTACTTATTGGTTGTTTCTGTCCACTTGCTTATATCGTTACCCCTTCACATCTCTTCAGCGGTATGATTCACCTCACAATTAGCTAGAATGCCACCTGTTTTCCATTCTTATCTGATGACTTACTACTGCACCGATGAGTTGCTAAGAATGAGCGTAAATAGATGATGTTTGATCCGAGAAACAAGTCTACTCCAGGCGGGTGTCACTAAATTGAGCAGTCGCTAATGTAACACAACAAAGTGCAAAAAGTGAACTAATGGGGTATAAATACAGTTGAAAGGCATTTCAATGACGGGTGACGGGGGCTCGGGTTAAGCTCCCAGGTCTTCAATTTTCGGCTTTTGTGAGTCGGATTTCTTTCCCATAAGTTTGTCGACGATGTTCTTCTCTTCTTTCGGGTCCATGGCACTTCCAGAACTTTCACTACCATCACTGCCATTGCCACCATCTTCTTCCCCCTTTTCTTGAAGTACACCCAGACCAAGATTCTAACGGCAAGTTAGCTATGTTTACCTCTGTTGGCAGGAGGATATCTTACCATCTCAATATACTGACCCTGCCCCCCATCTTCGTTATCAACTTCAAGGGTCATAGACTTTCCAGCAGCGATTTCTCGCTCAAGGTCTTCATTCGCGGCTTTGAGAGAAGGTAAAAAGTTCGCAAGTCTTGCACGCAGGGCTGCGTTGTTTGGAAGGGTAGCGGATGGTCTCGAAGGTATAGATCTAGGCTGGTCTTCCATTCGTTCATCATCATCAGACTGTCCTTCGTCCGAGTTTTCCCCCTCGTTGAAATCCGAATCTGAATCTGAAGACCCAGACGATGATGTCGGGTCCGAGTCTGTCGATTCAGGTGGTGAGGATTTGGTGGCTATCTCTGAGCCAATATCTTGATTTGGTTCTTTGCTTGATGCGTTTGCGTCCGAATTGCCAGAGCCACGGCTTATGCCGCCCAAGTGGTCTTTATCGCGGAAAGTCAATACTTCAGGTTCTTTCGATGAGGACATTCTTGACGCTTGTACACCGCAGTCAAAGGGGGTACGAGTAGAAACCAAGCCAAAAAGATACCAATATTAAGACGGTAGGGGTATAATTAATAGAGATGCAATGCTGCTCTCCTATCCTGAAATCCTGCTGTGTTCCTATATCATTCTTTCGTGTTGTAGATATGGTGGTAACAGAAGATACCCGGATGGAAGCTTTCTATCCCCTTAACCTCTTAGAAGAGAATTTTTGAAATAAAGAAGGTAAGGTATAAATATGCCCAGTGGCCCCGGAAAATAAAAGCTGTTCAAGGGGTATAGACAGATATAATGATGATTTGTAGTTCTCTATAGAAGTCGAAACCCTCAAGATTTTCTCCCAGGAAAGTGTTCCGGCTAAGATTACGTGATACATTTGACTTCACGTGACGTCATGTGGCCCGGCAAACCTTCCCAAAAAAAGGAAGGAAAGATAGAAAGAAACTACAAAAGAAACTACGATAGATGGACTCCTTATAGCTGCGCTCGAAATCAGCTTCCAAGGAGAACGACGGGTCTAGCGAGGCCATGTTGTACTCTGTATGTCTATATGGTAATCGTGAGCTTATAGCTAGTGCAGGATGATCCACACCAACTTTAAAGGAGCAACTAGAATTTGGTGGTAAAACTACAACAAACAACAACCTGACAATGAGAATATATAACAATGTCAATGACATGACGAGGCCTCTGCCAGAGTTTGTGGGGGCCATTGGTTGGGTTGGACCGGGTTTCGAATGCGTTTCGTCCTCTTGCCGATGTCTCCAGCCAGGGCCCCGAGAAAGCCGTTGATGGGCCAAGCTTCAGCCTCGTTCACAAGTGATACGGTTGCTACGGGCCAATGATGGTACGGCGGTTATCATGCAAGCAGTGCATATCAAGCACAGGAGCTGGAAGACCCTGCAGATGAATGCACAACTGAGAGAGCCGTTGGCTGTGATTCGCCTGGTACTTGCTTTGTCGAACAGCGTCAAAGGTCGAAGCATGAAGATGCGTTTCAGCTCTTTGATCGTGCTGCATCTCCCCCGGCCTCTTATAAAGGCACGACAGGGGTTCGGTTCTTCCTATTGATGTCTCTGAAAGGTGATATGCCGTATCTGTAAGCGCTTTGCTCGGACGACTGGCTCTTCTCCCTTTCTTATATGAAGACAAGTTTCCCTGAGACTCCATCCTCTCTTCGCTCCGTCTGTCAGTAACATCGGAGTGTCTGCCATCCAACGCCCCCTATCCAACATGACCATCCAGCCTCCCAAGTTTACCGCTTTGGAACCTGTGTCGGAAGATGAATGTCACGCTCTCAATCCAACCCGCAAGACACTCCATCAGAACATCATTGGCAAATTAAGACCTCTGCCTTTCCAGTATCGTTGGGCCGTATGGCATGAGAAACACTCTGAGTCTGTCAACTATGGTGACAGGCTATACCCTTTGCATGACGACGTCGCCGATATTGCTACCTTTTACCGGATATACAACAATTATCCTTGGGAAAAGATTAGGGCCCGGGACACAGTGCATATCTTTCGTCGCGAGACGAAGCCTGTTTGGGAGGATCCCCAAAATTTGAAGGGCGGATGTTGGACTTTTCGAGTTCCCAAATCAAAGAGTCAGGCATTCTTCCATGAGGTAGCCATCCTTTGTATGGCAAACGAATTCCAGGCCGCCGTGCAGTCCGGTATGCTCTACAGTTGTATAACAAGATACTTCACCTACTAACTATCATGTAGAGCGTGATCATGTCCTTGGAGTCTCGACTTCTGCTAGATTCAACTCCAATCTGATATCCATATGGAATAAACAAGGATATAACCCCAAAGCCATCAAGGCGTTAGAAGATATTATATTACAACGTCTCTCACCCGAACTTCGTCCAACCGCTGAAAAGTCCTACTTTTACAAGCGCCATGATGAACACGATGGCTACCAGGCTGCGATTGAAGCAGTACTTGGTTCCTCCTCTGACTAGAGTACTTAATTGGAATAGGCAGTAAGAGTACCTGAAGTATCTTTGCGGTCGAGAAGTTGTTTATTCTTGTTTTGCTTTTCTTTACATCTTTTCCTATATCTTTCTGGCGGCTCTCTGATTTCTATTATGCATCATGCATGGAGTTTGGAAACCACGAATTTGATTATTTATTACTCCTTAGGGCTGCTCAATATATCCTCACAAATTAACCAACCTTTCTAACATTATCCTGGATAAAGTTACACCCATGAACATATCAAAACTCCGTGAAAATGCACCTAATAGTAGTAATACAAACATTGGGCCAAGGTAGTAAAGACGTTTGACGCTCAACGGCTTGCGTCTCGACGCCTGCTTCTTCTGTCCTCTCTATCAACGCTGGTCCCTCGAGATTCCTTCTCAGCGGCTCCTGGGACGTACCGATCAATATCGGGAAGTCTGTCCCGGTCCCTATCCCTATCACGATCGCGGTCTCTGTCGCGGTCCCTCTCACGTTCCCTATCTCTGTCTCGGCCTCTGTCCCTATCTCGAGATCTGTCCCTGTCCCTGTCCCTGTCTCGATCTCTTTCTCTCTCCCTCTCTCTATCTCTGTCTCTATCTTTGTCTCTGTCCCTATCACGATCACGATCACGGTCACGGTCACGGTCACGATCCCTTTCCCTATCTCTGTCTGGTGACCTTGCCCTACGTTTTGGTGACCGGCTCCGCGTTGATGTTGGAGGAACGTACCGATCAATATCCCCTCCAGCATTTCTTGACGTTGACCTGGCTCGACGGCTTCGGGATCCTGACCGGTCCCTTTCCCGGTATCTCCGCCGAGTGGTTGATCGAGACCGTGACCGAGACGGGGACTTGGATCTTCGTGCTGGCCTATGGGATGCTGCTCTCGAGCGAGATCTTGAACGGGCACCGGGGCGATAGCTGCGATATTCGCCTCTGCTCTCACGCTCACGGTCTCGATCCCTTTCTCGATCCCTGTCCCGATCACGATCTCTATCTCTGTCTCTGTCTCTATCCCTATCTCTATCGCGGTCACGGCCACGGTCACGATCTCTTTCCCTTTCCCTGTCTCGATCGTAAGGCCGGTATTTATCCATGTCATCCACTGCTCTACTTCGGCTTCGGCTCCTGCTCCGGCGTCGAGACCTAGCACGAACAGAGCGGTCATCACGGTCTCGCCTGTCTCGTTCTCCAGGTCGATAGACGTCGAAATCACGGGGACGTCTTTCTGACTCCCTCCTATCTAGGTCGGCGTCTCGATATCTGTCATCATGCCTTGAAGATCTCCTGGTTCTGGTTCTGCTCCTGGACCTGCTACGGTCACGTCGGCGACTATGGCTGCGGCGGCTTTCGCGATCTTCTGTCCTTGACCTGACGGGGTCTTGAGAAGGAAGAGCCGATTCCGTTCTGGGCTTGGAGGAAGTACTGCGAGTGTTGGTATTAGCTGGCTGTAAAACCTGGCCATTTTCCAGGGCTTCTGCTTGCTCAAAATCAAACTCTGGCTTTTGTCGTGATTTAGCAGCAAGCTCCTTTCCTTCTTTGAGTAGCAGCTCAAGGGCCGCATCTTCCAGCGCCTTCTCATCCACTGGTGGGGCTGGTGTTTTATGCACCCTGGACGCATCTCGTGGCGTACCGCTACCATCTCTTCCGCGGTCAAGATCCACCCGTCTGCTTTTATCTCTGTCATAGTCACGCTCCCGGTCTCGTTCACGTTCACGGTATCGTTCTTTCTCCTCTCGCCTTCTTCGCTCATACCGTTCCTCCCGTTCTCGTTCTCGCCGTTCGTCTCGCAACCTATCTTCCTCGCGTTGCTTTTCCCTTTCAGCCCGCCGCTTTTCCTCTCGTTCCTCTCGTCTCTTCCTGTCTTCTTCCTCCCTCTGCTTTCGTATCTCACGTTGCCGTCGTTTTTCTTCGGCTTCAGCTTTCTTTCTTTCTTCCTCCGCTTTCCTTTCTTTCTCCAGTTCCTTTTGCCTAATCTTCTCGCGCTCGTCTCTCTTAGCTTGAACAAGCTTCTCGTACTCCGCATCCGTGGTAAGTCCTTTGGCAATTTCAGCATCAGCCGCTTCCTGGCCAATCTCCTGAACGCGAATTTTGCGTAGACAGGCTAGTATCTCGTCAATGTGATTGGATATTATCGCGTCAACTGATTCTTCAATTCCTGAATGTAGATCACTGCGGTCAACGGCACCGGAGATTAGGGTAGCGGCTTTCCCCCTTTCACGAGATAGCAAAGACGGGTCACGCTCGATTTCAGACTCGGCCATTTCAATTAAAGATGCTGTAAATGAGTTCTTAGCATCCTATGAGAATATTTATTAGCACAGGGGTATTCAGGAACGTATGCAGATGTTCACAACGCACGCTATCATTGAATTTGGCCCAAACTTCTTTTCGAACTGCATCAAAGCCTCCTTTCTTCTTGAAAGAATATAACAGATTGTCGATCGTAGTCCGCTGGGCCGTAGAAATGGGCAGCTCTGACAGCTTGAACTTCTTGCGCCGGAGACTTTCTATGCTGGACCCCATGCGCTTTGCGCCGCCCACTTCAGTCTCTGCTTCCGCCATCATGAGCTGACGTCCCTGAAATCACAGTATAACGCTAGAGCACTCGCAGCAGCCTCATCCCATATCGTCATAGAGCAGCGCTGGCATAGCAGTTGCTCGTCTTCTCCCACATCCATCAGGTCACTTTTTCTTCTGCGCGGTGAATGCCCAATTGGAAAATTGATCGATAGTCGCACGGAAAAATGTAAACCCGCACCCGCCGCGACGTCCGTCCACGGTCAAATCAAGACCTCAAGCAAAACCGGCGACTTCAAGCAGTCGACGCAGCAGATATCGAACACACATCGGCATTGCTCTCCCTGGGGATGCTCTATTGACAGCCTACGATTGAGAGCAGAGCACTCACACCTATTTCCGGCCTGTTTGTTGTGTGGACAAGTTCCACTGTCGCCCACTCGTTGTCCAGCAAACTCATTCAACACCTCTCATCATGCCAGTCCACAAAGTGCTCTTCTGGAGCGGCTTCGGTTAGTGATATCTTTCTCTCCATCTATAGACGTATTAGCTGCCGCTTGATGGCTGGCTTTACGTCTACCCGCATGTCAATGGCTCCCTCTTAGATCGCATACCTCGGTCTAAGTCACTTGGTGTGTAATCGTATCTGACTGACATCTCATCTATATATAGGCGTTGCCGTCCGACTATGGCAGCTTGGAATTGAAATGCGCCCATTCTTCAACAAGGAATCCCTATGGGTTTACCCTCTATTTGCAACAGTTGGTGGAAGCTTTGGATACTGGCTGGAAGGTGTGGAGGGTCGACAATTGAAAATGCTTGCCGAGAGAAAACGAATGCTCCTTGAGAAGAGACAGAGAAGAGCCGAGAGGGATGCAGCTGAACCAGTTGGACTTGGCCAGGCTTAACGAGGAGGAATTCTAGCCAGCACTTCTTGAGGCGAGAACCGGGTTTCGATACATTCGCTGGGCGAGCGGTTCCAGGACCAACAGTATAGAAATGTGGATATATCAAGTGGAGGGATGGGGAATTGCGCAGTCTCACCTTTTTAGAAGAGAACTAGAGAGAGAGACTATTAAAATTGTACTTATAACATTATTCCATGCCGTTTATTTCTGCCAATATGAACGTCAAGGAATCCCGTGAAAAGAACCTTCATCCGGTTACCATTACAAGATTTTATTTCTCGAGACAAGCATAAACTTTCAACTTTGTAGAGAAATCAGTATTGCTAGCTGATATCACTTTTTACCAAGATCGATGGCTTTGAGGATTCCCCTGATGGATCGATTTGTGAAAGACTTGCGTCGACTTTGATACTTCAGCAGGAGGTCTACAACCTCTGGGCTCGGTCGTTGATGAGCAATTGTTTCCAAAATCTGCTTCCGTTCCTCTTCTGTGGCTCCTGTTACGGATATGCTTCGTGGGAGGTCAAATGTCCATGTCTTTCTAGTTCCCCAATTCAGTATTTCTCCAGCAAGGCGACAGCATCCTTCAGGGCAAATGCATTCCATGAACTTCAGTTCAAGATTTGAAATAAGGAGGCGCTGACGGAGAAATGTCAATGTACGGCCAAAAAGATAATCTTGCATGCTCTTAATGTCCTGTGCATGAGGAAGTATAGGGGTTATATTTCGATCAACACCCCCACTACCAGCGGTATATGTCCTGGCTCCCAGTATGGAAGCTCGGTATTTCAAGAGATTCTTTGCCATTTTGCCGTTTTCCTTACCCTCCTGCTTGTCCTGTCGTTTTAAGGCAATGCTGCCTGCAAGCAAATCATCGCAAAAAGGACCACTGAGGTATTGGAAATCCCGGTGATGGAAGACAACCTCAATGCTATGCATACGCCTTAAATGGTCCCTTACACGGGGGTATTCATTCGAAATTTCCAAAAGGACGTCGGGATGTAGGATTGAAAAGGTATTGTCTCGGTAGAATACCGAGCAGGCTTCTTCGTACACTTTCTTGCAGACCAAAAACATTGCCATATTTGGCGGTTTATGGGTGTAAAGTCTGCTCTGATCGTTTATGTAGTGGAACGAAACGAATGGACGTACGAAGACCTTCCCCGGGGCAACTGCATATTGGTATATTTCCTTGCGAACATTCAGGGGTAATTGAAAGAAAGAGATCCTCTGATGATCCAGAGGCTCTGGTACAGAACTAGCACCATTTGCTTAGTAGACGGTTGGTGACAATAGGACAAGGCAAGGCAAGGCTTACATTGAATTCTCAGTAGTAATTTCCTGGCCAGCATAGGTAGCCCCTTCGTCCATGACAGACATGTCACTAACTGTTTTTATACTGGCGGCAGTCACTGGCTTGAGGGACGATACCATCTTTAAGACTTAAGCCGCAACGAGTCTGTATTCTAGAAGGAAATCATTGTGAGTAACTGCAAAATTTCCTTTTAGCGAGAATAAAAGAGCAATCTTGGGTGCTTTGTTTATTGTGATGGAAATTTCCAGAGGATGCTCATGGTTGCTAGGAGACCGGTGTGTTATTCAACTGCCATAAGTATATAAGGAGATCGTAAACAAAATATAAGGTCATGTTGAATCAACATTGAATTGTAAAGACACCTCCCATTTCTGCATTCCAGTGCCATACTCGCCGCCGAGACGCTGCTTGACCATGTTGACTATCCGCTCCCTGAGCAGGGTAATTGCTTCCTCTGATCCGATCACTCTCAGCTTGATATTAGCCATGCACAAGCCATAGTGAACTTGCCAGAAGCGCGCTTCCTCCACGTTTGTGACTGACGGGTGTGCAGCAATGTCCTTCATGACGGCAGAAACACCAGGTCCTGCGTAAGACATGAGCAACATAGAGCCCAAGTTTACCACTAGGCGAATACCTAGGGCACACATAGAAAATGCGAGAGTAAAGGAAATAACCGGATCAAGAATCGAATAGAAGGAAGTAGATATCAAAGGGAGTAAAAGGAGGAGGGTGGAGCATGATAGAGTAAGGAAATGAGCAGGGTTGCTCAGCAAGGACGGTAGTGCTTGTATATAAGTGACACGCATGGCCTTGCCAATTCGTCCATGATTTTTGAGCCCGATAGCTGAAATCAGAGTGGCAGCAATAGAGAGGAGTGCAGTCATATCAATGCTTCCTGGAGTTACTCGCTCATGCTCGTCATGGGGGTGTGCGTGATGGGAGCCTCCAAGGACATGTTGCACGGTATGGGAAATCAAGTCACCACCCATGAAGAATAAAAGGACGGATAAGGCAAACCCAGCGACTACCTCTGTCCTTTCTAACCCAAATGGGTGCCGGATGCTGGACCTCTTCCAGACTTCAAAATTCCCAAGGATATCAACCACAACGCACAACATTGCCCCAAGAGAGTCAAAGAGCATCAAATGTGAAAGTCCAGTCATGGCCATGGACCCATGAGCGCTCCATAGCGTATATCCTGCCACCGCCATATGGCACAAACTCCACCAAAACCGAGCCTTCTGGTCTCTAGACATGCTCTTTCGGTATTCTATGAATGTTGGGATCGGCAATGAATTTGGAAGAGCCAACGGTGCCCTTGGAGGTGGTTCAAGGAATATCTGGTGAGACACACTGCTGTGCTTATATTTGTGGCCGCGGCGCTGTCCAACATTCTACAATAGTTAGCATGGTAAGGGGAGTTTCGGAGAAGTGGCCACACATACTGATTTCAGGACTGGAGTCTTTGCAAGAGTTGTAGGCTTGAAATTAAACGGACTTGGAACATCCAGACTTGGCCGTCTATATGAGTTCCACGAAGCGTCTGTTCAGAGGAGGTTAGTGAGCATTGGCATTGCATATACCCAGACACCGCATGGAACGTAGACTATACCTGAGGACCCTGAAGGAAAGGCATCCGACAACGACGAGAGCGGCGGGGGCTCAAGAGATCCTTGTCTCTGGTAGCCCATAGAAGTGCTCCCCGCTGGGGAAGAGGTGCCATTATCCGGCGGTGGACTGGGGGTCCGGGGAGGGAGTGGAATAGGGAGCCCTGAAGCCATGATGGCCAGATCAGGCAAGCTGCCACAAGGTATTCGCGCAGAAAGACAACGATCAGATCTCCGTCTCTACTTGGAAAGCATTATATCTATGCGTGTCGCGTGAGGGGCAGCCGTCATGCAGTCATTGCGAGTCCATTGAGTGGTGGGTTGTGTTATCTGGTATGTTATAGCAAGCGTGAGGTTGATCTTATCTCCTTTGGCGCTTGGCGATCTCGCCGCGGCTATTTTGGATTTAGCTACAGTAATCGCTGCAGCCTCAATCAATATCAACATCAACCAACGCTTCAAGCAACGAACCTTGAAACATCCACACAAGGAGGACGACGGGAGCTCTACGACGGGAGCAGGACATGGATTTTAGACTTGAACGACAGGCCGGCTAAGCTTCCCGGCCGTCAGCCCCCATGGACGGACGTCGTGGTGCCTTCATCTTCATCCTCCTCTTCTTTCTCTTTACGGCGCCAAACCCTCACCCGCCGTCTTCGGTCTCCATACGCGACTATAAACGCCGACTAGCTGATGAGGAGCGTGCTCTTGCTTCATTGAACTCCTCTCACTACGGAGATTTGGATCCTCAAGCTGATCGATGGCTTCCACTTGCCGGCCTAAGAGCCACCGATGGCTATGCGTGGAACCTGCTTCCGTCAGTGCAAGAGAAGGCCAGGAAGCAACTACAACTGGCACTTGGCGCTTCTGGATCTTCAGATACGGTATCTTCGAAGACAAATATCACCGATCTCTCGCTTCCAGTTTACCACAATGTCTCGGGCAATGTTCGCGGTGAATGGGTGCGCAATATGGAAACGGAGAGACTGAGCCGGCCAGAACTCAACCTAACTACTATCATCACAGAGCACGAGTATTTCACCCGGGAATTTGGCCACAATGTTACCGCTCCCAAGGGTCGTATCGTCTTCAGTCTACATGAGGGCCAGGGACATAGTCTAAAGCCAGATGGCAAGGATGGCGAAGGCGTTGAGGAGATCAAGGTAGAGATGCTTCTACGGACTGATAGATCTCTTGGAGAGAGCTGGGTAGTACCTCTATATGGTGTACACTTTCCGGTGTCAGGAGGGATTATTCTTACATCTGCAAGCGAAAAGTATGCAGGTCTTGCATCGATACCCCATTTGGCTTTGTCAAATGACACATTTGAACTTTCTCGTGAACTGCTTAACAGCTCGCTCACTGAAGCGCTTTCGGAGAGATCCAGTCATCTCAGTACATTTTTGCCTTGGTCGTCTCTCTCGCAGGGAACAAGTTCGGCCTCTCTTCCAGCCCCCAATTGCGAGTATGTTATATACCTGCAGCAACATGCCCTACTATCGGCGGGGAAGCCCATCCCGGACTCCGTTATAAGGGGCATCGAGCAGGAACTCAGATTCCCGACGGGAGCACCTATCCCAAAACCACCACCACTAGTATTATCTGGTGTTATATTTTCTCCGGACTGTGGTTTCGTCCTAGAAACGAAAGCCTCACCAGAATACCCTCCTACAGACGAATTATACCTAGTCGGGTTGAAACAAGAAGTATATAGTAAATATGCTGGGCGCTTTATCACAGTCATCGCTGGAATACTCGCCGCACAAATACTGTTGCTGATGAAGCAGATGAAGGAATCCTCAACACCCTCAACCAGAAGCCGAGTAAGCTTCTACACCATCGCTATGATGTCAATGGGAGACGCGTTGTTTATGTCTTTTATTCTTATAGAGCTCTACTCTGAGACTTCTTTTTTGCTACTTACGGCAACCTCGTTCCTGGCATTCTTTGGCGTTAGCTTTCTGGGGATGAAATTTCAGATTGAAATCTGGCTGGTGCAGGCTCCGGAGCGAAGAGAACAACAGCAGCAACGGCAGCAAACCGTAGCCCAACCAACTCCATCAACCCTTCCGCTACCGGTGACAGCACGACGACCCGCCGATACAGGTGCAACCCCAGTTTTCCTCCCTCCAGATCAGGATGAAAACCCGAGTACTGTTGCGAACCCCACGCCTCCTGATCAGAACGACGATACAGCTAATGCTGGCGCGATGTATTCACGGTTCTATTTCCTCCTTTTCAGCTTGTTATTTTTCTCGTCGTGGGCACTCTTTTGGCCTAGCCGTCTCCGAACTATTTATGCCAACACTTTGTCCTTCATTTATCTCTCGTTCTGGACGCCGCAAATTTACCGGAATATAATGCGGAACTGCCGCAAGGCGCTAAGGTGGGAATTTGTCATCGGACAAAGCCTTCTTCGTCTGTTCCCTTTCTTATATTTCTACTTTATACCCCAGAACGTATTATTTATCCGGGCTGGTGGTACTACCACACTTTTGCTCGTATTTTGGGTATGGATCCAAATTTGGAGTCTTGTTAGCCAGGATATCCTTGGGCCACGCTTTTTCGTTCCCAAGAGCTGGGTACCGCCTGCATACGATTACCATCCAATCCTACGAGATGCGTCTGCTTCCGGCTCTGCAGAGGATCTGGAGGCTGGAGATGCGTTGCCGATATCCTCGCTACGTGCCGAGCAGAGTGAGCCTCCACCAGGCTCGCATGATGGAGGCAAGGAGATAGATTCTCGCCATAACAGGAGGGATTTTAGCTGTGCTATATGCATGCAGGATATCAATGTTCCAGTTGTTACTGGAAATGATCACGGCGCTGGAGCTAGTGTAACGACAGGTGCCACGCATTTGTTCAGTCGGCGTGCCTATATGGTAACTCCTTGCCGCCATATTTTCCACTCTCAGTGCCTGGAAACGTGGATGCGGCTAAGACTACAATGCCCCATCTGTCGAGAATCAATACCGCCTATCTGATCATGTGGTTGTTTCTTAATTTCCTTATGCCATACACCTGGTTGGTTCCGACATAAAAACGTGAACTGATGGAAATACCCCTTCGACTTTCTCATATCATGTTTACGAAACCGTTGAAGTTTCACATTGGTATAAATAGCTGTTCAATTAATAGATATCAATTTAGGCTGCATTTCGATTTGCGTGGGTATCACGATTCAAGCTGGGTTGTTGAACCTTTATATCTGTTGAAGAGTATATACACAACCTCGTACGTAAAATGATAGGAAATAAGAATAGCAATAACACCACGGCCAACCCGCGAACAATACAAGCACACCATTTTTTGCCCTTGTACATACCTCTTATTTTCGGTCAGAATTTGAATACAAAACTGGGGAATTAGGGTCAGGTCTAAGCCTTCATCCGTCTAAAAGGGTGAAACAAAGTATACATGAACATCATGACCAATATTTGTAGCCAACGAACCATGGAACCATAAGGACTCAGAGTATAGATTCCTGGAGATGAATCGGAGTCACCAACGGGCTTAATCGGTTTCCTCAAGGGAGGCCTTATATGCTTCAACATCCATCAAACCGTCCAGCTCAGCAGCATCGGTAATCTCAATCTTAACGAACCATCCATCTCCCTCAGGCGAGTCGTTGACGGTCTTTGGTTTCTCGCTTAGAGTGTTGTTGACCTCGATAATTTTTCCGCTGGCAGGAGACGAGACGTCGGAAGCAGACTTGACGGACTCGACAGCACCAAAGCTGTCACCGGCTGCCACCTCATCCTCCACCTCTGGAAGTTCAACGTAAACAACGTCTCCTAGGGCTTTGGCAGCATAACCGGTGATACCAATCGTAGCTATCACATACATTGTTAGCTATATCGGCTTCCGGTAATCAATTCCTCCGCAGGCATGAACAATAGATCATTCCAGTAGAAGGTGTAGTACTTCTCAAGTACTTTGGAATATAGAAAGGGGCTCAAAAATCAGGGTCGTAATTATACCGGTCTTGCCATCAGCGGCAACATCTATCCACTCATGCTGTTCGGTGTATTTCTTTGCTTGAACTATTGAACCAGTAACCGAAACAGTCAGCTCACGTTCTATAATTTTCCCATAGATGACTGTGGTTCAATTGAACCTCAGCTCAGTGCATAAATCATCCATCTAGCTTTCCAATTGTACGTACGGAATGAACTCTGGGAGAATGGCCGTCTGATGGTTGGCTGAGCGGCATAGCGAAGAGCGGAGGAAGCTCGGAATCGGGGAACGCTGAGGGCGCTTCGGAGAGGAGCAACAAATCGGACAGCGGTGGCAGCCATTGCGGACGGTTCTAACAATTAGACGGCTTCTTTCAACGGTCAGAACAGGATGCTAGACGGCGCAAAAGAAGGAGCAGTGTTGGAAGTTCGTTGTGTGGCGGGGAGAAGAAGTTGACGGGAAACAGTTCGGTGAAGCTTCGGGAAAAGGGAAGAATAGCGAGACCACGGCGTATTCAGATTACACGAATACACCGACCGATAACACGTGAAATGGCTCCGGGGTCGGCAATAAACGTCCCGTCATTGGTCAATTTGGTAATAATTGATACCGTAACGATACCGCATGAAAAAAGATATTTGCTTTGCTTTTCGACAGTGACAAAAGACATATTGATATTACATATTGATATCAACAATCGAGGCCACCGGGCAGAGACAATCGCGATGCTGTACGAACTAGTTGCAATTGTAAGTATACCCTATGAAGAAGCTATATTGAATGCTGGGACTGCTCGAATCTGCTTGCTAACTGGTCTCCTACAGGTCCGTCAGGGCAGTCTCCAAGAAGTTAAAGAGTAGGTGAACATCAGCTTCAGTCCACCTGATATACAATAGTTATAGATTATATTGCGTGGCAGGCCGTCTAACAATCTAATCCTAGTATTGCCCGTACCCTTGGCCTCCAAGTCATCCGTTCCGGCGGCGTTGTTCGCGGATATACCAACTGGGGTCCCTTCACTCTCCCACGACCTACCACGAAACATCAGGTGAAAAACACCGCAGGCCATCATTTCATCATGCGTTTCGATGCCTCTGCTCCCGTTCAAAAGGAAATGCGACGAACACTTGGTCTTGATCCACGAATGATACGATATTCTGTCGTAAAGCTGGGCTCTACATTGCGAGAAGTGAAAGATATTCCTGGCAGAATTGAGTGGAACAACACGAAGATACAGGAGGAGACATTTGGAAACGAATACAGACCCTCGCCATTGACCAGATGAACGGTGGACAAGGGTGGGATAAGGAGCAAATAATGGAAAGGCAGGTGACTGTCTTGGATCACATCTTTTTACAATGGTATTGATGGCGTTCTGTACACTACTTTTTTTCGCCTTGGAGTATGTAGAGCGGGAATATTTGCATGTATAATACTTGGATTTATGGCATACGGCTGGAATATGTGTATTGTTTGAGTGCCCGCCATACATACCCCAGCTTACGGATGGTGCTCCTATTTGAGATGCGCTACAAATAAGAAAAACCTTTTGAATGACATTAGATTTTGGGTTTGTATATACATAATGGAGAGGAATAGTAGGGTGGACCAAACACTTCGCAAGCCAGCTGGAAATAGGCCAGACCAGATATATATATCTGGTGACCCAAAGCCAATCCAAAATAACGCCGCCGAAGTCTTTGGTGTATTGGTATATCAAAACGTAAAGCGCAAAAGAAAATGGTCATGAAGGGAAGAGTACAACACAGTCACTTTGGAAGGTTACGGCACTTAAAATAGACGCCAGCTTCCCTTTGCACGCTCCTTCGTAGTAGACGCTTGCTGGGAATTGGATTTGCTGCGCCCTTCCAGTTGCCGCAGGCTTTCAATCTTCTGCAAAACTAGCTCAAGCATTTCCTTCTTCTGGATCACGTCCAAATGTCTTCTGATTCGCGGGTCTTCACGGGCGAATCGTTCTACCTCTGCCTCAGATAGGTGACGACCTAATCTTAGGTCAAGTTCCCGAGGAAAGTGGTAGTAGAATTCAGAGAGTAGCTCAACATTGAGGAAAAGAACGGCGGTGGAAGTAAGCTTGTCGGCAACGACATCCAGGAACACCTCGGGGCAGTAATGCCGGTTTTTCTTAGAAGAACATTGTTTAGAGCGAACGGCGAGAAGTCGCATCTTCAGAATGTCGGCTCTATCTCGTAGGAAGGTAGCATTACGAGCTAAATAAAGAAGTCAGTGTACGTGTAACACAGATAATTAAATCAGGACTTACTTACCCTGCTCAATCAATGATGCACTAAAGCCTCCGGCACCACCGGTATTATCGCCCTCAACGTTAACGTCTCCTTTTCGTGATTTATCCACGAATGACATAACATCCCTGAGTTTCCGCTTTCCAACTGTGTTTTCAACATTTTTCAGGGCATTTTCGCATGCCTTTAGCTCTTCCTTCAAACTTCTGGTCACATTTTCTCGACCCTTAGACCATTCCATATCATCAACCTCAATCTCAAATTTGTAAGGCTTGATGCAATTCTCCACCTGGTCACTCGTACTGAAGAATCGATCATTGAGTATGGTGGTAGAAGCCTCCTCGATGATTTTCCGTGCGTAGGGATGTGCGTTGAAAGTTGACGAGGCCACAAGAGAATCAATATGGCTCTGCAATGAATTTGCAACAATTGTCGTAGCGAGTCGGCCAATTCCTAACTTGGTAAGAGCCGATGAAGAAGCATCAAGTTTTCTCCTCCAATATAAGGAATCTGGGTTTGAGGTAGGTAGACTGCTTAAAGGATCAACCTCTGGTAGAGCTGGCGAGATGTCATCTATCGGCTTGTTCCAATACCTCTGAGCCAGGATATCTAAAACACGCTGGTCCAGCTGAGCCTTCAACAACTCCCGAACTTGTGGCCGCCCGAAACCCTCGCTAAACTCCTTAAAGGAACGCTTGAAGCTATCTAAGCTCTCGGCAAGATATGATTCAGCGCTTAGAGGCCTGTCATTGTATTGGACTTTGAACTCGTATGTAGCTTCTTCCAATTCTTGAGAAACGGCATCGCGAGTTCCGGCAAGGTTAGACGCCATGCTTTGTTCCAGAGTTTGCATAAGTTTCTTTCGGAGGACACTTGTACCCACAAGCAATTCGCTATCGGGGCCAAACACCTGTGGGTGTGCGCTAAAGTATGCATTCTCATTCTTCACTATCGCGTTTGAAATATTTCCACTTCCGCGGGAGAAGAGGCCAGCAGATTGTGGAATCCGACTGATAATACCGACATATCCCAGGCGTAATGGGTATTTCCTATCCGACAGAATGCTAGCGCCTCTTTCAGGGTCGACAAGATCCATCTTGGTGATGACTCCGATAGTTCTTTCGCCACGAGGGTCGACCCTCCGACTAGCTCTTAGAGCTGTGGAATTAGCCAGATCAACATCCGCAGCCGAAATCGCTAGTATAATGTTCGGAGCCTGGATATACTTGTCACAAAGGTCGGATATTTTTTGTTTCAATTCATGAGGCTGGCCACGGCCAGCAACCTGAATATAACCAGGAAGGTCGATGAGAGAAAGGTCAGGTACGTGAGGAGAGTATATCGAAAGTTGGATCGGCTCATCCATGACACAGTCCTTTTCTGGAACTGCAAGATTTAGATCAGTCAGGGTGCGCTGAATTTGGCTAAAATCTGTTATCTTTCCTAAGCCCAGAGCCGGAAATTCTCCATACTCCGCAGAAGCATCAGGGGTATTGACCAAAGTAAGCTCTATTGGACGACGGGTGACCATATTAGATCCCTTTGGTAAGAATTCATGGCCAACGATGGCCTCAAGCACTGAGCTCTTGCCTGATGACTGTGATCCAATTACCACTATTGACGGTAATGTCAGCGAGTTGGATTGGCCGACACGTTGCAGCATGTTTCGGATTTCGATCATTTTCCGGGTCAAGGTCATCATTTGTTCGTCCAAAGCCAAGCTAGCAGCGCTCCTATTTTCCTGATCCGAATCGAATCCCAAGCCTGAGCCAGCGGCAGCGCTAGCCATCGCAATTCCGGCATTGCTCTTCTTTGGGGACCCTCCCCCACCACTGCCGCCGTCGCCGGAAGATCCGCCAGCATATTCGTTCATTCGGAGAATTTTTTGCACCCATTCCGGTACTTCAATATTATCCCGCGTATTTTGGATACCCTGCTGCGTCTGTTCCGCAATATCTCGAAGGCTCTGAAGCGCGTCCAAAGCCACACCACCTGCAGTTTCACCGGCTGATTTTATCACATCGATTGCATAATTTCCGGCTTCTATATAATACATGCGGGAGATGGTTAGAAAATGTCAGGCAGAGATAAGAGCTAGCTACCCATATCAGATCACTTACGAGCTGCTTGATACTGAATATATGCAAGGCCTGCTATCATTGCACCTCCAAACATAGCAGGTATGCGAGCAAGCTTCAGAGCAAGCTTGGGCAGCACGCGCGCAAAGGAAATCGTCCTGACCGCCGGAACATTGTGAATGGCATTCGTTCCTAGAGGCCATGATCTCACACGTAGGTAGGCGTTGCCCTGGGGGTTGATAAGGCCCCCGGCTCTTGTGACGCCGAAGTATTGAAATTGGCGCGCAACCGTTCTGCGTGAGAGCAGCGCAGCGCTGCGGGAGAGTAGTCTCCCACTCATATCGTCCGTCTCATAAGGTAACCTGTAAGACACAACCAATCATTCGCGTGGCCAGCACCTCTGTCGCGGTGGTGTAATCGCACTGTTCTGGTCACTGTTCATCCCATCAAGTCCGTCTTTCATCGGTGACGCCAAAATGAACAATTCCAGGGATGGCCCTCGCCGCTTTTTCATGACTAACACATGACTAATACGTGTCAAAGTAGCATGTTTCACGTGATAATTTGTGCCTTGGCAGTGAGCCTGGAACCTTTAAGCTTCCGGCATCAACCTTCCCGTTTTCGGATCTGGCGACGACCTGAGAATCTTGCCTGTAGGTGATACTGCGACTCTGTTCTAACCATGGATCGAGAGCATCAAAGCGTGTAAAGAGACAAATCTCATATATCGCTGCACCACCTTTTGTTTGAACTTTCTCACGGAGGGTGCTTTTATCATGGACCGTTTTCGCCAACGCAACCCTTGACGATATGTGTTGGTGCTTTGTGTTTGGCCCAACCACAAACCAATACGGGGCTGAGCAATGAATATTTGAACACTTATCATTCCATCTTTCAGCTTATTTCAAAGGTCCTTGGGGGGGAGGACGTGCTAGACATGTCAGACCGATCTTCGACACTAGTGAAGTTTGTTCTTTGCGCCCAATTCTTTTTGTATTGAAAAGGGGCCTTGTGAGACTTGGAATTTGAACGAGTGGTTTAAATTCCGGACACTTTTCCACCATTCTCCTCTATTTATGACCGCCATTCGCGAGCCATATTCCACATAAGATCTTCCTTGCTCGCCTTATCTACCCTAGATCAACGGAGCACTTGCCAGGTGATTTAGCTATCAACAGCAACCAACTAAAATGAAGATCCAATTTCTCTTGACCTTCATGACCATTGGTCTCTCCGTGGCTCACAGAGGCAGGGACATGAAACGGGCCCCAGAATGTGTAAGCACTTCGACCTGGTGATGGCGATGTTTACCCAGTGCTAACTCAAACTTGATATGTTTCGAATATACAGTCAGTGATCTGTACCGCTGACTTCAAACCCGTGTGTGGTATGGGCAGCGATGGGGCCCTCAAGACCTTTTCCAATGCATGCCAACTGAAGGCTGCAGCCTGCGAAAACTCCGCCAACGCTTTTACCATGCTTCGTGAAGGGTCATGCTAGCGTGGCTACGGAGTAGACACTTTCGTTAGAAGTGTACTGGAGAGGGGCGCAGGCTTTGGCCACCAGATATTCCATTTATCATAGGTGAGTTACGCAGGGTTCATGATTCTAACTGGTTAATCGGTGTGGCTAAAGAGCATGACTTGCCATATGAGATTTAGATCCGTGGCCGTTACACCAGCGTTGTGACGGGAAAGGGAAATGAATATTAGAGGCCAGGCTTTTTATCCCCAATGCTTCTTCATTAGCCACCATGCTACTTATCAATGCATATTCTTTCCTTTAATCATCTACTCCCATACTCCTTGCCCGAAGTAGCTATGTATAGGACATGACTCGAAGTGGCAGGAGAGCCGTGCTGTTTTATTGTTAGTAATCCATGACTCAGCTCACCAAAGCTAAAGAGCGACTTAGCTTCTTACACGTGATCCTATCTGCTTATTACGACATCTTCTTATCTTTGACGAGCAAATAGAAAGCCGAAACGTCAAAGATGAAACTGTTTTGAGCTGACTCTCAGCTACATTTCTCGATATATAATACACAGACCTCGCTCGTTTCTGGTCGACCTCTCTAGAGACTGATTGCTCATAGACCAAGTGCTAGTTGCTGTGTCTACTAGCTCGCTCGCAAGCTAATTGTCTACATCGAGACTTGTTACCCCTGCTTCGATTAACTCGCATCCACTGCGGAGACCCAGCTCGAGAACGAAGCTCTAATCCCTCTTCTCATTACTCTGTACTACATTTTCGGCCTTGCCTGTAATTATCCTGGTGATTGATGATATTGTTATAGAAAATGTGTCGATTCTTGGTATGACTCCCAGTTTGCTAAGAACTCCGCCGAAGAAAAGCGGTCAGGTTCCAATTAATGCTGACTGTGACTGGAATTGCTAGGTCTATAAGGGGAGGAATGATATCCTACTAAGCAAGTTGATAACCGAACCCAGTCACTCTATTCTAACCCAATCTTATGATTGTCGGTTGAGATTGGTGAGCTTGATCCTCCTACGACTACCAGCTTGGTCGGAGATGCCAGCAACTGCAAGAAAGACCATCCTGTATATCTAACAAGGGACCTCTTAGGATACACGACGACCGGTAAATGGCGATGGATTCGGCGTTGGATTCTATACTTCCCCGGAGCTCGGACCGGAACCCTGCATTTTCACTTCGACCCTTCCCGCCTGGAATTGCGACAACCTTGAACGAATTGCATCGAAAACATGCTCATCACTTGTGTTTGCACATGTGCGAGCAACAACTGAGGGATCTCTAGCGGAGAACAATTGTCATCCATTTCAGCACAATACTCTTATGTGGATGCACAACGGAAACCTTGGAGGATGGTACCATATAAAACGACCACTTGGCGATTCACTGGCGAACAAATGGTATCTGGGCGTCAAGGGAGGAACCGACAGTGAATGGGCATTTGCTCTTTTCTTGGATCTGATGGAAAAGGAAGGAGTTGATCCTAGCTCAGCGCCAGAGGGAGGATTTGGCCCTGAACTGTTGAGAGGAGTGATGACCAAAACGATCCGGAAAATCAACGAATTTATCGCTGCCATCCCTAAGGAATATGCCATGACCGATCTCGAGGTGAGAAGTCTCCTCAACTTTGCGGTAACGGATGGACATTCTGTTATTTGCACCCGGTATGTGAGCAGCAAAACAGACGAGGCTGCCAGCTTGTACTTTTCATCAGGCACCAAATGGAAAGAAGGCAAGGTCAAAGGTGATTTTAAGATGGAAAGGCACGACAAGGGAGCCGACATTGTCCTGGTAGCCAGTGAACCGCTCACATTTGAAAGGCGTAAGTCAATACCCATTTGTGTATATGATATGGCAAGACCAATACTAACTAGGTTGAACCATAGATAATTGGGTCACTGTTCCCACAAACTCTATTCTCACTATCCACAAACAAAATGTCCTCATCCACCCCATCATAGACGAATTCTATGACGGAGACCCAAATCATGACAGGTCGTCTGGGTTCGCTGTCTCAAAGGGTTTGGTTAGCAAAGCTCCTGGAACCACCGTTGCACCTGAAGGTGAAGGTGTTCCCAGAGTCAATGGAGCGGCAAATACTATCATAACTGCTTGTGGAGCTAGACGAGAGATAGACAGTCCAAGCCTGGAAATGCACCGGAATGCCGGTGGGGTCGCCCTTCCATCTTAGTCCGGGGACCATATTTTGTCGATTGAGGTATGATATTACTCTAGTTTAGCTTGGATACCCATGTTGTTCTCATTTTATGGCGACTGTTGAAGATCTGATTTCTTTTTATTGGTTTTTTTTTATATTGTCATTTCCCTTCTCCGGCAACTCCTAGGGTATATAGATTGATATAAAGTCAATTCGTGGACGTCATATCCAGTTATCCACATTTAACAACCAATGCAGCCAACAGTCCATGTCCCAAATACCGTTAGAAAATGCTCATCAGTGAAAAAGAAAGGATAAGATGATCATAGCATGAGTATACTCCCAGGAAGGGTATATAGACATGCTGTAGTGCGGACAGTTCGTGCTCACGTATCGTCCCCCGAAATATTTGCGTGTCGGAAATATTTCATGCCCACCCAAGCAACTATTACCCAAACCCAGGCCATAACAGCTGTCAGAACGATCAGGGCAGGATAATACCCTACGATCGGAAGAGTGGCATCATCCTCCAGCTCAGGTGGTGCATAAGGAGTCTCTCCAACATCCCACGCCCAACTCCAGACTCCAAGACAGCTGCCCATGCCGACAACAAACACCAACCAGGTAACTATCAGTATAATCCACCCCCACCACTCGGTCTCAGAGTAGTCCCAGATCTCTGACGGGCTGGTGATTTCGGCAGTGTTCGAAGTTGCTAGCGGGGATCGAATACGCTGAGAAGCTGAGCGTGAGATCTGCGCCATGGAGCCCGGATGTTTGAAGAACGAGTCAGAACTAGAGGATGCAGCTGTTTGTAGAGCCGATAATGGCATATGCAGAGGAGGGATTATGGGAGACGTGGATATACTGCTGTTGCTAGTTTTGGTTGACAGGCGAGAGAAGTTTGAGGTATTCAGTCGTGGTAGAGAGAGTCCGTCCTCATCATCTGTTGTAGCATCATCTTGGACGGAGTTTGCTGCGCTGGACTGTCCTTCTTGCGTGGTACTTGAGAAAGAACCATTGTTTATCAGGGAGCGTCGCAATTGCTGTTCCTGCTGCTGCCGGTTTTGGTTCCAGGGAGAGGGAGATGCAGAAGGGGAATCGTCATGATCCACGGCAAGCGTATTCGAATGACTATAGCTTCGTCGAGGAGTAGACTCGCCGTCCTCGAATGACGCTGAGAGCCGCCGCTGGAGCTGAGATAACTGCTGATTACCCTGTGAGCCAACAGAGCCAACTTTACGATCAATATCTCCATCATTTCCAACCTCCTTTTTCCCTCTACTCTTACCCTCCTCCATGTCTGCCGTGCCGTCATACTGGTCAAGAAATATCCCCGTTGCTCGCTTCAGCGTTGTCCCACCACTAGCAAACCTCTCCTTGCCTTCCATCCGCAATATACCTGTCCCAAGCAAAGCCGTCTTCCTCAACGAACCTTTCCTTCTCCGTGTCTTTCTCCTTTGCTGGTTCAGAACGCTAGCCATAGCCCTATCCGGTACCTTTAACCGCTGCACTCCAGCCTGCTGGCCCGTCGTCCGCATGCTGTCGCTGCCACCACCGCTCTCATCTCCGTCGGCTTCCTCTTCGCCTTCGGCCTTGCCATGTGTGGTTTTCGAGGTGTCGGGAGGATTCATGCGCGAGAAAGTGAACCGGGACAGGAATGAGCTCGACAGCCCTGTGCTACCGGTGCTGTTTCTCTTGTGATATGGCGGGTTGGCTGGCGCAAAGCTTCCCCCTAGTCGTGGCCCGGTGGCACCGTCGAGTCGCGTCTCTGCGTTCCCATCTCCCATGAACGGGAGTAAGCGCGGGGGCAACACGTCTATGAAGGTAATAAGCAAGCTGTTGTTAAAACGTAGGTTATTGGGAGAGCCGCAGAGCAGAGTGCGCGTCTTCCGCTTCCTGAGGCGAAATCTGTCTTCACTTTTAGCGACGACTTTTAGTTTGATGAAATTGAGTTTGGTGGGGAGCACAATGGCAAGGCTTGGCATGGTTGCTTATTTTTTATTTTATTTTTTAATTTATATCTTGATGGTTATAGAGAGACGCATCTACAGCTTGGAAGACGGGGTACTTACACAGTTTGTATGGCAGCCGACAGGAGCTGAAAGATAGATTGGGGCTGCTTCGTCTTGTTGCAGTCAGTTTAGTATATACATAATCCATAGCCCAAAGCGAAGGGAGGTGCTAACGCCAGCACTACCGGCCTGTATTTCTGGAACCCAACCGTACGGGGTACATCATAGGTATAAGTAAATAGTTAACCCAAAGGAAACAATGCTTCAAAGATCTCTGCTTGCTGGGAGGAATGCATATTTTTATCATACCATATGAAAGTCATCAAGCCATCGCGACCGTTAAGAGTCCGAGGAAAAGGGACAACGAAGGAAAAAGGGGGTATCAAAAGTAAAACCGACGACCGCTAATGAAAGAGACTCGCTTTTGCTTCACATCCTCACCTGATAGAGTAGAAATAGATAGATAAATAGATAAGAGCGGGTAGAAGATAGATAAGAATCCCATGTATCCATATGGCTGTATGGGTCGAGGGATAAAGGAACGAGCAGAAAACCCCAAGGAATCAAGTCAATTCAAACTGTGGTGAATAGATATAAGAAGACAAGTTGAAGTTAAGAAGTAAAGGCTAAGAAAAGCACAGGATAGAAGAAGTAGAAGAAGTGAAAAAAATGATGGAACAACAAGATAGATAGACCTGAGAATCATTATCAGGCTGTTTGACCGGAAGAAAAACAACAGGGTAAGGAAGAGGCCAAGGGGGTTGAAACGCTTTTTTTTTCAGTTCAGCTTCAGACATCAAACGCTGTTGGTTAGGACTGTTCGACGGCAGGAGAGGAGATTTGATACGGTGAAAAAGACAGAAGGTGAAAGAGAAAAAGAGGCATCAGGAGGGAAGAGGTCTCAGTCATCATAAAGGAAAGACAGATGAAGTTCAGGGCTAACAAAATGAGAGCGCTAAGAAATAAGGCCACAAAAGGTTGGGGAGGTAGATGGAAGAGAAAAAAGAGCATAAGGTAAAAGGAAGCCAAATTGGGATATTGGGGAAATGGGTATTCGTTGATTAGTTAGTAGCTTGGGATCAAGGGTTTCATTTCAGGAGACACACAGACAGGGAGATGGAACACGGGGGAAAGCCAAATGCAGGCATAGAGAGATGGAAGACGTGAAGTGAGTATGGAATGAAAAAAAAACCCAGCAAGAAATAAAAAAACCTTACTTTGAGCATGAATACCGATGGCAATTTGGGAGGGATCGAAGGTAGATGCAAAGGAGAAAATTGACCAAAAGAGAGGTGAAAAAAAATAGATAAGGAAGAAAAGGGCATTGGGTAGATAGAGTAGACAATAGGCCAAAAGTTGAAACAGGAGAATCCAAGTCAGGCAGTCAGGAATGGAAAGAAAGGTTTTAGAAGAAAAATAAAAGAAGGTGAGGAAAAAGAGAAGAAAACCAATTGAAAGAAAGAATAACAGAGCTGCCCGATAACCAAACCAAGAAGTTACGCTCAAGAATGATGATAATCGTAATAATGATCAGAAATCGGATGCAGGATGGGTCGGATGTGGGTGGTGTGCAATGCAAGGAGGCATCGGCAGGGTACAGGGGTCGGTAGAGGGTAGAGGGACAGCAGTAGGAGCAACAACAACTTCAGCTTAAGTCTGATAACCACCGAAACCGTTACCAAAGTTTCCACCAGCACCACCAACACCGACGCCGTTGTTAGGTTGTTGAGCCCAGCCGGCAGAAGGAGGGTTGGACTGACCACGGCCGTAGCCAGCAGAGGCGGCGCCAGGCCCACCAGGGCCTCCAGGGCCTCCTGGACCTCCCTGCACAGGAACTTGGACTTGAGGGTAGCCTTGGGCTGGAGGCATTCCACCTGTGTGACAAGTTAGCGCGAGGGTTGAGTTGTACAAGAGGCAACTAGCAGCGGCCACAAAGGGAGCCAGGGTTAGGGGTGGCAATTTCTAGGGTAGTAAGTTTACCTTGAGGCGTCATTGGGCCGCCCGGGCCGCCGTACTGAGGAAAGTACGGCGAAGAACCAGAGTTGAAGGCCGGGTTTCCACTCTGTTGAGGCGAATATGCGTCAAATTGGCCGGTTGGCGGACGGTCCTTACCCCACTGAAGACGGGAGACCCACAAGGTTAGTACCGCGGGATGAAAGTTAAAGAAGAGGAGGAAGCAAGGAGAGATAAGAAAAACACTTGGGAGTCAACTTACGCTGCACTTGAGCGGACGGCCATTGACGTTGTAGCCGTTGAGCTGGCAGATGGCCATGGCAGCGTTCTCGTGGGTGTCCATCTTCACGAATGCGAAGCCACGGTCGGCCTGGAAGCGGGTCTCGACGACGTAGCCGAAGTTCTGGAACAACGGGATGAGGTCGTTCTGGGTGGTGTAGGGAGTGAGGTTCCCGACGTAGCAGGTGGTCTGCCACTGGGGAGTCTGCTGGACGACCATGTCGTAGCTCTGGACGCCATGGGTAGGGAAATGGTGGTGACCAAATGGAGTAGTGGGCGTCATGCCCATAGCAGCCATGGCCTGTTGCTGGGAGATGGAAGGTTGGCCCTTTTGGTTGGCCCAGTTGCAGCGGATGGCACGAGAACCAAGCCACTCTCCGTCCATGGAGCTGAGGGCCTTTTCAGCATCAGCTCTTTCACGGAAGGCGACAAATCCGTAGCCACGAGACCGGCCAGTCTTCATATCCCACATTACACGAGCTTCGGAGACTGAGCCACAGGCAGAGAAGGCTTGGAGAAGAACCTCGTCATTGACTTCATTGCTGAGGTCACCGACAAAGATGTGGAAATGGCTAGAAGTGTCCTCTTTGGAAGCCGTGTTGGACTGATAAGCCCAATTAACGCGGATTTCCTATAACCGACATTTAGCACCAACACGGGTCAAACGACAACTAGAGAAGTAGGTCAACACATACTGACTGGTGAACGCGGCGGCCATTAAGGGTCTGCATAGCACGCTCTGCCGCACCAGGGTCATCATATTCTATGAAGCCATAGTTCAAGCCTTTGCTCTGGAACTGGGCGGATGCCTGGTTAGTGGGAAAGTGAATTAGAAAGATGGAAAAAAAGTTTATAAAGCAGTAAACAAACAATGACTGAAAATGTAGAAAGACAGAGAAGGTGATGAGAGGAAGGTACACATATAAGATATAACCCAAAAGGCAGGGTTACAGATATAAAGTGTAGAAGTAGAGTAGTGAAAAAAGTTGTTGACTCACATTCTTGTCCGGGATGATCTTAACGCTCTGCACATGGCCGGTGGTCTCAAAGATCTGTTTCAAGATGTCTTCTGTGACACGAGGATCAAGGCCGCCAACGTAAAGAGCTCGCTTGTTGGGCTCTGGAGCAGAACGACGCACATAACCGCCGGCCGCGGTAGGCGACATCATGTTCCCTGACATGGGCGAGGTGATTGCCGTCGGAATCGGGTTGGTGTTTTGCGGGATGACAACCGGCGGCAGCGGTGGCGGTGGCATGTGTGACGGGTTTGTCTGTCCATTTCCCTGGGAGTTGTCAAACTGCTGTTGCTGTTGCTGCTGGCCTGGAGCGCCTGCAGCCGACTGATGGGGAGGGGGAGGGAGCGAGGTCGAAGTCGCTGGTGGGGCGTTGTCAGCCATTGCAAGAACGAAACGACGAAGCTAGACGAAGTTGGCGAGATCGGAAGGAGCCGCTGGACGAGTGTGCCGGGCTGGGAGACTACGAGATGGGTCGACGAGGTTTGTATGTGTAAATTTTGTGGTGTTTAGGTTGGCCGGTTGGAGGTGGTGGTGTGTGGTTTTTGTGTTTGGTGTGTGTGGGAAAAGGAAGGCTGTTGAAGATGAGGCTGGAGCTAGCTAGCTACTCTCTCTGCGTTTTCTGAGGCCGAGAGGGAGAGACGAGAGGTCTCAAGGGAAAAGAGTGAGAAGACGGAAGAAGAAGAAGAAGAGACAAGAAGAAAAAACCCCTGTTACTCTGGCAAGACCGTCAGGAGCATCGAACGGCCACACTGGGGAGGAGAAGAAGAAAGATATCTTAGTTATTTGACCTTCACGCAGAGCAGAAGAGAGGGAAAAAAAAGAAGGCAGATAATACGCACAAAACGATGGTCTTTCTGGGGTCCTTTTTTTTTCTTTTTTGCTTCCCTGTCTGCTTTTTCTTTTCTTTTCTGTTTAAATTGAACTGATCTAGCTGCGGGCGGGAGGAGAGATGGACGGGACGAGTGGAAAAAATAGACAGACAAGAAGAGCCGGTTCAATGGCAGCGACTTGGGCCTGCTAGAAGACGAACCGAAGAGATAGAGAGATAAAGAGAGAGCTCAGAGAGAGCAAAGAGAAGAAGAGTAAGAGAGTAAGAGAGAGAGAGTCAAGAGAGATAGCAGGATAGAGAGAAAAGAAGTAGGAGACGAAGCTACAGAAGGACAACACGCAGCTAAGAAACACGGAAACACGGAGGAAGAAGGAGACAAGGCGGGCAAAGAAAAAGCAAGGAGAAGAGAGAGGAAGAGAGGAGAAGGAGATGAAGATGCAGAGAGCGCTTCGTGGTGAAGAAGAAAGAGGAAGAGGAAGAGGAAGAGGAAGAGGAAGAAGAAGAAGTTGAAGTTGAAGTTGACGGAGAAGAAATAAAAGGCGGCCTCTGCGTTGTTCGGACGGTTGACTAAGCAGAAGCGCCAACACTCGTTCTTTTGGGCTTTTGCGGAGTTGGAAGTAGCTGACAGTCAGTACGAAGCAGCGGTTTCTCTGGCTGCCACTGTTGGTTACCATTGTGAGCTGCCACTTCTTCGGCTTTACACTGCTTCGGCCTCTGCTGCCTCCGTCCTGTGTCTGCTTCTACTCTGCTGACTGGCAAAAGTGGTGAGAGTAAGAGGAAATGGACGAGAGTGACCGGCGACTGAGATGGTCATGTGACACACTTTTTCTCGTCCATGACGAAGTCGACAAAGCGATAACGGTTGACTTCGTCGATGCCATCTCACCCTGTGATGACTTCTCGGTGGCCGCAGCTCGAAGGATACCTAGGTAACCCCTCTGTGGCAGCGTCGTTGCGGTGATATTCGCCTATCGACATCCCTCCCGAACTAGCTCTCCCCCACCAGCACCAGCAAAACCCGGGAGCTCCATCCCAGCACTAGGTTATTAAAGCTTCTCGCCCTCTAGTCCCGTCCGGCGCAAGGAACACGTCCAAAGCACTCCGATAGCCGTCGCCCAGCAGACACAGGCAATCTTGGGAAGGGCAGACAAGCTCGCAGAAGACACGGCGTCGGCGCTTGGTGGTCCAAGTCTCGAGATTATGGCTCGCAGGCAGTCCTGTGAGGATGCCCTAGGCGAGCTGACGGCCATGGCCAACAAGACGGTACGCTCCATGACACAGCATCCATGCACATATACACACGGAAGAGAGAAATACAGAGCTAACTCCGTCTAGATGGTGGCTACAGGACGTTGGTTCCGTAATCCAGAGCGGTACCCGAACGAGCTGAAGCGACATATCCCACCGGCACACGAACAGTTCCAGCGAGCTCTTGACCGGCTGCAACAGGAAATCGTACCGTTCTCCCAACCCATGCTTCCATCTTCAAAAGAAAATACATTCTAATACTCCGTTTTGGTTAGTTCCTTGCCAAAGCTCTGCTGGAGATAGATTATCAGGCGGTGTGTGAGAAAAAAGCAGAGTTGAACAGAGCTCAACGAGGAGAAGCTGCCGCTCCGGTAGCACTACCACCAGCACTCCCAGATACATCCGAAGCTACAGCTACAGCACCGCTGTCGTCAACAGCTCCACCAGCAGCCCAATTAGTGACAGCACCAGCCGTCAATGGGCCTCTGCAGTCAACCGCCCAGTCCGCGCCAACTCCGGCTCTGGCTCCCACCACACAACCAGCAGACACACAGGCACAGGCACAGGCAACGGCACCAGCACAGCCTGCAGCACTACCTACCATAACATCTACGATTCCCACAACATCCTCGCCATCTCTCGCTACAGCTCTGGTGCAGTCAGCATCATCAACAACAACCACACAGCCAGCCCAACCTCCTACTGTTGCAACCGTAGGTATACCGGACACTACCATCTCCGGTACACCAATCAATGTACAAGCTATCACGGCCGAACCGATGGTACATACTCAGAGTGGCATCAGCCATGCCTCAGGCTCGATAGGCTCGCTTCTCCCAGGCTTGGAAACATATGCCAATGCCGGTGATGAGGCTATCATGGATCTCTTACCGTCAACCGGACAGCCCAATGGCCAGGTTAACGGTCAGACTAGTGTTCCACAGACAAGCCAGAGCAATGTACAGAACCAGAATAATACCACGGCAGAGAATCCACGCCGCGATGTAGTGATGGACGACGTGCCTGAGTCGAATTTCGACGACCTTTTTGTGGGGTCTGGGGACTTTGGCGGCGACGCTGATGACTTGATGATGAATACAGCCGAGACAACGGATCTAGACGATTCGTGGTTTCAATGAACATTTGCTTGCTTGAACAATCTTCTGGTTGACGTGATATCATATGGAGCCGATGTGGCGGCAGTTCTCCATATTGCATATACATCCAGTCTTCCACCATATAACTATTTATAAAACCATATAAAAATAAAATAAGAGGAACCAATTAATCAATATTCCAACTTCCTTCAATATTCCGCCGTCCTATTAATACTTAGCAGATATATATAGATCCTACATCCTACAGCCAACAGCCAACATGCCCCGGTTCTATACTGGCCAGAACATCGTCTACCGCCCAGTCGGAGGTAAGCAAGGCCAAGCAGGCTGAGATGATGCCCAAGCCTGCATATCCAACCAACTCATTCCCGAATCCCGAATCTGAATCCGAATCCGAATCCTGCTAACAACTGCTCCGTCACACCATTCTCATCCATCCACAGGCCGCGACTCACGCACCTCCGACACCATTGGTACTATCACCAACGTCCTCACCCACGACGGCCGCCAGGCAGGTCGAAACGTCACGGCAAGCGATGACGAGCCACGCTATGAGGTGCGTAAGCAAGCCCATCCATTCTGCAGCCCTCGACTGTCTTTCATTCGTAGCCTCCCGTTCCCCTCTGGTCCTTGTCCTTGCTCCCTTGTCAGGGTTGTGACAGACATGACAACCCCGAGAGACCCGGCCAGGAACAGGGATGCAGCATGTTTAACGTTGACCCCTTCCTCTGATGCTTCTTTCGTCGTTTTCGTCTTTTTTTCCCACCATCTCTTGCTCCTTAATTGTGCAGATATATATAAACGATATATATGATTTGCAAAAAGTGATGGATGCCTGATAATGCTTACTTTTTCTACCTGACTCACAGGTCGAGAACCAGAACACGGGCAAATTGACGAGTATCAAGGAGGAGAATGTCCTGCAGCCCTTGTAATTCTGGGTAAATCATCTTGAGAAACAGAAAAGTTGTCTGCTTTCACTTTTGTTATTGTATTCAGCTCAGCAAATTGACAATATAAGCTGATCCCATATGGATTTTGAAGGACGAGGCTGGATGTTGCCTGATCGGGAATATCACGGGACCTTTTCGAAATCGCAAGAATGAAACAACTTGAGGTTTTGGTAGATTTTTAATTCATATAAAGGACGAACCCACTGCTTCTCGCTATCCTGCATCCCGCAACGAACTGCCAGGCAGATGTACGGAGTAATCTGGGGAGCGACGGTGCAGGTCCGGAGAAATGGACGATGAAACCGCGGAAACGCTTCAGTCAGACCCTGTCATGCAAAATGATCAAAAAATGCCGGCATTCAAACTCCAGCCAGTCAAGTCCATGCCGTCTCTTCCTGTCCCTTTCCTTCTGACTGGCAGCTAACATGAGACCATGAGGCCTTGCAGCTCGAGCAGAACTCTGTACGCCCTTTACGCACTTGCATTATCCGCAAAATGGCGGAGGAGTCATGTCTCGCTTCGCTGGCCAAATTGAAAGGACTTTCCAGGCAACCAGAGCTTCCTTGCTGGTGTCTCCACAGCCACCAGGCAGAAGAAGGTAAAAAAAATTAGGGACCCAGGAAGACGGCTGCCCGGCTGCACGATGACGCTGGCTCGAGCCCCCTTCGCATGTGTGGCTCTTGTCCTGAGTCTTGTTAGCGGTACATCAATTGGCTCGGATCCTTGTCAAGGCCGATTGTTTAATTTTTGCTCCATCGTTAATATTTCACAGGCAAAGACAGCTATATAAAGGAAAGGTGCTTTCATCGCCTTTTTCGGTATGAACGCTGCATGTCTTTGTTTCAACTAGTTTACTACTTGATCTAGATTCCACCGTCTCTGCAGGATACGGCCAACAGCTCCCTGTTCCACGGTTGCGTCTAGAGAATAAACGGTTCATCGCCGTCTAGGTTCCACCGGTTTGTCACCTCTCCCTGTCTTTCTGACATTCTCCGTAGAAAGGCCGAATTCAAGGACAAGCTTTGTGTCTTGTGACAGCGCTTGGTGGCGGTACAGCTAACACAATTCCTTTATATAGAGCCCAAACAACGCCTCCCCACCCTTGCTACCCTCGTCATCTTCTTCTGCATAGAGTCGCATCCTTTTCTCTCATTGCTGTACATAGCTCTTGGAGTTTGCTTTCGGCGTACTTGTTGGTCTACGGGAAGAAGTGCGGCTTGTTTGTTCTCGTTCGGCGCAACCCAGTGTATATCTATCAATTGGGCTTGACAAACCGTGGTAACTCCGAGACTTCCGCCATCACACCAATGTATAAGCTACCCCTGCGGCGAACATTATAAACAACGATAACAACAGCAACCAACACAACAAACACAGCAAGCCGTCAAACTGGCGTCCTACCTACACTATGGAAAGCGATTCGTTCGCCGTTCCCTAATCATGAAAGAGGGCTCAAGGGATACAAGTCCTAGCCGGTGCTCGTCTACCAGTAGCAGGTCACTGGGGGATCACAGCCTGTCTACTCGCACCACCAACAACGCCATCGTGGGCTCCTCAGAGGTCGAGCGCACCTTCCAGGAGCATACTAAACAGCTCGCAGATACCCCCCGAAGAGAGACCTTCTCGCGTTCGTCCTCCTTGAAGTCGTCGGAAAGCAACGCCGTCCCGGTGCCGAACTCTAACCTTCCTTCGTTCCCTCATGAGCGCATAGTGGCGTCAGGAAATGGCATTGTTGTTTTAATCGGGCTTGCGGAGCCGGTTCTCTACCTCGAAAGGGTCGATAAAAGGGTCTCTTCGGACAAGAAGCGCGTCCTTGCTGGCTCGTTACATCTCAAAATCACAAAGCCGACCAAAATCAAGAGAATAAACCTCGGCTTCAAAGGCACAGCCAGGACATTATGGCCCGAAGGTTAGTAGCACGAATGTGTACCAAAGCAAGCGTAAACATAAAGGGTTTGTAACTAAAGGGTGAATCTAGGTATTCCCGGCAACAGGAAAAAGACAAGAGATACGGAGACCATCCTTAGTCTCAATTGGGCTTTCTTCGATGCCCATTCTCGCACCGGTAGGAAGAGTTATGGCGCAAATCATATCAAATTCACTGGCTCGAAAGAGAAAGGGTCCGAAAATAACCTTGTTGTCGACATATCTGGTTTGTTGGAATCATCCTCATCGCTACCAAAGGAGCTCAAAAGACTTTCGCTACATCACTCGCGGTCAAATAGCTTTGGAAAGGGTGATTCACATTTGATATCAGATTTTGTGGGCCAGAAAGGGCACAAGACGTTCCCACCTGGCGAATACATGTACAACTTTGAGATACCAATGGAGCATCGGTACCCAGAAACTGTCAAGTGGGATCACGCATCCGTAAAATATGAGCTCGAGGCTGTGATTGAACGCGCTGGCGCCTTTCGTCCTAATCTCGTTGGCATCAAGGAAATACCCCTCATCCGCACCCCAAGCGACGACTGCCTGGAGCACATCGAACCCATTGCAATCAGCCGAACATGGGATAAAAAGCTACACTATGATGTCGTCATAACAGGGAAGTCATTTCCCCTGGGTTCCAAGGTACCAGTAGCTATTAAGTTTACGCCATTTGCCAAGGTTGGCTGCCACCGTATCAGTGTTTTTATAACGGAGAAAGTTCAGTTGTGGACTCACGATAGAAGCGTTCATCGTGTGGCTAGTGATAAAATGCTGTTACTGTTCGAGAAGAGAGCTGGTATGCCCAGCAAAAGTATATATTCGGGTAGCACGATGCGTCTCTCTGGAGGAAGCGAGGAGATTGCATCCAACGGCGAAGATCTAGCAAATGGTGCGCATAATTTCTTAGGAGATATCCCATCCGATGGCTTCAGCCCTGGAACAACGGAGATAGAGTGCGAAGTACAGCTGCCGAGCTGTCCCGCTATGAAAAAAATGACGGACCCGTCAATGAAGCTTCACTGTGATGTGCAATATTCGAGCATTGAAATATCTCATTCTGTCAAGGTAAGTTGACACATCTATTACATCCCCATAAGCAACTGCTAATCATCGACGTAAATCACAGATTGTATTCCGTCTGTCAAAATGGGATAATGGGTCACCTCAGAGAAAACGCCAGTTCGACATCTCTATTGACTCTCCGCTCTGTATCACGTCCTGCAAGGCAAATGCATCAAATATCTATGTGCCTTCCTACAACTCACCATCGTCCTACTATACCGACGAATATGAATGTGGTTGCCCGGATGCTGTGGCATTGTCACACGACATAAACCTAAACCCAACGCTATCCTTACCGCCCTCCTTTATAGACCAAGCCGTGGCATCTCCTACCCGCTCTACAGTGTCAAGCTGTCATTCTCAAAGTGATGAGCACAATGATGAACATAACCACTACCATGATCCACCAACCCGGCCTGTCCATTTTTTGCGAGCTCCATCGTTTAACCCTCCCCCTTTTGAGTCTCTTCCGCCTCCGCCTCCTCCTATCCTTAGCCCACCACCAGATTATTCAACTATCTGTTCTAGTGGGACAGGAAACAATGAGATTGTTGACTATTTCACTCTTGCGCATGCGCGAGAGGGACAATACGATGATAATGTGCGAGGTAGCGGGCGGGTTGATATACCACTGACTCCTGGTGGAAGAGTCCATCGCAGTATGGACATTCCTAGGGAATGCTTGGCTAATGTTCCACCGTTGCCAGTGCGGAATGCATAAATTTTCCTTGCATCTCTTTATGTGTATATCCCATATATTAATGACTGTTATGAGCGGTGCAGGTGCATTCTTCTATATTTTATGCCAGGTGCTACTGTTGGCTTTTTGATTTTCATTTTCATTTTATTGCTTAAGGCCTAGGAGCTCCAGTAAATACGTTGAACGAGAGAAATCAATATCATGATAAGAGAGCTTGAAATCCTCGAAGGACCCGCTCCCGATGAGATTCACTTAGTTTCCCCGTAGCATATGCAGTAGCCACTTCATAGGTATAGAAGGTATCGTCATCATCGTCGTCTTTAGCTGTCTTCGCCTTAGCTTCCTCAAAAACTCTCTCAACGATAGAGTGAAAGGAAACAGGGTTGTCAGCAGCAATAGCTAAATTTTCCAATAACAGTGATCTAGACGTTATTTGCTTGGCCGGTTTATCTTGCAAAACATTCTTCATGATCCCTTGATATATTTCTCGGTAGTGGTTGAGTTCGGTAGGCGAGTTTTCATAATTATTAGGGCTATCTGGCCCCGGTGTTGCGTTTTCATCGTATGCGTACTTCATCGGGTCCCAGTCCCGGGTTAACCAGCTTGGGTATCGTTCATTCCCCACGCATCTAGGCACGGTAACCACGCCATCCCAGTCAATCAACCCACGTAGCCTTCCATCCTCAGAGACTATGATATTTTGTATATCAAAATCAGGATGAGACAGGACAAATCCTTTTTCTTGTTGTTGAGCATCGGTATCGGCAAGGGCCAAGTCAATGAACAACTGTAGCAATTTGTAGAGCCCTAGGCTATATTCGTCTTCGTCCGCGGCGGGTTTTCGTTTCTCAAGCATATATGTGAAATATGATTTTGAGCAAGTAAAAGGACCGGCGGTTACGAAGATATTAGCACCATCGTATTCGTCATTTGTGCGAAGAGCGTCAAGCATTGCTCCTATATGTAACTTTCTAAACGACCTGACATGTGACGGCTCGCCATCCTGGTCAAAATGGATCGCACCACCTTGAGAGAATACATATTTGTTTAGTTGTGTCATGGCTTGTGCAATATCGCGAAGGGTTTGGAGCCGGTGTCGCTCGAGATCATCCGGGGTAAGACTTTGGTTGAACCAAACTTCGTATAAAGGGAGCCCAGCGACATATTCCATAAGGATAAATGGACAGGAAAGTTTATTATCACAGGAGTCCTCGAAGTGATAAACTTCTGGAACGGGAACTGTCGTCTCTCGCTTGAGTAAACGCATTGTTAACGCTTCCGACCTTAGTGAAAGGGCAGACATTTCATCGAACGAATTGGGGTAGCCATTGGCTGGGACTTTGAGAAGCCAGCTAACTCCATCGTTAAACTCGAGCTGAAAGAGTATGTGATGAGACCCGAAGAGTGATTGAGGGAGAATGCGACAGTCGTAGGTAGAGGTGAGTGCATCATCCCTCTCCTTGCGTATACCGATTGCAAGTTGTGGCAGATGCTGCAATTTTACGGTGGCAAGTACCGTATTAAACACAGCAGAACGCTCATCATCATCGTTCTCACCGGGGGAAAGGGTATCGCAAACGGAATCCAGTATATTTGCAGTCAGAAAATTTTTTTATTTGATTCCAAACAAATTCTTGAATAACAGTAGCAAACAAGCTGGTTGTTACGTGAGAGAGAGAAGAAGAGGAAAGAAAGACGAAGCGGACGATGAAGAAAAGCTTTAGCCAACCTAACCGGACTAATTGTGGCCTAACTAACTACGTAAGCAAGGCACATTCTTGACTATCCCGGCGTATAGTTTTTTATATGTACGTACAGAAAACCAACTCATTTACAGCGTATAGAGTTACAGCCAAAACCCCCTTGCGCGCTTAGAGTAAGTTTACCTTGCCGCGTCGCACCCACACATATAACTATAAATAGACTACTACTCTCTCAGCCAACCAGTTCTGCATTCTTTCAAAAAATAAGCGCCTATAAGTCCTGCTCATAGATAATGGCCCCAAATACTCAGTGACTCTGGATGTTTGGAGATATGTACTACGCCGCCAGCACTGCCCCTAGGCGCCAATTCATATCCTTCCCAAAATGGAACTAGATACTTTGGTATTAGGAAGCATTTCTATTAAAGATGAGGACTTTCCCGGTTGATCTGATATAGCTAGCCCATCAGCACTAGATTCAAAACCCATATTTCTCTGTTAGCCTCGATTTTTACAGTCCTTCCACCATTTGGGATAAACTCCCACTTGCTACATTCCAGAATATAGCTCTAAAGAAAACAAATCGACTCATATACCAAAACCCGAACCCGAACCCGAACATATGTATCTATATTGGTTCGAGATCTGACAAAATTCAGCGGTTATTGCCGAAAGGCCTTTTTATCTACCTTGCATAAATTAGGCTATGGGATGGAGTCTCTCATATTTCTGCGTATAGTTATCCGATGGTTGGACCTGGCGGTTTAACGATATAAAACGAGGTAGATTTTAGTATACATCTAGTTATATAAACCGCCATTGTTTACCCTACCTGGCTTTTTTACACTGTCTTTTCTCTTGAATCCCTTTACAGTAGCTGTTCACGAATCATACCAGGAATATCATCATTTGTTTCTATAGTTAATACTGCCCTGCTCCCACATATTTAACCAGGCTCTTTTAGGCGAATGCGTCCTGAGTAGTAAGTATTGCCCCAGGTGACAAGGTGATACGAGCAACGTAGTATCTTATATACCTAGTTATATATATAGGTCCATCATTCAACTGAGCCCATATTATAGATGATATGTTTCTTTCTATGGAGTACTCCGTCCACAGTGGTTCCCCCCTCATTACCGCCGTGCTTAAGCTCAACATTAACAGTCTTTTCCCGGCTACTGTTTGCGGCAGCAAAGGTCTAACGGAAGCAGCAGTGAGGCGGAGGGAGAGATAAGGGCGGACCTGATTGTCAAGGTATAATAGTTAACAACCAATAATAAACCTTGATGGTTATCTTTGCAGCGAAGTCAAGAGCAAACGTATCATTTATTCTGCTCAGGGGGTACATAATATCAGTTCTAGGGCGGACTGATCTCACAGAAGCAGAGCTAATACAAGGCGGTCAACGAACTGTGAGTACTGGATATGAGCAGTCAGTGCCTCAAATTTATCATTTACGAAGTATTATTTGTTGTATGTATGTAGTTATGCAAGAAGATACTATCAACTGCCAAGGCGTCTCAAGCCATCGATCACTAGGCAAGCAGTTAGCTAAGGTCACTAACAAAGTTGACCAACTAATCACCTGTGTATCACCGAGCAGACCTTGGCGTTCAATATCAGCAGCTCATGTGCGCGGGGAACATGCAGTCTGGTTTGATATAATCGTATCGCTATCGGTTGACAAACTACACAAGGCGAAGAGGCGCCAGTCGCCAATGATAGCGGTAAGAGGCACTAGCCTTCCACATGACAAACAAGCAGATAGACACGGCTAGGTTGCTCTTGTTATAAAGAAGACCAAGGCAGCTGGCATGCATGGGCGATGTTTGCTTTTGCAAGCTTCGCAGCGACTTGCCTAGCCCTCTTTCGTATTTATATCGAGAGCCGTGTTAAGCGTCGGTTTAATCGTCTCTATCACCACAGCCCTACCCCCTATCACGACCTTGACCTTGCTTCCCTCTCCAGCATCCAAGAACGGCCTCCGTACGCATCACATACACGTCTTCCACATATATCGCCCGACTTGGTCAAGTGAACCAGAGATACAAGACGGAACAGCACCTTCGATCAGCTTGTTAAACTAAATATTTCAAATCGGGATAATCAACAGCGTCATAGCCAGCCGATATAGTCAAAATGTTAGTGGAAATCAGCCGTATGACCAAAGAGGATATCCCTGGCGCAATCGAATGTATCCAGACGGGCTTTGCTGATGACCCATACTTTACCTGGATGTTCGATGGATCAAAGGTACGTACCTGTCTGCGCACTTGCAAAAGATCTGGTTGCGGCTGTGGAAATATCCAAGTCGCTATACATGCGTATAACCGCCAGGCCAGATCCTCTCCTCATTATCTACTCCAGATACTTAGAAAAATAGCCCGATATTCAATAATGAATATGCAAGAGAAAGAAGATCCCAAGACGAAACCACCAGGCTGACCATAGTGCATTGTTTCGCGGACCGGAGAGGAGAGTCGACGAGAGAGCGAGGTTTTTGGCCGCTCTCTCTCCTCTTCATCCGCGAGAGCTCCCGAGTGGCTCTTCGACACATATCTACGACAGTTTTCAAAAGCCAGAAATGATGTCTCTCTAACAAACCGATTTCTATGGGGAATCAAGAATGCCCTTTTCTACGTAGCGAGAGAAGTCCCCTCGGACTGTGAAATACCTGAACAAAAGGGCCGGCAAGAGCCCCATGAACAGACGAGCCTTTTACGAGACAAATCATCCTCCTCGGGCCCTGCTCGCGTCGTCGGCGTTGCCATGTGGCTATTACCCCAGCCGCGATCGAAGCCGGACAGCTGGTTTACGTACTTTCAAACATGGCTCCTGAGCTTCCGTCAACTCCTGACCAACATCCGCTTCATGGGCCGTGGCGGTCTGCTGGTACACCGGTATAAGATCTGGAAAACGGCGCAGGCAAAGGTCCAGGATGAACTCTGGACGGACGAGAGAGGGTACTACTTCTGCAACGAGCTTGCCGTTCGGCCAGAATTCCATGGTAAGGGTATCGGAAGACAGCTTGTCACGGTCGTGACGCAGCAGGCAGACGAAGAAGGGATGAGATGCTACCTGGAGAGTTCAAAACAGGTCCCGAATATCCAGATTTACGAAAGGTTCGGCTTCAGGCTGATCAGGGACATGGTTTGTGATGACAACGGGGAGACCTGTAAGGTAAGCAAACATAGCATCGTTTGTCTTGGTCACTCGATTCCCCGTCGGTTAATTAGTGAACTGCTAACCTGGCCGCTGCCTAGTTGTATTGTATGACACGAGAGCCGAAGTCCCAGAGCTGAAGAGATTTAATTTTGAACGAGCGAGGTTGGGAGATTCGAGGAGAGACAGAGGAGTGTTGAGTAGCCATTTCCCCCGTTTTCTTTTGTTTATCTTTTTAATATCGTAAGATTCCTTGCAGAACAAATTGCCAATGACTTTCGTTTCCTTGTTTTTCCTTGGGTGAGCGTTCAAGAGAGCGAGCTAGGCCGAGATGGATGGTGGATTGCAGCCAGTTCTCGACAGGAGTGCGTGCAGTAGATCAGCGAAGAATTCAAGCAACGGGCAGAATTGCCCCCTATGACCAAATGCTCCGCATCTTTTACCCCCTTGTATATAAGTATCTGGTATGCGTAACACCTGAACATCGCCCCAAATAAGACCTGAACACGTTATCAAATCCATCAACCGCTTATGCATCCCATGTGAGAGATTACTGTCGTATGGTCGCCCAACTAACTAACTAGCTAACTAGCTAGCTATCAGTTTGGCCGTGAAAGCCACAAACCCCTGACAAACATGAAACATCGCCTCGGGTGCAAATGCATCGCCGTTCCAGGGGCGAAATCAATCTATTCCGGACATTATCTCGGCAGGGAAACCCCAGATAGTCCAGCACTTCGTCTTGGTCCTACCCTTGATCGAAGGCAGACAATCCCTCGGGCGCTTCCAAATTTTGGGAAACATCACCGGCTCGTCCCTAGCACCGGAAAACGGGCGTGGATGCCGCGAGAATTGCCCGTGATGAAGGACGGTTTGCCACGAGCAAGGCCCCCAAGGCCTCGGAAGGGTGCGAGCGATGATACGCAGGATTTGAGATCGTAGGGTCTCTCCTCTGGCGTCATACTAGCTAGCTAATGCAAGTATCTCCGGACGCCTGGGACGGTTCACTGATGCGCATGTCCGAATGCTGCGCTTGATCCTCCTGGAGATGCCCGTCCATTACAGAAGGCATACTTACTCGAACCCGGCTATAAATATTATCCGTATATGGATACCTATCTGGTTGGCCTTCGATATTTACCGCTTCTTTGATCGCCCTGGCAGGCCCTCATTTTCTCTTACAGCCGTCGACAAGAATAGATTGCCTGGTATCCTGTTCGACCCTTATTTTTAATGCCCCTTCCAATAGGATGCTGGAAAAGAATCGATCAGAGTCATGGCTACAGGCGGCAATCCACCACGATGATACAAGGGGATCCGAAAATCTGTTTCGAGAAAATACCCCCTTTTTTCTTTTTTCTCATTTCCATTTACCTTGTGTGGTGCGCTTTTCGACTATCAACCATCTTTCACGATGTCATCGCTATCTTCTCCTTTCTTTCTCTCGCATCCTATTTGCTGCCTTTCCCTCTCCCGCTCTCCCCTTCCCGCCCCCTGTGGCTCTGGGGCATGGGTTCTCAAAGGATTCTCTCCTTCCTGTGGTGTGTATGGTGTCCCAGCTGTGGTTTTAAGGTTGGCCTTCCCGGAAGTTGAGATGCATGCCAGCGAGATGCTTGTCATGAGCCTATATATGGGTGTTTACACACATATATTTTACCTATACCCCCCTGTACCAAGTATATTTACTCAGGTATTCGCGTCGGCTACTATACATCATCTCGATCATGTATACTCCATAAACGGCATTCCACGCCTGCTGAGATCTTCCAAAGCACGCCTGTCACCCCACCGATCTCTCGCAAGCATTATATGCATCCCTAACTCTCACTCTTCGGGACGATTACCGAGTTCTCTTCGCTTGTTCGCTCCATTACGGAGTAGTTCGTCTATATAACAGTTATTATGTTTCCAGTTATGTCCTGAGACCCTTCTCTCCCCTGACTTTATCTGGCAAGCGGAGTGAACACCTATATCTTGCTTCTGTTATTATCAACTTCTGATACCCCCTCTTTATCTTCCTCCGTTTTATTCGTGTGGCCTGTTGTTTTCATTCCTCCGTTTCTGGCAGCAAGTGTAAGGAAGCTTGGACAACCGGGCCATTGTTTCAGACTGCGCCAGAGAAAATACGCCCCCCCTTTCGACTGAAATTATATTTACATGCCTTGGGAACCAGAGGAGTAAGGTCGACGCGCGGCATAAAAAAGATATTCTCTTGCGGTGTACTTGAATATTCCTTCCCTTGTGTTGGGTTCCAAGTTCAAGAGACGGAGACTGAATGACGGAAGCGTCAAATACCACAGCCCAAGAATACTTCGTACAGAAGCAAAGGTGTCTTGTCGGAGATAAAAGAGTCGGAATAGACCCAACGGCCCCATCGAGGCTCAAGTCGAAGCTGGGCTCCGTCAATTGAGATTCTTGTCTCACTTGGTTTTTCGACACTATAGCGACAGAGGGCACGATAAATTAATATGCATATTGGGCATATAGCTTCGGCGTCAAACCGCATTCCGGAAGCCATGCCGTACATTAGATTGGAGAATATGGTCCTTGAACGAGCTGATGAGGGCTCGGGTGACTCTATTGCTGCCTTCGAAAATGGTCAAGCCAATGGCTCTTCTGACGGCCAGACGCCACCTCGCATTACAATCTTAATCACAACAGTAATAGGTAGGTCTGAATTCATGGATTATCAACAAACAGTTACAGGCAGCTAATAACTTTACGCAGCTGTTATTGTTGTTGGTGTATCACTATTTTGGTTTGTTAGATGGCGAAGCAAGAAATCCCGATACCGTTCAACATTTACACGGCGTCAAGCTTCAACCAGAACAGGAAAATCGGAAGTAAGCCAGGCAGGAAAAGGATCAAAAGCAGTTGCAAACCCAAAAGCCGGCTTGGACTGGAACCCGGAATCAACATTCGCAAAGCCGTCTGCGCCAAAACCATACATCAAACCATACACACACTCACAGGGAATGCTGTCATCGTCAAGCATACGGAAATTCTGGCATAACTCCATGGCAGGAAGTCGACCTCCGAAGCTCCATGTCAGGGCGAACCCCTCTGCGAGCACAGAGAATGAACTGGAAGGACTATCTACACACCACCGAGAGGACAGCGGCGGCAACCCTTTGCTCCGTGAAACCATAACGGAAATCGATAAGCCGCCAAAAATCTTCCCGAGAGTGCAGAGTACTCAGTCATCGTCCATTTTCCATCTAGATCGACAGTCTATGGGGGATAGACCAATATCAACTTCTACCTTTGACCGGAATTCCCGCAGCATACCCACCACACAAACAGGACCGATGGTATCAAAGTATCCATGGTCGGTAACAACGCAGCTTACCCCTATCGAACCATCATACAACTCCATGACATTCTTCAACAACCGGGAGTCCTACGGTGACAGCGTCCGGGACATCGAGACAGGTCCGACGACCACGGCAGGTCGGCCACGCTCGCACCCTTACAACAAGTAGACAAGATCTATTTAGATTTGTCTAGCTATCCTCTTACTACGTCAATGCTGCTTCGGACATTTTCGACAAAGCAGCCCTTTGGCCTAGGATAAAAGAAATCCGGCTAACCCTACTTATACTTCTTCTTCTTCTTCTATATACCATTTGATTTTGTTTACGGTTTTATATTCCCCATTCGTTGTCTATATTTACATACCCGCTTGGATCTTGCATAGCTGTGTAGATCATGTACATATTTTGTTTCTTTTGTGGAAATGGCGAAATGACTCTATTTTGGGACATGGGAGTATTCTGATGGCATCTCAGGGAGGGTTCTACGGCGCTTGCAAAAGGCATCATCAACGTTCTGCATGCAACTTTTTCTTTTGTTCTACTTATTAAATCTCTTAAAACAATATACTCCTTTTCCGTTTCAAGGACGTTTCTTGCAGAAAATAATTAGTTCGAAATACCGTGTCTCGTCTATGAGAATAAGTTCAATTAAAAAACGTCATGATGTAGATATTTCGGATATATGCTTCCACCCACACTGCCACCCGCACGCGCATTATAGTACCAAACACCCACCGAAACGATAAGGAAACAGAAAGATAAGAAAACATAGTTTTTGTATAAATATGGTGGGACAAGAGGGATGATATCATACAAGCTAAAAAGAAGCTAGCCCTTACAGCTATTATTAGCAAAACGCTCTTGTCTTCGGCTAGACTTTTGTGGATTCACGGATAACACGCTCGAGGTGGGTAAGGGATGGAGTTTCAAGTTTGGGTCATGGGGATGAACAAAGTAGATCTATGAACGGTAGAGGCATGGAGGACGGCATTTATTCTCTGGAGACATCACGGCCGAAGAGTTTCGCCTTGAGCCAGTCGACGACGACAAGGACGCGGTTGCGTGCTGTATGGATTAGCCGAGTTAGTTGAGCTTCTCTTGGCAATGTAATAAATATATAGAAAAAAATAGAGCAAAGGGCGTGGATGTATATAACTTACTGCTAAAGCACATGCTTAGATAGGCACTTCGCCAGAAGAGATAGGTCAGGGTACCTCCACTGGCAATGTTTCCGCTCAACCAGCTGATGTCTGCTACCGCACGTTCTTTGCCGATGTAGGCGAGACTTCCTTGGTGAGAATACTGGAAAGGCCCAACCTGCTTGATTCGTCTCATTTGCTGCTGGAGGGCTCTGATCTCGTCTAGTATCTTGTTGCGGTCTGCGTCGTCCTTGGCCTCGGATTGAGCAACAGACAGATGGCTGAGCTCCTGTTCTATCTGATCTGTCTTGGCCATGGTGTTGAATAGTCTAGCCAAGAAGGCACCCTCCTGGCTGGCTACTTGGGCAGTTGGAGCATAGTTGGTGATTGCGCAGTCCCCGACAGCCCAGATATTTTCGGTGCCGTTCACAACGAGGTATTCGTTGACAGCGAGACCACGGCGAGACTTCTTCTGAGCTGGTATTTGGCCCATGAGGTCGCGAACTACATCCCGTACAGCGTTACCGGTGGCCCAGACAAGCAGACCGTAGGGAATTTTTTCAATCTCCTTGGAGCCATCTGGTTTAGTGACCTGAGCTTCAATGTACTTGTCGGTGACGTTCTTGACCATGGTCCCAGTTCGGATTTTGATGGCCTCTTCCTTGAAGGTGGACTCTGTGTAATCAATCAGCTGTTTGGAAAACGTGGGAAGGACCTAAAAAAAAAAGTATTTAATTAGTATTGGTTTCAATGGCGTCAAGCGGGTGAGAGTCACTGACATTGGGAAGAGCTTCAACAAGAGTGACCTGGAAGTTGTCCTTGATATCTGGAACCCATTTCCTTAGGTCCTCGTTGAAGAAATCTTGCAGTTCGCCGGCAAACTCGACTCCGGTTGGGCCACCGCCAACGACGACCATGTGAAGAAGTCGCTTGATTTCATCCTGAGTTTGATCTTTGAATATGGCGGTCTCAACACAGTCCATAATGCGGGTTCTAATCTTTTGAGCATCACCAACTTCCTTCAAGAAGCAGGAGTGTTCCTGGACACCGGGAATACCTTTAACAACTGTTAGCTAGATAGCTCCTTCAATAGCAACAATGACAATAGTAATAATGGCCCGTATAATAGTATAACGTACCAAAAGTAGCATTCTGAGCTCCAACTCCGACAACCAGAAGGTCGAATGGAACCTGTGTACTAGAGGTATCACCCTTGATCTCGGACTCGTCGCTGATATGTACGACTCGGTTCTCGTAGTCAATCTTGGTCGCCTTAGCTTCATAGTATTGAACAGTGGCTTTCTTATGGCGGAGAATGTTCCTGATGGGCTCCATGATCGAACGGTGCTCTATCAATCCGGTGGTACATGACGGTAAAAGGGGTGTGAACAAGAAGAAATTCCGCGGCGAGATGACGACGACGTTGTAGTTTTCGGTGTCCAGCTTCTTCAGAAGAGATACAGATCCCCATCCGGTTCCTATCCAGAGCAATTGAGTCAGATACTACTGCTAATCCTGTGACGGGCGACAAAGGTGCCTTCTAACGTACCTAGAACGACGAGGGTTTTCTTGCTTGGATCCGGTGGAACCTGCTCGGCTGGATTTCGGTGCTGGTATACATTGTATGCCGTCCATCCAGTGGTCCCCAGAACAGACAGCAGTATCAACCGGTATGTCCATCTGAAGAATCTAAACCTCTTCCGCTTGGGTGCTGGGGGAGGAGGCGGCGGCGGAGGAGGTGGTCCTGCTGCTGCTGCTGGTGTAGCCGGAGACACGGCGTCCGCATAGCTTCGCCGAAAGCTGTTGCCGACAACCAGCTTGCTCGACCGTGCAGGACCGTTCAGCAGCGACGCTCCACGGAGCAATTGCAGTCTCGTCGCCGGCGTGAGAGTGCAGAGTGAGCGGCGCAAAGCTGGGGATGAAGGGAAATGCCGGCCTGCCCGGAGCAGCGGCGCTGGAGCTCTCGCAGTCATAGCTAGCTAGTTGATTGACTACCCAGTAGTTATTGATGGAGCTGCCGGCTGCGTCAACAGAGAGAGCAGCAGCAATGCGGTTACTGCGAGATGCCAGAGCAGAGCAGAGCAAGCATCGAGCCGCAAGACAGAGTCGCAAAGATGAGTCAATGGATAAAATCTCAAAAGCGACCTTTTTTTTAGGTGATTTTTTTTGTCTTGTCTCAATCACGTTTTTCCTCTTGTTGTTGCTTTTTAGCCGGTTTCGGTGGAGAGAGACAAGAAAGCGACAAGAGACAAGAGACGGGCTGCTTTTAGTCAGCTCAGCCACCGGAGAGATAACGAGCTCTTCTTCTTCTTCTTCTTCTTCTTCTTCTTCTTCTTCTTCTTCTTCTTTATTTGATAAAGACGGCAGAGATAAAGACAGAGAGAGAGAGAGAGACGAAGGCGACGGGCAGAGCTGGTTGCGCGGGAGCCTCGGCAAGTTAACCTGTTCAGCTGCTGGAAGGATCTCAGCTAACTAGTTAGGCAGTTAAGCAGTTGACTACAAAGCCAGCAAGTGATAGAGCAGTTATCGAGAGACGAAAGGCGCCATTGAGCGTGCGGACGGGACGATACGGCTCATCGCACGTCGCCATGAGGTGCTCTTTACTGCTCGAGGGCCAGGAGCAGCCTGTGTTGACCAGCTGTTGGCCTGGATAGCTACAACAGCGCCAGGTAACTAGTCATTGCATTGCCCAGTCGACTGGTTGAGCGGGCTCGGTCCGAAGCCTTGAGAGGGCTCGTGAAGTATTGACGCAGCCTGGAGAAGGAAAGGGAAGATGGAAGATGGAAGAAACAGCGTCCATCCTTGCGGGGGAAGCTGGATGGGAGCTGGATAGATACGTCAGAGCAGACGTTGACTATGTACGGAGTAACTACTTCGTTACCTACAGGGACCCCAGTCGGCTCTGATGTCATTCTGCGGCGGATGCTCGCTTTTCAGCCTATCTCTAAAGAGCTTGACGACGACGAAGACGACGCCTTGCTCATACGGAGTTCGATGAGGTCACAGTATAGGGTACGTGTCTCTTCAGACAGACTGGTGATTAGTTGCCTTATGGGAGTATGTATGTATACGTTGTCTCCAGAGAAGGGCAGCAAGTTGTTACTTTTCTAGGCCGTATCAGTCAATTGATAGACGGACGGACAGGTGGTAACCTGTTTACCATCCAACAGGACAGCGATGGATAGCTCAGCCTGTTGTCTGCCTGATCCCTATCTCTGTCGGACTCAACCTTAAAAGTCTTCTTAAAGCATCGTTATCTAATGTCCTACATCTAACCGGCCTCCAGGCGAGGCATCTATCAGCTGAGTTGGATAGCTGGCTTACACGACAGCAGCCATGCCAGCCAGGCAGGAACAGCATTCGATCCAGCATCCAGCCAACATTTAAGCAATGCGATTCCGCCAGGGAACGCACGTCAGGCTCTGCCTTGATTTTTTCACCTGTTAGACCGTTCGTGACACTCCAGCAACCCCCAACTTCCATCTCATGTGCCACGACGCCGTTCGGTCTTACATCGCTATCCCTCCCTTTCATTTCTCTTCCCCCCCGCTCCCTTCCCCTTTTTTGCTTCTTTTCCCAGCCTCCGGCGGAATACTCATCTTTTCATGCATCTGTGAGCACAACTCCTGGTTTATCCAGATATGAGTTCACATATCATTAATCACGACATCGCAGGAAGCAAGCCGTATGGATGCATGGATGGACGAGAAAAGGGAATTCACGGCACAGAGTAATACTCTGTCCTAACCAGTTGGCCGCCATAATTTGTTTGTCTTGGACAAGACGGATGTTTGAACCCGATGTTTGAACCTCTCAAATCTCCCTCCCTTGTCGCCTCCAGCTCGTCTATTTCTAGATATCACGGTTCATATCGCAATATGAGCAGAGCCAGTGCGACCAAATCACCATGTGATTAGTTAGTGATCAGTCGCGGGTTGACGGGGTTGACCCGGCTGGTCGCTATTCAAAATGTGGCATCATGAAAAATGCACAAGGGATTAGATTAGAAGTCGCGGGCGGTCAGTGATAGTTATTCGAGACATATGGAGTTATAATCCATGGTTCCGTCGCGCTGTAAATGCAATAACATGCATTACAAGCAATGTCTTCCCTTTCCCCCTTTGAGAGACTCCGTTGACTGGCTTCCCTCGCTGTGTTTGTTTTTATCCCTCATGCGCCATTAAAACGATCAAAGGATAGGGTATAAAACGGTTATTGCAGGTGCACTGCCTAGCAAGTGCTTTCACCTTGGCTATCAGCATGGCCAAATAAAGCCATCCTTGGGACAGTTCAGGCCAGCCTGATCTGTCGTTGAAATCTGGATATGCGGCCCCAGACAGTCGTCACGGGAGAGAAACGTCAGCCTGTGTGCAGTAATATCCAAGGAACTTTTGATCAAACCACACTCAGCCTGGTCGACGTAACCAGCCAATATGGAAACTCCCTATTTCTGGACTCTTCCACAAGAGAAAGGATGTCTTGTTGGGTTTGCCATTTTCGCCTTCGTTCCGCCCCCTCCCTCCCGGGGTTTGTCTTATATTATCCATACTACTAGGCAGGGTATATGTTATCAAAACGATGAGAAATTATGTGCACGGCGAACAGCGGTTCGGGCGGGATTACGACATACTTAGGAATGCGAGTCCACAGAGGGAAAAGAAAAGAAACTCAGTTGGGGTTTCTTCGTATGGATGTGAGTAAGATGCTTGAGGCAGTCAGCAGCAGTTGGAGAAGAATCTTACGCCTGGTTCGGGGCTGATGCCTGCTGCGCTGTGTTCCTTTTTTGGGAGGAAGGGGAGATTGTAAATTGCCCCCAGCTCCCTTCTGGTGATTCGCCATGTTCTGGCCATCCTCGAACATTGCTGTGTTGCATATAAGTACAGATCGAAAATAGGACGGGACGGGAGTTCTCGGTATTTCATCCGGCCAGGTATACTTGATATGCAGTTTGCAGATCCGGAGCTGAGATGAATAACATCTTCTTGGTCAAGCCCGTAATTCTCGTTATAGTGAACTAAATAGTTATCGACAAAAAGGCGCCCACTCTGGTACATCCATGCCCAATTATCGATGCGTCTAGGATCCGTGGCAAAAGAACAGGCGGTTGAGCCTGACACAGAAATATCAAAAGTTGAGAGATCGCTGTCCGAGATAAATTAGCCCTGGTTGTGCCTGTGGCGCTCGATCCGAGCAGTCTTTGATACCTTCCTGCCCTTTCTTTTTTGGCTAATAAGTTAGCAATGAAATCTGCGCCACCTTGGCTTGTTGATCCAGGGATTTGGGAGATGTTTAACAAGTTAGGTAGAGACATATACTTTTTGCCGGTGATAACTATATCATTGTCCTGGGAGGTTTCGGCCGGACGAGCTGGATTCCCACTCCCAAGCTGGCTCCAAGCTCAAAACAAACTCCATCCATACTGACACTTGACATAAGTATCTTGAGAGTACCCAGTACCCTCGTGTGTGACGTAATTCAAGCTATTGTTTGAAGCCCCCAAGATGGCGGACTTAGATCCGAGACCTACTTTTTCCGCTACGAAACCCACAAGGTGGTGATAGCAGTGCGTGTGAGACAGCCCTGTCAGCCATTTATCTCGACAGCTGGGTAACTAAGTCAAGAGTTAGCTTGATATTCCTGGTCAGGACAGGAGGGTGTTTGGGTGCTTTCCTCACTCGGCTTGAGACGAGACGCCCGGCAGTTATCACACTGTGATTGGCGAGCAGCCAGGGTAACTAATGTATATAATTATAAGTCAGCATACGAAGCACCGGGATACCCCCTGGTCCCAGTACTCCATGCCTCAAGCGTCCATATTATAACTACCCATCGTCCACAGGCAAGGATACAGTTGGAGAAATGTGAGTTCAGAAACTTTTACTCTGCCCTCTCCTCTTTCTCTGCTGTTGGTGTTTCTGATGCACAACTGGCCGAAGAGCCCGCTGCCTCTCTGCACCCATTATTCATTCAGCTCTCACTTTTCTTTCCTTTTTCTCGCTCGCTCATAATCCGTACATCGTCTTGTGTCAAAAGATACGCTTCAACCTTTCGATATCCTTTCTTATGTAAGAATATCACGTGATATCTATATTTGCCGCGACTCTTACCCCTGAGCGAGAGACTTTGTGAAGGCAAGTTTCTGGTTTCCGCCTGCGATCCATGGATATGCGAAAGTCAAGGGCTGCAGAGGCTATCGGAGCAGCCGCTGATGGCAAGGCAGGTGGCTAGTTGTGGTGTGTAGAGGCAGAGGATGGGCGACGTAATATGCAGGGCCCCAATGCTGGGTTGCTTTCCCAGGCCTATTTTATTAAGTACATCATTATTACAAGTTATTGGAGAACCAACCAGGAAGACGGCGAACCCCGGCCAGGCTTGGAAGAAGAACTGGTTGACTGGAGAGCCCTAGCCTCTCTGGACTTGATATGTGTTGCTGTTTGCTCACCCTTGTTTGCAGAGTATAACTGCATCCCTTTGTTTGGCTTTGAAATGCTCCGTTCAATAACCATTCAACGATGGTAGTTGATACTAACGTACATTTAATCTCTTTCCTTACGGATACCACGGAAGCCAGGTCGGTACCTTGCTAGGCGAGTGATGACGAAACGAACTTCCGCGGGATACTGCTTGAAAGGCGGACCCAGACAGTGAAGCAGCCGGCAACTTCCACACGGAGTATCGGGAGCGGTAAAATACATAAAAAGATGATGCGAAACGGCACCATTACCAGCCTAAGACCGTTGTGTTCCTTGCATAAATAACACTTGCTATTGGTACGTATATGCCAAAGGCCCAGCTTTCGTCTCGTGTGTACAGAGTACATGTTCTACTATCAGTATGTTCAGCAAATGGAGTATAGAGTATAGCTCGGGTTCTCCATACATAAAGCTCCACGCAAAACATATACGAATCAGCTGGGTACCAAACATGTGAAAGCACCGTACAAACCTTTTAGCTTCCAAAACATTTATATAGA